TGGGCTCGCTTTTGAAATCGGAGTTTTTTTTTCACTTGAAGAGGGAAGCATTTTGCCACATTTTTGATTCTTCCCATTTTTTGCCACTGTATCAAGATCCCCCACTGTAGATCTCTTCGGCTCTGGCCTGAAAAAATCGGTAATCTCGGGAAAGGCTAGTTGTTTACGTTACTTCATCGCCATCTCCTCCACTTGACATCCCGCAGTTAGCAGTTTTTTTCCTTTGTTCCACAAATATCTATTACAAACATTTACACGACCAATTACCGCGATTAATTCTCTCAACGAGTTTTTCCCGATTTTCCGCACGCAACAATGGAGGTGAAAAGGTTGGATGGTCAAGAGAAACGCCCTATCATAATAACGCTTATTCGCGCTTTTTCTGTATTGCACAGCCGTCAAGACCAGAAAGCCTAGCTCTTCGGTCGTTCCAGTAATTTAATAGCGATGTTTGTGGTTGTTTTGAGCGCGCGGGAAGTGAGACGTTAATTGAGGAAGTTGGTTGTAGTGAGTTTTGAGCTTATTGTTAGTGTGTTTGAGTCCGATTTCATGTTTTTCACGGATTTGAAAGGGATTTCAAACATGGTTTTGTAAAGCTAACCCTTTGTATTATTCGTTTTATATAGGAATAATCGGATTGACACTTTCCGAAAGGCCTTGACATCCGAAATTGACTCGGTTCAAGCCCATCCCATTGTATTTTTCCTCGCCTTTTTTTGTACTGTATACTGCACGTCAAAAGTTTGGAACAGGCCAGATCTTCTTTGCGGCTTGAGATATGAGTTTCATTTCTTTTTTATTAGAAGCTCCATGTATTAGGAACCTCAATGAATACATAGCCATGGAAATCAGAAAGCTCGTTGGAGTTTTAAAAAAAATTTTAAAAAATAAGTGCGTCAAAAGTTTGGAACAGCTTTTGGAAGGTGATTATAAACTTCGGGATGGAGGCAGGTATCCTCGCATTTAGTGTTTCTGGATGATGTATGGAATCGGCATGCCAATGGCATACTGATTTTCACCGATAAACCCAAAATGAAAAAAATGCTTATTGAGCCAAAAACTACGGTCAAATTTGCGAAAAAATGAATTTTTTGGTTTGGGTTCTCTATGTTATCGGTGTGTAAACGTTCTAAATTATTTAATGTGGTCGCACAATTGTACAAGGGCACTCAGATCTTCGCATGGGAACCATATCCGCACAGCATAATTTATGAAAAATTTGAGTTTTGCTATAAATCTTTATTTAATGTATTTTATATTTTTTATAGAGCGGCTTGGAGGCTAATTGGCTTTAACACCGTTATCGTGGAATAAAAAGGTGTCTTCAAGAATCAGAACCTGGCCACTATTTTCAACATCAAGGCCACATCTTTAAAAATAGCGGGTATATGAAATGTTAATATTCCCATATTTTTTACCTCGGATTTGAAGCCGCTGCATGGCTTAAAACTAAGTGCCTTTATCGTTATCACACCGATACAGTATTATAAACCAACTCTCCGAATTATCACGCCACAAATCCGGGTCAGATATGAATATTGACTTTGGGGACAAAATTTTTTTTAATATCTGAAAGATGTGGCCTTGGATGTTGCAAGTAGCGTGGGTTTTTGTTTCTTGAAGACACCTTTTTATTCCACGATAACGGTGTTAAAGCCAATTAGCCTCCAAGCCGCTCTATAAAAAATATAAAATACATTAAATAAAGATTTATAGCAAAACTCAAATTTTTCATAAATTATGCTGTGCGGATATGGTTCCCATGCGAAGATCTGAGTGCCCTTGTACAATTGTGCGACCACATTAAATAATTTAGAACGTTTACACACCGATAACATAGAGAACCCAAACCAAAAATTCATTTTTTCGCAAATTTGACCGTAGTTTTTGGCTCAATAAGCATTTTTTTCATTTTGGGTTTATCGGTGAAAATCAGTATGCCATTGGCATGCCGATTCCATACATCATCCAGAAACACTAAATGCGAGGATACCTGCCTCCATCCCGAAGTTTATAATCACCTTCCAAAAGCTGTTCCAAACTTTTGACGCACTTATTTTTTAAAATTTTTTTTAAAACTCCAACGAGCTTTCTGATTTCCATGGCTATGTATTCATTGAGGTTCCTAATACATGGAGCTTCTAATAAAAAAGAAATGAAACTCATATCTCAAGCCGCAAAGAAGATCTGGCCTGTTCCAAACTTTTGACGTGCAGTATATATGGTTCTTTGCCGAAAGGATTGACAAGATTAGAAAGTGCGAATCCGGTCACTCGACCATTTCACACTCGCCCGATTTCATCCGGTCACTTTTCACAAACGCTTGACTTAAGTTTCACGGGACCTTTCTTCCCGCTCTCGTTTCCCGGCTCGCCTCTGGCGCTTTTTGTAAGTCCGGTCATTCCTGTAGCTCCATGGAGAGAAAAGGGCCGCGGGCAAAGAGAGAATGGACATTTTATCTGTCCACCTTTTGTGTGGGGAAGGCTCTTGAATAAATTTTTGGAGATTTGAATAGGTTTCAAGTGCGTTTAGAGACCAAAATTTTGTGGTTTTCGAATTGTTGAAGATTTTAATATTTTGGATAACGTTTTGGAAGAAGCCAGTATTTTGAGTTTCGGTTTAGCTTTCGGTTCAGTTGTTGCCGCCAGGAATTATTCATTTCGTCACAGCATATGATTTTCCAAGAGACTTGAGAGTGTAAAGTAGAGGTCAGGAAGATGCTTTGGGTTTGAGATAATTCATGGCTGTAATAATGGTCAGTTCTCTCTTGATGCGTTTTCGAGGAAAGAAAGGTGTTTCAAAACGTCTGAGGTCCGATGGATTTTCGTTCTCATAAGATTTTTGAGAGAATTTTGAGGTTTGTCTAGTTCAATTTTTTTGACGATTGCGAGAGTTATATCCAACTGCTTGGTGCCGAGAAGTTGTTTTCAAGTACATCCAGGATTCTTTTTTAATGCTTTTGATTAGGGAAGAAGGCATCGAAAAAATATTTCCAATACATTTGGAAGTATTTTTTGGCGCTGAGTTATGTCCAATATGTGGACAAACTTTTGAACCTATAAATTCTTTTTTCATGGTTATTTAGTCATTAAAAAGACCAATGAAATTCGTATTTACCATGTGTTTTGTGATGTTCTTTGATCTCCGATAGCTTCTAATCTCCCGTCTACGAGCATAATACGTATCGCATATAATTTCACTTACAGTTTTTATATGATTTTTGTGGTGCGTCCACACTGAACCGCTTACTCCTCAAACCAAATCTTCTCCCGCTCGCACTTGTGATGAGTTCCCTCGCTCTCGTTTTCGTCATTACCAAACAAAAAATCGTTTTGTAACGTCAAACTGTCCACTCTTTTTCGAATCGATTTGAGGGCCCGCCGGTTTCTGGTTATGACGTTATTTTACGCGTTATATGTCGTAATTACAGGCAGAATATAATGCATTTTTAATGGCGATTTAATTGTTGTATTACGCTAAGAAATGAGAAGTGTTTTTCTCTTGTCATTGCGGTAATATTATGAATAAAAACCGTAATATTAGAGATTTTGTTGGACTTGTTTTTTGTCTTACGGCAAGCAGAGTTCCTTATTGTCTCATTTTTCCTGTAATTGCTTCATAAGCGTGCTAGTCCAGACGGTTTTATGACGTTTTCGAAATGATGGGATCAAGGCGAAGAGGAATAAGATTTGAGGGTTGTCTAACGTGACAGTCTACTCGGAAAGCGACGGTCTTTGTCGATGATCGGTAGTCGGTTGACGGATGTTGAATGTGCAATGTCAGCGAGGTATTTTGTTTGGGTTTTCGAAGAGATTTTTTGATATTATACTAGACGGGGACTCAATTGTAAGATTATAATTTATTACGTCTATTTTTGAAGCTCTTCAGATGTTCTGTCGAGATTTTGGGATGATCTTGCACTATGATTCCGATTTCTTGACCCGCTTTGCTAATTAAATGCCCTTTCTCAATCTGTGAATTATAAAAAAAGTTAAAATCCGGGTCGAATTTAGCCCCTTTGCAAGTATTTTAGCGAGTAATATCCAGCCGTAAAGTCTGAAATCGCCCATCGTTCCGCCAAATGTCTTTATCCCGAAAACTGTCGTTAATTTCCAGCTTCCTCACGTCTTTTTTATTCCTATTTTCTTTTGTGGGAAAGGAACGAAAACGATGTCGTAATAGCGGATACCCGCAAACGCCAATTAAAGACTGTAGGAAAGGAAAGCTCTTGCGGGCTTCTGGGTTTTACGGAAATTTAGAGCTTTAAAAGTTGTCTTACCCTACAAAAAAGTGGATTCAGGAACAGTTTTTTTTATTGCGGGCTTTTATTTCTTTTATTTTCATGTTTTCTTTGGGCACTAGGGATATGATGTGTGTTCAAAATTTTATAAATTTGACGGAAAAACAAAAATTTTTTGTTTTTTTTTGTTTGTGTCAACGTTGATAGCAACTGAAAATTTTTCACATCTTGCATATTTTCCTTCGAAAGCAGGGTTTTTTTCGAATTTATCAACTTTTTTTATCGAATAAGTTTTTCGATTTTCTCAGAATTTTCCGATCCAGGAAGTCTACAACCTGAAACACGCCTAATTTGTAAAAAGCTGCTCCCAGATTCGTCTAATAACTTTCTTATGCGTAAATTATTCTTGAAGTCGTAAAACTCCCCTCTTTTCTCCCATCTTTTTCGTCTTACTACTTTATGCAATGTTTACGCACCGCTGATCAAAACCCACTGGTCAACGTATCGCAAAAGGAGAGAGTCCATGTTTGATTTTTCGCATAATTCGTATCCCCGAGCGTCTTTGGAGATTTTTACGGGTGTTACGCAAGATTTGCATAGCAAATGATATGTTACTTTGAAATTGATTATCTTTGCAATTATTAGTTTTCTCTTGACTAGTAAATTTTTGCACGTGCTCGATTTTACAATGAATTTTATATTTGTATACTGGTGTAATATACAGCTTGTTGTTAGAACCCCATAAATGTCCGTATAACGAATGGAAGTGCACACCAACCCAGTTTATCATAACTACTACGATAAAGCCCCTCAAAATGTGAATCCGACTGTCAATTACTTCCACCAACGACATTCGTCCATCTCCGACCCAGAGCTCACCAAAATTGCCGAAACTGCCGCTCATGATCTCAACCACAACCAAAGAGAATTCTATCAAAACGAACCCACAGTACACTACCGAGCCGTCCCATTACATCATACTGCCTCTGAAGATGGAAGTTCGATAAGATATAGAAACGAAATTGAAGAGAACACCTATTATAACCCGCATTATATGAGCAGAACCCCATCATCGGGTTCGTCAAATGCCCCATCAAGCATTGATCAGCCAATTCAACCGCATTACTATGAAATTCAACCAACCGGAGGACCAACTTTACTGCCATTGAACATGGTCGACCGAGATTTGCATTCTCGAAGAGTTTCGGCACTTTTATCCGCTCAAAACAAAAAAATCCCAGCACCACAACCACCAAAAGGCGCTCAACGACGGTTCTCGATGGTCCAGGGAAACCCCATTCCCACGGGATTGTTCAGAAAACACAGTGAAGAGTGCCCAACAACCAAAGAACGGTTTACGTTTGGAAAGAAATCGGCAGCGAAATTGATCAAAAAGTCGAAACTAAATGCCTTCTCGGCTCTCGGAACAGAACTAAGCCAGAGTGCAAGTGCCTTGTACAACTTATTCACCAGCTCGGACAAAACTGAACAAGCCGAAGCTCAACTGGAGAAAAGAAGACGGGAATGGAACGAAAATGCAAATTTCGAACAGATATACAGCAACCCCCTGGATGTCCCGCCTTCTTCTCCGGTCGCCACAGTAACCCAAGAGCCCCGATTTTTGGCCGGATCTCATCTGAATGACGCTGGAACAATTCCTGTTCATCTGGCAAACCAAAGAAGATTTGTGAGCACGGCCAGCGGGATAAATGATGGCGGAAACGCTCCAAACTTGAATGATAGAGGCTTCAATGCAAATAGTCAGGGAGTATACGGCTCAATTGCAAGTAATGGAAGCATCTACGGAAGTATCACCGATTCCATGCCCATATACGGACACAATAACCATTACGCCGCCTCTATTCATTACGCAGTTTCGTCCAGTTGTCACTACTACAACACCGATGATACCGACACTCCCCGCGCTCCGGATCAGCCTGCAGTTGAGACGCAGGCCGGAAATGACCCCGTCACCACACCCCGCGGAAACCCCGCAGGCGACCACGAAGACAACACAGAAGATCCCGCGAAAAAATCGAACAGCGACGAGGACGAGGAGTCGGACGAAGCGATCGGTTCGTCGCTGTCCCGTTCCCTTCCGTCCACCTGCTCACCGACTTCGATTTCCACCGCCGCTGCCTCTGCTGCTCTCCTGCCCCCATTGCCACCGGGAAATCAGCGGAATGAGGCCTTGAATTCGCTCTCCAATTCGAATTCGTTCCCGGAATTCCTGGCCAAGGAAGCGCTCGAATACGACGGATGGTCCGAGTCCTCGATTGGCGACGAGGAGGATCGGTCCAGAAGCTCTATGGTCCGCCAAGCTCAACGACATTCGGACGTAATGCAGGCGGTAAAGCAGGCACATTTGCCACCGATGAATATGGTCCCAGTGAATAAAACGACCATTGCCATGGTCCAGCAAGCGATGAATGAGTTTACGGTAAAGAATCAGGGTCTAAAAGGGCGAAATAGTGTTGTGAGAAGGTCTCTGGATATTATCCATGATCAAAAGATTAGAGATTGAAAAATTTGCGGGAGAACTGAAAAATTTCCAGTAAAAATGGCAAAAATAGAAAAATTTAGAATGCAAAATAGAAGAATTGAGCTGTTTGAGTAATCAAATGTTTTCAGGACCAAACAAATCAAGTCTCGGACCACACGCAACGAGGAATCGACTTCTTGGACAAATATGGTCAATTCGTGAAAGAAAGAGCTCAAATTGAGGACGAGTATGCACTCAAGTTGAGGTAAATTTAATTTATTCTGGGGTCAAACTGAAATTTTGTTTATTTTAGGGTTGTTTTGAAGTTATTAGACGTTTTTGTCTAATTTTGCGATCTTTGTCATGAAAAAAATAAATTTTTGTTTTTACAGGAATCTCGTCAAGAAATGTGGATCAAAGAAGAAGGAGGACGATGAATACAAGGCCTTCTCCTACTTTAACACATTCAACGCCATCCTCAGAGAGCTGGGATCACTTGCCGCACAACACGAAACGATCAGCGAAAAGTTGAGAAATCAGATTTGTCCGGCCGTCGCCACAAAGTGCAACGAACTCCGAGCGGGTCGAAAAAGGCATCTTCAGGAACTACAGAATCTGAATAATCAACTGACAGCACAAGTTGATCACATGAACAAGATGAAAAAAGGATATTTGTAAGTTGGGGATGACATGGATATTATGAAAAATTGAAACATTAGGGTAAATTGGTGATTCAAGGAGATAGTAATCTAGTTTTGAAGGTAGTTTGGTTTTTGGGAAGGCAGCGTCTTCGAAAGCGAGTAAAAATACTATGATTTTTTCGCAACTTATGTCTAGTACAATGTAATGTCGAAAAAATCTTCAGAAAGGCCTTCAAAGAAGCCGAAACCGCCTATATTAAACATGACAAGGCCGACAAGAATATGGAAATCTCTCGGGCCGAACTAGAGCGAACGAAGGCGAATCTGGCTCAGAAAAATCATGCCTGTCATGATGCACGGTGCAGATACTACGAAATCCTCCAGCAAACAAATCTCGCGCAGAAAGCCCACTACGAACAACAGATCCCACAACTATTGGAGAGAATGCGACAACTGGACATGGACAGAATCGCCGCCACCAAAAACGCCATGAGCCAAACGGTTGATGTGGAAACGGGAGTCTTGAAGGGTAAGGAGAAGATTTTTAATGTTTTTTATGTGTGATTGTACGACTTGGAGGTCGTCTTTTGGCCTGATAATTATTGAGATTGTATTTTAGTGGTGCAACGATGCTACGACGACATGCGCGGCGCCATCGCCGTCATTGACCCCGAAAAGGACACCCATGTTGTGGTGGAGATCAAGAAGACCGGCTACTCCCATCCCCCCGACTTTGCCTTCCAAGATCTCGGCGATCCGGCCAGAATCCTCGAGAACAACGGAGAATCTGTAGCGGACGCCTTTATGGCCGCAAACGCGACGCTGAAACGAGGACAGGTCTCCAACGGGAAAGCGGTCAGCCGCAAGGGCTCAATGCATCACCGAATCTTTGGCGGAAGCGCCAACTCGAACGGAAAAGGCCCCGCTCACTCGGAATACGGCAACCTCCCGCCTCAACAACGATGCCGCAAACTGGAACACAAGATTGCCGAGCTGAACGCGGACATTGCGAAACGCGAGCACTCCAAGGCCGGGCTCCAGAAAATGCTGACCGTCTACACGGACAACCCGAAGCTCGGAAACGCCGCCGATGTGGAGCATCAGATCAACGAATTCCAAAACGAAATTAACCACCTCGTCGATCAGCGGTCCCGCTTCGCCAAACTCCTCCAGGACTCCCAAAACGAACTGAATCAGCCATCAAATGGATCGATTGGATCGTCGTCGCCGCGAGTCCAGAGCCAGACTTCGTTGAATGGATCCAATGGATTTGTGGGCAAGAGAACGAGCTACAGTGAAGATAGCATCTCATCCGATGGATCAGCGGTTATGGGCATGCCCAGAAGGAATGGAGGTCCAATTGGTAGGTTGGGGGAAATTTTGGGGTGGGAGATTAGTGGAAAAAACGCACCATTTTGCATCCAGGAAGCATCAAAAAATGTGGCGAAATGCTTCCCTCTTCAAGTGAAAAAACTCCGATTTCAAGGAGTTTTTTTCGGGTATTTTGTCTAGCGGCCGTTCTTTTTGTGAGGATCTGGATCAGTCCCCCAATATACTTGGTATTAATTTGGTTTTTTGCAGGATCTATCCTCGGATCGTCGAATGGATCCTCGCTGAACGCCTCAAATGGCCCCACGGCCATCCATAATTTGAGCGGCGCCACCACAACCACCGCCAACTCCTCCCTCGCCAATATCCCCCATATTGATTCGGCAGTTGAGAGCAATTCAAATGGGTCCGCGCGAACCGCGCCCAGCCTCCCCGAAGCCCATGTGTACGAGGACACGGACGCTCCGGGCTTATTGCCAGTCCTCGGAACCTGCAAAGCCCTCTACCCATTCGAGGGATCCAGCGGCGACGGCACCACCATCTCCATGAAGGCCGACGATGAATTGTTTTTGCTGGAAAAGGACGAGGGCGACGGCGACGGATGGACCCGAGTCAGACACTCCAAGACCCAGATGGAAGGCTTCGTCCCCACCTCGTATCTGGAATGCCATTGGTATTAGACAGCTGAATTACGGTCATTTTTGATTCGACTAATATATAGTACAGAAGATGTTTGTGTTTGGTACAATATGCTTGTGTTGTAACAGGCATATTCGACACGGTTTTCACCGGGTTTTGAACTTGAATTTTTTTGTTTTGGATTTTTTTTGATTTTTGAAAAGTGATCTTTGATCTGTGGATAATTTTTGGCTTAAAACCCGGTGAAAATTGGATTGATTGACTGTAAAGGAAGACCAGGTGTTTGAAGGCACAAAACTTGTCTCTATTCGGTAGTCGAAGGTCATTTCCCCCCGTTTTATATTGATCTTCTTGGCCTAATACCCAACATTTTTTAACGATTCGATTTAATCCTTTCTTTGTTTTTCATCATTTCTTTTGCCAGTGTCATCGCCGATACGCTAAACCCAAATCTCTCGACCCACGCCCGCGCTTGTAGGCCCAATTAGGATGTTGTCTATGTAATCCTACTGTATTTTTTCGCTCTTTTTTCGTAAAAAAATCAGTAATTATGACCGTTTTCTCCCCGCCGACTTACAGCCTTGTAAGTTTCCGTCAGGAATGTGTACAGAAAGTCCTTGTCTTTGAGGCACTTCTCAAGCTTCAGTCCCGTCCATAATTTCTCCCCCTTTTTTTGTATGTTTGTTTATTTCTTCGCTACTTTGAAAAAAGTAAAATTAAACCACTAAAAATTCTTTACTATTGTTATCAATTCTATTCGTTTTTTTACTGGAATAAACAGTGTATAAAATAGAATTCTTGGAATCGAAATATAAAGGGTATAGCGGGAGACCTGATCCAGTTGCAAAAAACGTACCATTTTGCATCAGGGAAGCAACAAAAATGTGGCAAAATGCTTCCATCTCCAAGTGAAAAAACTCCGATTTCAAAAGCCTCCTTTTGTGAGGCCTTTCAAAGCGAAGTTTTTTTATTTGGAGTGGGAAGCATTTTGCCACATTTTTGATGTTTTCCGGATGCAAAATGGTATGTTTTTTGCCACTGGGTCAGCTCAGTCACTGTAGCTCAGAAGCCGCTGGCAACATTTTTAGGGAGATCAGAGTGTTTCCAGCAGAAAAGATTACTGCCTAACTACACGTGCTTTGATGGTACACATGTAGCAATGTTACAATTACAGCCTCCATTCAGTAAAATGTTTCAAAACGAACAAAAAAGCTTGTTTTGTCCGCCAGATGCCCTTCTACGTCATCAGCGGAAGTGTTTCGCTTTTTCCTGACCAAGCAAATCTCATGAGGAATGACAGCGTGCTGCGCTTGTATAGTCAGCATAATTGGACGTTTTTGAACTTTACATGGCGTCTTTTGCGGGTCGATTTAGTTCGCAAAACTAGTGCAACGCTTCGTAGGGCACGTCATAAAGCTTTTATTTGTGGAAGATTTGACCTCTCAGCGGAAGTGGAAAGTGCGACTTTCAAGTCTGCACGAATGTTATTGCTGATGTTTTGTCCGGGAAAGACCGCTTTTTGTACTCTACCAGACGCGTCGCTGAAGTGAAAAAGCAATTTGGGTTTGTCGCGAGAAAAATTCAGTTTTGGGAGCGATGCGATTGGTATGACTAGTGTGCAACACTTTCAGATTGACCACCATGCTTGTTAATCATAACAGCCCGTAGCGTAACCAATAGAAAAACTTGGCCATCTTATAGAGAATCGAATTTAACACACATAGACAAGAAGGAATTTGTCAACACGATCATGCAACCTGCACTTCTGGGTTGTAGAAGTTTTAAAAATGCGATTTTTTCAATTGTCATCAGGAAGTTTATGCTGCGGGGTTCCTTACAATATTTATATTTTCTAAAAGCCAGCTTGTTTTCTGCTGCCATGCCAAATTTCAGCCATCTAGCGCAAACGGCTAGCGAGATAGGCAGAGAAAAAGCAAGCGCATTCCGAAAAAAATCGAAAAGTTGCGGGGATCGGTTGTGTCCCAAAAGTACAGAATGCCGTGCACCATGATTTATAATACTTGAAAAAAAAATCTTTTTTCGAAATTTAAATTATTCACATTCAAAAAAATTTTTGCAAATATTTTCATACAAAATTTCGAAAGATCAAAAGTTCAACGACCCATCTTACGTGCTCCAGGCAGCATCAAAGTACAAAGCTCTTAGTTTTCTGCAAAAACAATTGTTCGGAACAAAAGAGCAATAAGGAAGGCACGGTCTCGTTTCCGCCTCTTCTCCATACAGTATGCAAAAAAGTGCTGTGAAAAATGCATTAGGATCGTGGACAAGGAAGCTTAAGGTGTTTTATTTATGGGCCGCATGTACTTTCTCGAAAATTGTTGTTTCCCGTCGTTTTGTTTTGCTTCTACTTGAATGAATCTTCTTTCAAGAGCCCGATAATTTACTTCAAACGTGTACCCCCTCCCTTCTAAAACTGTAGCCGCACTTTTGGTCTTTTTATTTATTTATATTTTCTCTAATCCGAATAAAAATGTCTGTGACGCAATCTCAAGTCCTCAGGGTACGTTCTCGTCTTTCCTTTCGTGGCACTCTCCATGGCCTCGGATTGCTTAAAGAGTATTGAAAAGATGGGGGAAACTCCGGCCGAGGATTGTGTAAATTCTGGATTTATTTTTTACGGCGAGATAGCCCATGGGCGATCGGTCGATTTGTCTCGGGTTTGACACACATGCTCTATTTAGGCTATATATAGTCATTCCTGAAGATTTAAGCTCGCGCTTAGTAGGGAGAGCCGAGATATTCGGCGATCTGTGAGAGAGTACGTCAAATGGAGAGTACGAACAGAGTGGAAGCGGGGTTTTTTTTATTTTGTCTTGACGGAAACGGCTTGGAAAAAGCTGATTTTTGTAGAAACGTTGCCTTTTTCTTGGTAATGAGTAATTGATTTATTTTTTATCGCGATTATTATCCTGCATATTTCAGAAAAAGTATAGCAATCATTTGCGCCAATATGGGCTAAAATTTGTGTGTCGCACGTCAGCAACTTGCCATGTCAATGATTTTCCTTAAGTTTAATGTCATCGTAATCTTTGATCCTTGTATCCTTGAAAAAATTATAAATTTTTCTCTAAAAATCACTCCCCTACAGTTCTAATTAATTTTTGATCCGCTGAAAAGTTCAAGGTCTCTAATTAATCCCCCATTTCTCCAGAATCCAAATCTTTGGCCCACTGTAATCGCGGAATCAACAACAGGGATTTACTAAAAACAGCATGGACCCAAGATAGGGCAAGGTTTTTTAAGAGCAATCTGGAGTTCCTGTGTTTTGTTCGGAGGAGTTTATTTTTGGGCCAAACAGATTATATTTTGTTTATGACAAATTTGGGATCAAAAGTTGTCAAAATTTTGGAATTTTCACGTTATGAACTGTTTATAATAGCCATATGAGCGGGCCATAAAAACGATTTCCGCGGTATTTTGCCTAATTTCCGTAGTTTTTTTGTCTGCCCACACCGCTGAAGAGCCCGTCTACCTCTGCAAAATTGAACCCAAAATCGTCAGCAATTTATCTATAATTCTCTCAAATCCGTGCGTTTTGCTATCTCTTTCTGCAAAAACATTCACAAGACCACAAAAAATATTCTGAAATTTCAACCCTATCCATCACATTTTCAATCGACTTTTCCCGACTTGTAAACCCATCCGAAGAGACCTTTTGTCACTCAAATTTGATTTTGTGTCACCTCCTGACCGATCATAGCCTCAGGCTGTTTTTGAAAGTCTCAATTTCTCATTCCTTTCTTCGAGCCGGGTCTGGTTACAAATGCCCTTAAGGTGTGTAAATAAACAAGGTTTTTTATGCCTTGGAGAAGTTTGGAGGTTAGAATGTGCCGTGTGTTTTTGAATATATATATTTTACTTTCTGTTCTACGCAGCATTCCATTTAATCTACACTCTCTACCTTTGCCAGTTTTACTTTTCCCCTCTCGCGTTTTCCCTTGGGAAACCTCTCGGTTATGTCATGAATTTCCCATGTTCTTTTACAAAAGAACATGGGAAATTTTTCGCTATCAATCTTCCGTAATTTTTCGTGTTTGGAAAGGATGTAAATTATTCATAATGTGCTTGTCTTATGACGTCTCAAATTTTTCTGTACTTTTACATAAATGTGTTGAAAAATAATTTAATTTCAAAAAAGATGACGATTATTCTGTCTACGATTATCGAAAAACACCTCTTTTAACACGTGTCCGAATAATTTCCACTTCAAAAAAACGATTATGCCCTAAGGCAGTTTCCGTGTTTTCCACAAAAAATGAGCAATATAACGTATAACTAGAGGTGGCAATCGGGCCGGGCCGGGCCGATTTTTGCGGCCCGGCCCGCGGGCCGAAGTGACCAGGCCGGCCCAGGGCTTTTTCAAATTTGCCCGGGCCCGGCCGGGCCGGGCCGGGCCGGCCCAGCCCGATTGCCACCTCTACGTATAACTCTTCAAGCGATGCTGTTCGCTTTTCACATCATTCAACGCCGCTCCGGAAACGCGGAGAATTTCCGTCTGCAGATTGTTTATTCATTGCGAACTTTGGTCTTCGAAAAAACCTCTGAAATTATCGCGGATTGTGTGCAAAACACGGAAACTGCCTCAGGGTATAATCGTTTTTGGAAGTGAAAATTATTTGGACACGTCTTAATCGGGGTGCTTTTCGATAATCTTGGCAAAATATCGTCATGTTTTTGAGATTAGATCATATTTTAGGTGATATGTAAAATTACACAAAAAATTGTGGTGTCATAAAACGTAAGTGAGATAAAATTTTGTCGAATTTTAAAGATGCTAGTTGGACTGTCTTGCCCTAAAAAATTAAGCATTCTGAAGAGCAGTTTATTTTTTCTGACCGTCTCTCGATGCATAATAATGTCTAGTTCCTCACTAGAATGATTGCCGTATATCTCAGCTCCCCTTGCAAATGGGGACGATAAAAATTTCAAAGTCTGATATTTGGTCCAGACAAAGTAAGCGTTCAAATTTTGAAGGAAATATGGCGTTTCCATCCGCTAATGTGAACAAAAATTGTTCACTGACCTTATTTGCCGAAATCGATTATTCATGGAACACAAACCGCAAAAGTTGTATCCTTTGGAACCTTCAGAAGTCCTCACCACTTAAACCCCAAAAAAAAACACCTTAACCCCTGAAGGCACTTAGAAACGAACAGTAAACAACAAGAGCACTAGGTGTAAAAAAGTTGCATTGAAAATATGAATATTTACCATGCATAATTTAAGCCATTTTTGAGTTATTAATAGGAATTCCTACGTAAAATGAAGGGGGCTAATTTAGCCGCTTATTATCAATTTTTTAGTCATGCAAAGCAGTCTTTTTGCTCCTTTTCCGTGAACTTTGTAAGCTAATTGCTTCCCAAAATCCGGTTACATCGAGACTAGACATGTCCAATAAACAAATAAAATGGACTTTGAGCACGCAGTCTTACAAGTACCACCATATTTTCTTGACCTCAATTTTGTTTTCGTACTCAAAATATTTCAAAAAAAAATTAGTCCATTGAATCTGCCACAGTCAGCAATTATGATAAATCATTTTTACGACAGTTCCTCATAACTTTTTCTTTCTTCAAGAACTCCCAAAGCGTCTTTAACAATATATCATGCATACTTTAGTATGACATATCTCTGTATATCTCATCTTTGACTGTCATGACGACCTTTTTTTTGGTTGACCGCTCAGCTGGTCAACTTTTCCCGTCTTTCTGGAGGCTTCTATTTACCCTTTTTTGGACAAACTTTAGCATAATGGTTGAGAAATTTGAAAAGGCTTACCTTTTGCTCTTCTAGAAGGGAAGAGATGGTATGTTAAGGAAGTATATAGTAGACTTAAAATACAGCTCTATGCATATAATCTTTTAAGAAGATTTTGGGATGCAATAAGATGCTGCGGAAAATAATGCATACATATAGTAAATCATGTCTACATCTGACGTTAGAAAAACTTTTGGTTTTAGAGCGTCTAGACTTAATAATGGCTAGATTTTTTTCGACTTAATTTTTTTTTTATTTTTAAAACGAAGTTCTTAAAACTAGATCCCCAAATTTTTATAAAATTTGGGGCAGATGAAGCCACCAACTTTTTATATTCAAGATTTTTGATTTTGAAAGCCAACTCAAATTTCAGCTCTCGGCTGCAAAAAATGTTGAATATCTCAGCCGCCCCTGCAAAGCATGAGCAAAGATTTTTGTAAATCGAAACAAACTCCATGAAGATTTTTTGGTCAGAATTGCAGGATAATCCAGCGATTCAGCTTTCAGCATTATGCCCTACAAGATTACTCACTCCAAACCGATGAGTCAGCCAAAAAACTCTTTTTTTGGAATATTTCTGCAGCACGTGCCGCTGCCAACGGTTTGCTGAAATCTCCATAATCCTTTTTCCATTCTTTCTTCGCCGAGATTTCAAAATGCTACCCACAAAATTCTCGTGCCAGGAATCTTATGGTTTCAAGGGTTTGCGTGTCGAAATTAATTCCGAAAAGTTACTTTTCGTTGTAAACAGTAAACTATGGCCTTGTAAAAAGGCTTTTTATTAACTTGTTAACTCGTAAGAACTAATGTCATTACAATTTTTAAGATCTTAAAATCATTTTTTACGTGATTTTATTAAAATTTCTATATTTTTGATGATTTTTCGCAGTTTTTGGCCAAAAAATGCCAAAATTGTGAAATTTTTGGATTGTTTCCTTCTTAAAATTTAATTTAGAACACGCTATGTTATTAATGGAATAACTCAAAGTCCATATTTTACGTAAAAATGCCAAAAATTTCCTAGTTTTTCCCCTGCCATACACCTAAAAGTTCTGAAAACTTTTTTGGTCAAAGCAAAAAAACGGTTGGGAAGAGAACGCCCTTGGGGGTGGAGACGGCAATGTGGTGAAATTACTGAAACCGAGGGCAAAAGAGAACGGGCCCTGAGGCGTTTCCACGGCAAGGGCATCAAAAAAGCGCGGCCCTCCGCTTTTTCGGGGCCGAATTTATTTTTCGATGAAACCGAAGGGTTGAGGAGTCGTGTCTTTGATACTGATGGTACCAAGGTCTTCTACAGAGCCTGGACAAGGTCTAAAACTTAATTCTTCGATAGTAATAGGAACATTTTTTGGTTATAAGCGGCGAAATTCGGGATTTTTTCGCAGTTTTCGCCTTTTTTGGGGAATTTTGATTATTTTTGCGTGTGAAATGTGGTTAGATTACTCATATAACTCCCGTAATTATTTGTTGTTAATTTCTCCATCAATTAAACTTCCGATTTCTTAGATTTCGCCCCGTTTCCAAGAAAAATCCTTATTTTTTCAATTTTTTGTCATTTTGGTCATTTTTTGGGGTTTTCTGGAATTTTAAAGGAATAATTGTTATCTTATTTGTTTCTAACAACATTCGAATTTATTGTCATTTATTTAGTTCATTTTTATATCGAATTTGGCTCTTTTTATCATCGTTTTCCCTGTTTTTTTCCATTTTTTTCATTTTTTATATGTTTCCTGTTTTTTAAATTCAAATTACTCTAATTTACTCGGTATATTACCCAGCACATTCCCAGACACATCACACGGACATTTGTTATTCAGTATGACACACTTCCCCTCGTTTTTTCAGACAATTTTCATCTGTTTTAATCCATTTTTTCGTGCTCGAGTAAATTTTATTCGATTATGAATTGTCGGAGGATCCAATGTTCATTTTAGAGATGAGGAAGTGATATCACAAAATTTGGCGGATATTATTGCTAAGAAAGATTTTTTGGAACAACCTTTTAGAAAAATGCTTATACCCCATAGAACAACACAAACATGCGGTGCTGGACATTGTAAGTTGCCTTAAAAAGTAGCTCAATGGGGTTTGTGTGTGTTCAGAGGCAGTAGGATTGAATATCGACCAGCTGGAGTAAGGCTTGGCTGTTAAAAAATTGAGTTTTTGGCCAAAAACGCTTTGAAAGCCTCTAAAATTTGATGATTTAGAAAAATCTGATTGTATAGAATTTTGTAATGGAGAGAGCAACCCAAAAAATATTTTGTAGCATCTAGAAGGTCTATAGAACCGAAAAATATCCGTAGTTTTTGATCTCCATGGTTCAAGTTTTCATTAGGCCCACTTCTTTATATTGCACTAGACAAGAACTCACTAAAATAATGAAAACTTGATTTTTCGTCCCAGAAAGGGCTGAATAGTGGACAATACTTTATATCAAATAAATTGTGAGGCTCCAAAGTCACTTTTGGCTAAAAACCACCTCCATATAACGAACTTTTTCTATAACAAACAAGTATTTTTTCTTTTCAGTTTGTAATCTCGTGATAACAAGACCACCCAAAAGAATTGCGAATTGCTAATCCCTGACTGCTTATAGCCTTTCTTTTTCGTTAAAGATTAGTAAGTCTAGTTTTTGACGGGTTTCTCTTGTCTCAAGGACCCCGAAATGTCATGTTACTTCGAGAGGAAACGTGACAGCTAGCTTTTTTGGGAAGAAAAAAGTGATTTTTTACCAGAAAACTATGTTCTGACAAAAAAAGTAAAAGATACAGCAAAATTAACCGTTCGAATCTAATTTTTTCAGCCCGAATCAAGGTCTATTTGCCCGAAGATCCCCTTCCCTGTGCTTCGGATGTGCTTCCATTAAAGGCGCCCTTAACTGATGATAAGGTTTATGGGCCTGACGAGCCCATTGAAGAGGCCAAATTCTACGATCTGGTCAACAAACTCTTTGTAAGTTTTTCAAAAATATGGACATCAAGACTTCAAAATTCAAAAAAAATTGTTCAATTTTAGAATTGAAATTTTGTTTTCTTTTCCACGCGATTTATTTACATTCTAATTTTTCTAAAATTCCACTAAACATCCGTTTATTCCATATACCGTGTTGCCATGACAAAACTCCTGTGGGCATTTGCATTTTGATAAATTATTCGTCGGCTTATCTGGCTACTTGTCACCATCCTCGGCCAAAGAATGAATTTAAAATTTAAGCTCGAAGTTTTAAAGTGAAAACAAAAATTCGCTATTCCATTAAAAAACTTTTAAAATTAAAGCCTATTTTACATTCGTTGTAGTTAAAAAATTTTTTGAAGTTATTTAAGATTACTGTATTTTTAATTTTTCGCCTTTTTTAAAGTTTATTTGTCATCAAATTTTGGGCGAGCTGCGCCCGGCCAGAAATTTTTTAACTGCCAAAACAAATATTTTTTTGATTCAAAATGGCACTAATAGAGCTAGTATAATAATATTATTTTTTCAGTGCGCAGTCAAAACTCTGAACAGATCAGCCATCTTCTTCAACGTAGTTCAGCTGATATTAGTCTTCTCAATACCACATCTTATACTCGCTTTATTATGTTTTGGATGTGCAAGAGTGGCAAGGAGTCATTGCAAGGATAATCGAACACTGGTGCTTCCAATCATTGTTTACTCGGTAAGCTGGCATAACAAGATATTTTCGAACATGTAGGGCGCAGTCTGCGGACGGCTGAATTTGGGGAAAGGAACAGGAATCTAGGAAAAATAGGTAGCAAAACGTGAATGGAATCTTTTTACATTACAATTATTAAACTTTTCTTTTCCACCTAGCTCTCATTTCCAAGAATTTTTCCCGCAGCTTGCGCCCTAGGCTGCTTCCAAAGCTACGAGATTCCTCGGAAAAAATACTGTCGGGATACGATTGATGGCACGGAATGACATTAAAATCAATATTGAGATTATTTTGTATAAAAAAATTGGCGACCTGCGCCCACACAAATTTTTGATTACTAACTTCTGGACCTGTTTACTCATTTTTTCTGGCCTATTGTTCTCCTTAAAGCATGCGCATATGATTATAAATTCTTTTCACCCATTTCCGAGTCTGTCGGCTATTGAGTCCACCTTGTTTTTATCAAAAAATTTTGAAATTTTCTTTGAGACCCATGTGTAGTATGGGTAACGCAAAAGGCTTGTTTTTGGCATTGATATCACCGTCTGTAAGAGTAGAAATTTTAATCGAATTTAGAAGAGCTTGGAAGTAATTTTCTGATGGGGCAAGCTGCGCCCTAGCTTAAATTCAAAACAAGCGATTTTCGGATTTTTTAAATATTATTTTTGGTCAAGCTTTTGTAGAGGCACATAAACAAGATTTTAAAAATAAATAAAGAGACTATAAGCCATTGAATAAAAGTTATTTTACATCATAGTTTACCATTTCTTATATTACCCTTCCAGATGATGCTGTCGGTCCTATTTTCCTTCAAACTCTCCGAAATTTGGCCAGTAACGTCCTCGAGGCCCCAACAACTCAACGGCTTTGCCGAATTGGCCTGTGCCCCATTCGGATCGTGCTCCGGCTTCTTCGATCCCTCCATCCCATTGGTCCGCACGCTGCGCCCTGGCTTCAGTCTGGTGGAGTTGATCGGATTCAGCCGAAAGACGGCTCTTCTGATTGTCCTCGTCCATCTGAAGATTTTCGGCTTCATTTTTATGGCCCTCTCCGCGATGGTTGTCCTGTTTTTGGTGGGCGAAGAGAAGTATGGCTTCAGAATTGCGCAGAAAATGAGTCGCCGCCGCTACAAGGCCCTCCGATTGGCCGCATACACGATGACGACGGTACCCTGGGTACTGTATTTGTGCTCTCCGATGCTGTTTAATTGAAACTGTTAAAAAAAATTACTAGTCGCGGAAAAAAGTCCTTAGAATTTTTCGCGGCCCCCAAATCTCGTCGCACTCCGAAATGTTGATTTGTCGCGGGAATCGCGCGCGACAATAAGGCAAAAACAAGAAAATTGCACAGTGCAAAAGCACTTTTCGGGTTCATGCACAGTGCAGAGTCGCAGAAAATTCTAAGGACTTTTTTCCGCGACTAGTATCTTCAGCTTTTTTTGAAGCGTAATGTATATTTATTTAAAAAAAGAACATCGAGTTTTTTATTCCATGTATAGAAAATCTCTGACATTCTGGTCTATCTATGATAATATCGAATATTCGGTTGGCTATTTTTTTTGTTTTAACGAAGGCACATATTACGATTTTTTACAATAAATATTGAAAAATTTACATTGTACTTGACTTCTTGACATAGTCAGCTTGACTTTTTTTTATTTACTAAACAAAAAGTGAAAAGAGAAATTGGAAATGGCCTCAGGGCCCATTAATTTCATTGGCTCGTGCCTTATTAGACATGGCTCTACGGCTGACCTTTTCCGGCCGCCCTTGGCATGACCAAATGGGGCACGTCAGAATGAAAATAGAAGAAAAACGAAATTTCGTGAGGGGCCGCAGCGAAAAGCAACGGCCGATTTTTGTCTTCTTTCTCTGACCGCTCTCTTCCTTTTTGTGCGTGCGCCCTCTTCCTCTCGCCAATCGCAAATCGTTATTTCGCGGATCGCCACGGCTTTGACGAAATTCCCTTTTTATTTTGACGTGTGGGGCCCGGTCGGGCTTAGAATCAAATTTGGTTTATAAAAATAAAGTATCATAGATTTTCTTCTTGAAATATTCAACAAGAACTTACTAGAGTTATTCCTCCAATATATCTTAACTGTCTGAACTTGGGGTAAAAAATAATTTTGGGGGAAAGACTTGGCCAACCCTTGAGAAAAACTTGACCCCGCAGTGCGGCCACCGAACAGGCCCCCGCCCGGCCCAGGGCCATAACTATGCCGTATTGCTTCCGATTAATTGAGATCACAATTGACGCACAGTGCAGCCAGAAACCAAGAATGTTCTGCACCATGGAAAAAAATGAAAATTACTTCGCACAGTGGAATCAAAAAATTGATTAAAAAATGAAAAAAACCTCAAAAATCAATAAAAAATTTTTATTAAAAATTCCTCATTTCCTGTAATTTTCCATCTGCATCATTATTTCCCCCCTTCTTTCTTCTTCACATTTGATTTGGCCCCATTATTCTCCGATTGCTGTGTTTTTTCCTCCTCATTCTTCCCCGAATTCTCCTCTTCCGCTCCAATTTTCTCCTCCACCTTCTGCACCACCGTCGATCCTTGTGTTTTCTGGGACTTGGGAGCCTCGAATTCGCACCCAATTTCGTAGACAACGTTGCCCTGCCCCGTCGTGTGTTGGATTCGAGCGGATGGAGGGGCCAAGTCGGGATCGATGGGGGCGTCGTCCGTCACATTCTTCAGGTCCCAGTCCTTCTTCAAGTAGAGGGTGCCCTTGTATTCGAACTGATCGGCCGTATAATAGGGCTCGGCCGGCGTCTCCGGCACGCTACTGGCCTCTGGCGGACGTACCGGAGCCTCTGAAAAAGCAATTATATCGATTAGATTGCAAAAGAAACAAAAATTGTATCGATTATATTGTAATAGACAAGTTTTGGCAAGAAAATTTTAAAATTGAAATTTTGAAATTTTTCGAAATTTTAGCAGAAAAATTTTGATGATTTAGCCTTTCTGGAAGACAAAATACAATGAAAAAGATTATAAAAAGGCTCATCAAACCTCTATGCAACACATTACAGAGCCCACAAGACATCCGCCTCTCAGCCCTATCAATTTATTTAAAAAATTCAAAATCCAGAGGGTGAACGCTCAGAATTTCTTAAAAATTTGCATACTGAGTCCATCTAGACCATCAATCAATTGCTAAAAAATTTAGTTCCCGTTTTCAAGTTGTAGCCGAGATATTCAACAAACTCTGGGGGGAAAAGAGACTATGCAAACCGTGGAGAGACGGTCAGGGAAAAAAATTTTTTTTTATTGGAAATCTTTTTATTTCTTATGAAAATCAAATAAACAATAAAGCCTCAATTTTTCTATAGAATATTTGATTTACTTATGGTATAAAAATCGTGAGTATTCCTGCAGATCCCAAGGTTAAAATCCAATTTGTATTTCAAAATTCAGATTTCATTTTTCGCCCTAACTACCATTTCTGGCAATTTGCAAGAAAAACACGTGAAAAAAGACAAAACCAGCGTTTCTTTCCTTGCAATTCCGAGAGAACTTCATTATTCTTGTCGTTATGGAGATATTCCCTCGGCCAAGCAAATGTTTCTGTCACAATTGTAACCAAAACGTTTTGCTATATCTACTTGTAGGCTCAACAGGGCTCGCGGCTACATAACGACATTTTTTTGTTTTCTTGATGTAATCTTTGCAATATTTTTTGGTGAATTTGTCGCAAACTCGCCATTTCTTGAAGAATTTTCGGAGAATCCGATTTTTTTTAAAACCGGGCCGACCTTAGCCGGACTGGGGCTGAAATCAAAGCCTGGGGCGTTACGAAAAATCACAAAATTAGTCGGCCTGGGGCGGTCGAAAAATTTTGGAAAGCCTGGCCCGGAGACATGTCTATTGTAGGGTTTCTCAATTTTACTGTTATTACATGATTTCAAGGGATTCATGAGCTTCATTATGAGGTCCAATAAAGCCACAAAAATTCTGTTTTTATTATAAAATTTTTTTTGTGGTGCTTTCCCTCATTTCCCCCCGCTTACCTCGATTCAGACATTTTCTCACAAAAATGATCATAAGTACCATGAGCACCAGCAAAACCAGGCCACCCACGAATATCCCGATGACGTAGGTGGTCATGTGGTCCCTGCAAATGTTCTAACTAATGTTTTGTCAGTTTTCAAAGCTCTATAAATGTACAACTTACTCATCCGGCGGCTCTGTTATCTCGCTTAGTCTCATAATTGTAAACACAAGACGATTTGTCGACCGCTAAACGCCGATCGATCGGTGAAAATTGTTTTTTGGCACATTTTTGAATCAGAAAATTCAAAATCGTTGTGCCCGGTTTTGTCCCCATTTCTTTGGCCTTTTTGTCCCCAATATTTTATTTTTGAAAATTTTTTGAGCAGCCAGCTAATGAATTAAAATCACAGCCTATTTTTTAATGGCTAGCCGAACACCCAGCTTGCCAAAATGCCAGAGTGGCGTTAAAGGCTTAAAAATGCTAGCTAACAAGTTGGAATGGGTGTCAAAAATTTATACAGCCAGCCAAACTACATATTTAAATGGCTAGTAAAGACCCGGATCCAACCATTCGGCTAGCTTTGTTCGATTCTTTTGGTATGGCAGGTTTTCCTAAGCCGACCAATTTAGCAATCTTACACTGTCCTGTTTTTTCCCGAGACAGGTTTAAAATCGAGGTCCTTATGTTTGACACTCAAAACGAAGATGATAATTAATCGATAGGGGCATGAAAACCATCAGGCTAGGACAGAAAACACGGAGAATTTAATGGTATGAAAAATATTTTACTACACCTGAAAGTTTTCGCAGCAGGACCCGTGAAAAAAGTTGCGTTTTTTATTTGTCAACCTGTATTCAGACCAAGAAACTTTGTTTCATGGCACGTCTTACAAACGCAGTCACACACTCCAAGGCAACTCTATTTAATGACTAAAATTTGCAAACTGTTTGATCAGTCTCGAATTTAAATTTGCGATAGGTCAGCTTTATTTTTACTCTCCTTTTTATCCAGCCTTTTACTGGATATACCTCCCACGCTCCGCGGTGAAACTCCTTCGAGGGATCGGAGATAAAATCTCAGCTACCCTGGTCTCATTTTAAAGATTTGCAGCCTGATTTTTTCCTCTCGAAATCTTCATCTTTGTTATTCGAAACTTAATAAAATTTTTTAGTCATTTTCAGACATATTATGTATATATCAATATGTCGAGAAAATACTGTGGATTCGTTGGGTTTCGAAGCCCTTTTCATCGCTTTTTGACGGCTAGCCGTGGATATGTGCGAAGCCAGACTTTTTTCCGCGACAAAACCACATTATTTTCCCGACAGACTAATAACATTAAAGTGCAATATTTTTTTGTTTTTTTGAAAAAAAACTATAATTGGTTTTGATTTGAGCCGCCGCACAATGTGCAGCTTATGTTTTTAGACTTCAATTTGTTTTGATTACGCCCGCTTCCGCCATGAAACAGGTCTTGCCGCAGCTACGCAAATAGCCATTTTTAAGTTTTTGAGCCCAAAAAATCACCAAATTTTTTTAAAATCTTCGTTTTTTAGCCCTTGCTGCAACTTGTTCCTTAAAGTTGTCGAAAATCCTCTCACAATTATTCAAGCTTGTGACGAAGCGCCTCCGGACACAAAACCTGCCAAATTCGTGGAAGTTATTTTCATGGTAAACTGGCGCAATTCCCGTGATAAGATCGCAAATACAATACGTGGCGGCGATTAGAGAAATCCGCGAATTTTAGCGTTTTGTACGGAGCTCTGTGAGTAATATTATTTGTGTTTGAATTGGGATCATTTTCTTACGAAAGGAAAGTGCGGATTCGGAGATTATACAGAGATGCGTAAGCGGGTCTATGCATAAGACCTTTTTTCCATCTTTTTGTACAGCCTAAAAAAGAATTTCCCAACATAAGAATTGCCGGTTATTCATCAAGCTGCCTGCGTACTACTATAGTGAAGGACCTGACCCAGTGGCAAAAAATGTACCGTTTTGCATCCGGGAAGCATCAAAAATGTGGCAAAATGCTTCCTTCTCCAAGTGAAAAAACATCGTTTTGAAGGGCGTGCTTTTCAAATCGGATTTTTTGACTTGGATAGGGACTTATTTTGCAACATTTTTGATACTTCTTGGGTGCAAAATGGTACGTTTTTTGCCACGGTGCCTGGTGCCCACTGAACATCCAAAAGCTTGGCCATTTCTGCATCGTGCGACACTTAGAGTTTCTCTTTTATTTTCAAAGTTTTGTCGAGCATATGCCATATATCAATTCCTGAAAGTTTTGGCTCGCGCTCTGCAGGCGATGACGAGATATTCAACGAACTCTCCGACCCAAAAAGTTTGCGAACAGCTGAGAGCGATAAGAGAAAAAACAACACTTTTTGGCCCCATCTTTGCCAGTTTTAATGGTGGAAAACTTTGATTTTTTGTGAAGATAGAGAAGTGTTGCCTTCTTATGCCAATCTTCGCAAAAAGTCACCACATTTTTGCAAACTTTCGACCTCAAAATTATGGTGAATCTCGGTCGTTTCTACAAAGACCTAAAGGCTTCGTATATGTCCTAAAAAATTAGTCCAAATTTGTGCCAAACTTTATCAAAATTTGAGCGTCGCACTCGGCGCACTTCCCCTTGTGGGCGGAAGCCCACCATATCGACTGTACAAATATATATAGCTGTTCAAACGGGTATTATTTTTCTTTGCCCTTTTAAATTGCGTAGGCTTAGTTTATTATCCTTTTTTGTGAGGTTTTGTCTTTCCTACATAGTTGCCACTACGAAAGAAATCATAGTTCATAGATTTTCGTTGTTTTTTTTTGATGCCCTTTTATTTATAATATTTCATAATTGATTCTTTTTATGGAAAAAAGATATCTGGCTAGTGAAAATATTACTGAAACTTTTCACTATGTACAATACCTTATTGTCAGTGTTGAACCTAACAGGCCATAAAAAAATATTTTTGGCCATAACTTTGGCAGTTTCGGGCGGAAAATTTTGATTTTTTGTAGAAACATTATCCTTTACGGTAGAAATAGGCATGAAACTTTTCGTGCCGAAATTCGGCAAAAAGTCCTAAATTTTGGCCGACTTTTGATCTAAAAATCTCGGTTGTTTCTGCAAAGCGCGAGCTAAGATTTTCGCATATATCTTAGAAAAAATTATCGTAAATTTGTGCCAAGTTTCATCAAAATCTGAGCGTCGCACTTAGAGTACTTCCCGTGTAAGGTTAGCAATAGCTGAAATTAGAAGAATTGGTTGTTTTGTAAGCCTCCGCCAGGTTGCTTACAATACCGCCGAGCCTTCGCTGAGCCTCCGCCGAGCCTATGCCAAGAATCCGCTGAGTATCCGATGGCTATTCCAGGCCTCATAAGCACATCTTACCTCCTTTCTGCGGGTCTCCGCCTGCCCTCCTATACCTTGTATCAATCGATTGGTAACTGCGTTGGCAGCTTGGACAATGATCTCCAAAAGTGCCCTAGAGTTTTGATTTTTTATTTTTCTTCTGATAACCTCCTTCAAAACTGTATAAATCTCCTAGAAACATATTCTTTGATCATCACAAAGTGAACACTGTTATCTCCCCGTTCTCCAAAACAACAATGACCTTGCAAATTTTCCAAAAAATGTGGGGTTTTCCCCATTGGTTGAATTAATTTCGAACTGAATTTTGATTTCCCCAAATTTGGAATGGAATTTCCCCGAACGGTTTTCAAAAACTCCTCCTACATTGAGGCCTGAGGGCTTTGAAGTTTCGAAAAATGTCAACGCTCTCATTTTTGGCGGTTATTTTTGGGGGAAGCCCTTAGGGTCTAATCGGCTTACGATCGTTTTTTCAGGGCTGGGTATAAAATGATGGGCGCAATATTGTAGTAGAAGGGGCGAAAAACATGATGAAAAATGTCTGAATAAAAAAAAATTTCAAGGGGTTAAAAATTTTTTTGTGGCCGGCTATATTTATGGCAGCGTATGTTAGGTTCTAATACGTGGACTTTTGCGATTTTTTCAATTTTTTCTTTCCCCAAAAGCCAACTTCTCATCGTCAGATTTTATATAAATTTGGCACAAATGCTCTGTATTGGTCACATTTCACGGGGGTTTGATCAACAACGTTTTGGGTTTGATATACCAGGTCAAAAAGAAAGTGAAAAAACAAGGAATTTCGGATCATTGATTTTTGACGAAATGTCACTGAATTATCCAGACACAAAAGAAAGCTTTCCCAGTGATGAATTTTTTGTTCGAGAAAAATGTTTTTTCGAAGGGAAAAATAATTTTCCGAACTCGATAATTCTGTGGCACTTTGCAAAAAATCAATGATCCGGGATTCCTTGTTTTTTTTCAATTTTCTGAAAGAATTTTTTTGACGTGGAATGCCAACTTTCGTGGAAAGACAACCCTTTGAGCGCAAAATCTTGACGTGCTGGGGCTCTAAATATTTTGCATTTTTTGTATTATTTTAATTTTTTTTAATTATGGGGGTTTGCCTTTTTTCTTGGGGGGCTTTTCTTATAAATTGCGACGATTTTTAAAAATTTCTTATCTCCATCTTTGTTTATCACCATAAAAGTTCATTCAATGTTTGTTTAGCCATAAAGACGTCGAAAATAACAGGAATGATTAGGACAGACTGGTTGGTCCCAACAAAAACGGTCTAAAAGCAGAATTGGGCTGACATTTTTGGCTCATAAAACATAATGACGCATCTTATTATTTTTGACGCTCTTTTTCTCGCGTTATCGATTTTTACAATTAAAAAAATATTTTTTATAAAAAATTTCACTAGGGAATGGACTTTATGTGTAAATCGATTTTGACTTGGGACCTAGTCAGATCGAAAGGTGTGTGGTAGTCGATTATTCACTTGGGGGGAAATCTCTGCGCGGGGCTTCAAAGCCGAGAAAATCGGCTTCAAAGTTTGGACGAAAATCAAAGGATAGGAATCCCGGAAAAGGAGCGATAAAAGGTGTGAAGCAGTGGCCGAGTGGTCAGTGCGCTCGCCTTTTGCGCAAAAGGTTGCAGGTTCGAATCTTTCCAAGCTCAAATCATCATTTATCGTTTTTACTTTTGCTTTCTTCGTGCAATCCGGCTGTACATTTAAAAAAGGGGTATAGATAAAAAAAGTTAACATAATGGAAAGTTGTTTTTGAATACTTCAGGTTGATGGTGTGCCCTGCGCTCTAAAACTGTAAAGGGAAGGTGCGAAGCAGTTGAAAATGGAAAAGTTCCGTGTAAAATATACTACTTGCATCGATAATCGAGTTCAGGGGAAAAAATTAAGAGAAGTTTTTGTCCAAAAAAGTTACGAATGGAAGCAGATTCGAACTTGCGACCTTTTGCGCAAAAAGCGAGCGCACTGACCACTCGGCTACTGCTTCACACTTTTTATTGCTCCTTTTCCGGGATCCCCGTCCTTTGATTTTCGTCCAAACTTTGAAGCCGATTTTCTCGGCTTTGAAGCCCCGCGCAGAGATTTCCCCCCAAGTGAATAACCGACTACCACGCACCTTTCGATCTGACTAGGTCCCAAGCCAAAATCGATTTACACATAAAGTCCATTCCCTTGTCAGCTATATCTAGACCATGGAGAAGGTAAATGAAATGAAAGCCAAGCTGGGTGAGAAGCTCGGATTCGATCAGAAATTCAATCACACTTCCAGTGATCTACCGTATACCAAAGTGGACGACAAAGCCGATGACAAAACCAAAAATCCATTTTCGGAGACAATTGAAGTAAGTGTAATATAAAAAATGTCAGCTTTTTTGGCAAAACATAATGTAAAATTCTAATATGTGTCTTAGAAAATTGCAGGCTTTTTTTTCATAAACCTGAAGCAAAAAAAAATTTTTTTTAATCAAATTTTTTTGGTGTCTAAAATAATATAAAAAAATTTAATTTTACATTCAATATTCTTTTTTCAGTGCTATAAATGGTCGTTTGCAACGATCCTTCTTGTCTATGGACTTCATACCCTCTGGCTATGCTGCAGTTTACCCAATGTAATCCATGTGATTACTGGGATTTTCTGTCTGATTTTGGTGGTCTTCTGCAGAAATAATCGCCGACTTGACCTGGTCCCCAGTCTGATTTATTGTGTAAGTTATTTTAAGACCGTATTTTATAATTTAACTATTTTTTTTTTTTTTTTTTTTTTTTTTTGAAATCCAAAATTTTTTCCATTCAAGAAAATTTTGTTTAAAAATAGATAATACTTTGCATAATTGTTGCCTATAACAACCTAATACTAAAAATGTTGAAAGAGCATGTTTTTAATGGGTTTCCCTCCAAAAATATCCTTTTTTGGGATTTTTCCACTCCATAATTCCCCTCGAAATGCAATTGTTTTTAACCACAAATCACAAGCAAAACGATTATTTTGCAGTTCAAATTGAATAAATTAGAGGTCGATTCGGATCCGAAAAGTAGTTCCAGCACAACACAGAAGCTGCGGATAATATGATTTATTCTCAGCACAAGTCAAATCAGTAACGTTTTGGAAGCGTTAAGGATTAGAATATATAAATTGCTGTGCTTTTACAGAGAACATGTTTCACTAAAAACAAAAGTACTTAGATTTTGATGAAGTTGAGAATAAAGGCAAAGCAGAATTTTTGAGCTCATTTTGTACTTCAACTATTGGGATTTTTAGACCAAAAAATTGTTTTCAAAAATTTTTTCAATCCTAAAAATTTTAAGAAAATTTTGTGGTGCAATTAAAACTAGTCCGTTCGTAAAGTCGCTGGATTAATTTTTGGCGTTTGCACTGTGCAGAAAAAATCAGGGTGCGAGCGACACCCAAAAAAAGCCAATTGCACGGTGCAAAAAAGCAAGAAATTGCACAGTGCAAAATGCACTTTTATTTTCGCACAGTGCATGTCGCAGAAATGATTTTTGGTGTTTGCACTGTGCAGAACAAATCAGGGTGCGAGCGACACCCAAAAAAAGCTAATTGCACAGTGCAAAATGCACTTTTATTTTCGCACAGTGAATGTCGCAGAAATCACTTAGCTTTGCGAATGGACTAGTAAAAAAATATGGTTTCCGTTCAGAGTAGCGACACTGGACTACATGAAATAAACTGCTGTAGTTCGAGAAATATGAGTTTTAATTTTGATGACCAATCATCTCTAAAACAATATAAAAAATTTTAAAAAATGGTGTTCACGTTGAACAAGGGTGAACTGACACTTATAAAAATCCGTATTCTAACAAAATTTTAAATTTCAGCTCGGTCTGAACCTGCAAATCTGCCCTTTGATCTTCCCCTTGATCAGCCAATGTCTCTCCCTAAAGGACTCGGACTACCCTCAAGAAGTCATGTATTTCATCCTGTACGATGCCTATGTCCAATTCTTCGTCTTCGGGATCACCATGATCTCGCTGATCCTGTTGCCCATCGCCATTTACAACGAGCCGCGCTTCGAGGCGTCAGATCTGGACGATCAGCCTCCTCTTCCCTGGTACAGTAAATGGTGCTATTTTGTGACGGCACTGGTAATTGTATTGGTCATCGGAGTGGTCTGGGTGGGCTTTGGATCATTTACCGTCCAGAAGGTCCGAGAAATCACGAACATCCAGGAAATCAGACATTGGAGGATCTGCTGACCTAACACAATATAAAAATATGGGATAAGTGCAATGGATAACATTATGGAGATGAAAACGGGAATGTAAATAACGCATATGTACTTAGCTATAATATGTAGTTTAAATTATTTTTTATTTTCACGGATAATAAAGACCGAAATTTACATAAAAACGAAGAATTGAGAACTCGGAGTTTGGGAATCCCAAGACTCTTTCTTCACATTTTAAATTTGCATAAACCCGTTGATTTGCATTGGAAACGCCGACTTTTCTTTTCACTCATCCGCGAAGCTCTTTCCACTGACTGGTCGCTTCAACTGACTCCAGCATGACCCCGCGAAGACTGCTCGGCTTTCTGCTGCTGGCGGCCCTAGCGAGCGCCAAAATATGCGCCGTTTCCAAGGACGGCTATGTGTAGGTCTCCCTCCGCCCGCTGTGGCCTTAGTTTCCATTTTCAGCGAGATAGACTGCTCCCCAGCCTTTGACTGGATTCAAGATAATGTCACCCTCTTCTTCGACTACACGCCCATCGAGCTGGTCTACGAGTTCACGGTGCACCCGGAGTGCTTCAACGCGACCGCCGACGGGGATCTGATCCTCCATTACAACTTCTCCTATTTCGAGCTGGCCTGGGGTCTGGACTTTGTCGCCGGGCAGCCGCTGAAGCTGGTCGTCCAGTCCTACCTCGACGACAGCGACAACGAGACGTCCGGATTTGATGTGCCACTGCGCACGAACAGCTCCGCGCAGGGCGAGTACACATTCAACATCACGCAGCGCTACAACGAACTGTAAGTGGGCGAGCATATATTTGGTCGTCCGGAAAGTTCGTTTGTTTCTTCATTGCTTGGTTTTAGAAGGATTGTTTGTTCTTTGGCAAATGGAATGCATTTACTTGATACAGCTTTTTCTCCTGTACAAAACTGGCTGTATCGAATAAATATATTATACCCTTTGCCAAACAACAAACAGTCCTCGTAAAAGAAAGCAATGAAGAAACGAACGAACTTTCTGGACGACCTAATTTTTTTGATGGAAATACAGCGGAGGAGCTGATCCAGTGGCAAAAAACGTACCATTTTGCCTCCGGGAAGTATCAAAAAATGTGGCAAAATGTCTCCTTCTCCCAATGAAAAAGCTCCGCTTTCTAAACCGCGCCGTTCTTTTTATGAGGGAAAGGGCGCGCCCTGCAAAACGGAGTTTTTTTTAGTTAAAAGGGGAAGCATTTTGCTACATTTTTGAGGCTTCCCGGATCCAAAATGGCGCATTTTTTGCCACTCCATCACTGTATGAACGACTTTTGATCCCTCAGTGTTAAAAATGTATGATTTCAGCATCCTCCAAGACGATACAATCCCGCCAGACGCCATAACGCCGATCTACCTGGGCTACGGCCTCCCCATGACCATCAAGAACAACCAGACCTTCTTGAAGCAGGAAATCGGCTTCTTTCGGCGCGCCGAGAAGTGCCAATTCAGCTTCAAGGTCCACGGTGCGCAACTGGTCAGCGAAGAGTCGGAGTTTTGGGTCGATTGGCCCGAATGGACCTACGCGACCTGGGTCATGCTGCTGTTTGTGTAAGTCTGCGTTGAAGCGACTCAATTTTTAAAAGTGATGAGTTTGATTTGCTAGAGTGTAATGCCTTTAATTTCAGCGGCTTCTTCCTCGGCGCCATCGTCGCCTTTTTCCTGGGTCGCTGCTGCGGTCGGAATGCCAACCGTTGGTACATCTGGGAGCCGGAGTCGGATTCGTTTGAGGAAGTGGAGAAGGTGGACTCCAAAATAATCGAGCCCTCATCGAAGACGAAGTAGTTGCAATTGGAGACTGATTCTTTGTCGGAATAAACTGATTTCTTTGGAGATGGCGTTATAAATTACATCTATGACATTCGATATCATATTAATGGCTTAAATTTGCAAGATCGTAAAGAAAAACCCAAGTGAAAATATCAAAATAAAATCAATGACATTTGATGTCATGGATAATATAATTTGGTAATTATAAGGTGATTTCTAACTTTTCAAGGCAAATACTTTCTCTCAAAGCCTCTGACAACATTAACCGAATGAATTTTGCATTTATTGAACCTGATTTCAACGCGAATTAACGTAAACTCAAGCGTTGGAAAGGACCTCAGATCTAGAACCAGGGATGACCGTGATGTCCATGGTGTCCGTCATGATGTCCCCAGCTTCCGTGACCCGAATGTCCATGTTCATCGCCATGAGAGAAGCCGGCGTCGTGTCCGTGATCGTCTCCAGCCTCGTGTCCGTAGTTGGAGTGCCATTCATCGCCGGAGGCATGAGCCTTGTGACCTCCGTAATCGACGCGAGCCCAGTCCGATTCGTCGCCCTTGCTGAAGCCGTGTTTGCCGTGGTGATCGTGGGAGTTGTCGCCTTCCCAGCCGTGGGCATCGTGGTTGTCGTGGGCCCAATCGGAGCCATGGCCATGATGTTCTCCGTGATGGTCGTCGTGGTGGGGCTCCCAGCCGTGGTGTCCGAAGAATCCTGAAGAATTTTGAGTTTTAGCGAGGAAATCCCAAAAAGATACGTTTTTGATGACTTGGAATGAAAATATTAGTTTTGGGAAATTTGTCGCAAAAAGAGTTCATAGGCCAAAAATTTCGAGAAATGCTTACCAGAAGCGGAAACAAGGCCAAGTCCGGCGATCAGAACAACGGAAAGAGTGGATGCAGACACCATGATGCTGGTTGATGATGATTCCCATGCCCAACCAGCTCTTTTATATTATTTTAGCGATCTCAAGTCATAAGGAAGGTCATTATGAAAAGTCAATACATCATTTTATTAGATTCTCAAGCCAGACAGAATTTTACATAATAAATTAGCCAATAATAACTAAAGATTATGTAATAATATAGTAAATTAAATACATACTTTTATACCATAACGACACAAAAACAAGATCGCTAACCTCATAAAATTATGAGAAGATCGCCAAACTTGTTGTGCAATCCAAAGCACATTATTTTACGTAATAAAAGCGTCTGTAAGTGAAAGTCTGAATAATGAACTGTCTGCTCTACACAAATCCGGTTTGAGAGCCCTAAACTAGTATAAAAGAAGCGGGTTGGGCATGGGAATCATCATCAACCAGCATCATGGTGTCTGCATCCACTCTTTCCGTTGTTCTGATCGCCGGACTTGGCCTTGTTTCTGCTTCTGGTAAGTATAATCACCTAAAATTTTTATTTTTCAAAACCTTTGGCCAATGAACTCTTCTTGCAACAAATTTCCCAAAACCAATCTCTTCATTTCAAGTTTTTACAAACGTATTTTTTTGGGATTTCCTCGCTAAAACTCAAAACTCTTCAGGATTCTTCGGACACCACGGCTGGGAGCCCCATCACGACGACCATCACGGAGAACATCATGGCCATGGCTCCGATTGGGCCCACGACAACCACGATGCCCACGGCTGGGAAGGCGACAACTCCCACGATCACCACGGCAAACACGGCTTCAGCAAGGGCGACGAATCGGACTGGGCTCGCGTCGATTACGGAGGTCACAAAGCTCATGCCTCCGGCGATGAATGGCACTCCAACTACGGACACGAGGCTGGAGACGATCACGGGCACGACGCCGGCTTCTCGCATGGCGATGAACATGGACATTCAGGTCACGAAAGCTGGGGACATCATGACGGACACCATGGACATCACGGTCATCCTTGGTTCTAGGTCTGCGGTCCTTTCCAACGCTTGAGTTTACGTTAATTCGCGTTGAAATCAGGTTCAATAAATGCAAAATTCATTCGGTTAATGTTGTCAGAAGCTTTGAGAGCTATTACTTTCTTTGAAAAGTTAGAAATCACCTTATAATTACCAAATTATATTATCCATGACATCAAATGTCATTGATTTTATTTTGATATTTTCGCTTGGGTTTTTCTTTAAAATCTTGCAAGTTCAAGCCATCAAGATTAATTTCCTTTGTTTATTTATCCACGGCCTCGTTCTGCGACAACAAATTAAAAACTTTTTGTAAAAACCACACAAAAAACGCAATTTTTGGAATTTTATAAAGAAATTGAGCAAAATTGAATCTAAAACAATGTAAAATGATTTTAACGTGATAAAGAGAGACCCGCAACGTTCTCCAAAGACGTGACGAACAAGTTGACAATAAAATTTATGCATAAAAACATGTCCATCTACAAAAAAATCATCAAATTTATAAAAGTGATGAAGGGGAAAACAAAAAAATAACTAAACGACCTTTTAGCCGTGTCTACTACATTTTAGCAAACGATGCTGTTTATTAAACAGTAGACTCGATTTGACCCGTTGAATATCAACACAACAAAAACAGAGTGCTTTACAACTTAGAAATAAACGGATATTAACTTTACAGACAAAAACACCGAAGAGTGATAAGAGCCGTTGATAACTGTCGGCCATCGATCCATAGCTTCTATTCCTGAGAGTCTGGGGCCTTTGGTGGGGAGGGTGTGCGTTCGCGGGCCGTGTCCACGAGCGGGGATGGGGAGCGGCTTCGGGAGTTGCGATCGTAGCGACGGGAGCGGCCTCGGCGTGCAGATGGGGAACGGGATCGACTGCGAGATCTGGATCGGCTCGACGAGCGGTATCTTCGTCGACGGGCCGGGGGAGACCGAGAGGGAGATTGGGATCCACTAAAAAAAGACTTTAGTAAATGCTTATTAAAATTCGTCCAAAATCCTGTGGCGGACCTGATCCAGTGGCAAAAAACATACCATTTTGCATCCGGGAAGTATCAGAAATGTTGCAAAATACCTCCCTCTCCAAGTGAAAAAACCCCGATTTCAAAAGCGCGCCCTTCAAAACGATGTTTTTTCACTTGGAGAAGGAAACATTTTGCCACATTTTTGATGCTTCCCGGATGCAAAATGGTACGTTTTTTGCCACTGGATCAGGTCCTTCACTGTATGATCACTTACGATCTTCTCCTTCTTCTCTGTCGTCTATCATCTCGATCATAATCTCTGTCCCTTTCATCCCTTCGTTCGTATCTTCTCTGTGGCGAGTACCTTCGTTGTCTTCGATCTTCCCACCTTCCAGGGGCTCCTCTGCCTCGTCCGCGGCCTCTTCCCCCAAAGTAAGGCTGGGTTTGGCCATCCTTCTCCTCAAACGGTTGATTAAATTCATTTCCAAACTGATTCTGCGGCGGCGTGAAGGTCGTCGTCGCCGTTTGAGGTCCCTGGGTCGTTGTTGCTTGTGTTTGCAATCGCCGCAGGCCTTCTGTTGGTTGTTGAGCGTGCAAATTCCGACAAGCTTCGCCGAAATTACAGTTGCCCTGCATGAAGAACTTGCAAGGTACGGGGCCGCGGATAGGGCGGTTCCCAAAGGCTGGGCGGGTGTTGTTGGACTGGTTGCCGAAGAAGGCGCTTTGCCCGCGTGCTCCACTGAAATTCGGTTGATTCGGGAAGGGTGGGCGGGCGCCGAAAGCGGGCTGAGTGGGGGTGGAAAAGCCTGGTTGGAATGGGGCGGTGTAGGAGTCGATTTGCTGGATGACCGGAGGGGGTTGGTACTGAAAGAAAGAAGAGTTAAATTAATTCAAAAACCTTTAATTCTGCACTAAATATTACTCATCTAGCGACTCAAAATAAAAACTTTCGAAAAGCCCAAAAATAGTTTTTTTCGACTGGTTGAAAATCTATACCCTCCAAAACTCCATTACCATTTGTTGAGTCGGATCGTTCAATTGCTGAATTACCGGCGCTGCTTGCGATTTCTTCGCGGCCGAGTCGACCTTGCTCAAAATCGCGGCCAAATCCAGACCGCCCACCACATTGGCCGTCTTTCCCGCCAGATCCGCCAACACTTTGAGGGTGTCCGTGGTGACGACCGGCTTCTTTTCCTGGCTCGGGATCGGCATTACCGGTTGATTTCCAAAGGCTGCCGTTCTCGGCGGCATTGCAGGTTGAGATGAGGAGCTGGATGGCGAAAAAATTGCCTGCGGGGAGGAGAATGGAAACGCGGAAGTTGTGGTGACAGGGGAGCGAATAACCGGCAACATTCCACTGGTTGGGGTCGAAACTTCCTTTTCTTTTGCCTGTTCTCGACCTCTTAGGTCCTGGTCTTCCTCTCGCATATCAAAGTCGCCTCTGAGGTCTTCGTCCTGTTTTCTGAGGTCTTCATCTTGACTCGGAACGTCTGGATCCGGCTTGATACTGTTTATGATATCCTTTAGGCTATCATCCAGGCTGACTTCTTTCGGGACCTCCGTTCTTTTGACCGATTCCAGGATGGACAAGACGTCTGCTGAGAGAGCCACCGGATTTTGAGTTGAGCTTTGAGCTGGGCTAGTCACAGCGGGCGATGGAGCCGTTTCCGGAGCCAAAATCGTCGCCGAAACTCTCAAACCCGGCAACTGAGGTACATTTATATTTCCGGCGCCGCTCGCAGAGTTCCGTCTGGCCTCCAAATTCTCCGGCTCTTCCGATTTCACTTCGGCCGGGACCTGCGGAAGATTGGCGGTGGTTGTGAAGGGGAGGGGCAGACGGAGGGCGGCGCTGGCCGTGTTGATTGGGCTTGGCATGTGCTGCGGTTGGGGCTGGGACTCTTCTCCCTTGCGCTTGTCGCCGCTTCTAGTCACGTAAATTACAAGGGATCCGGGGTCCTTTTCGAAGCGGAATTCGGCTTCGGTCGCCTTCACCACCAAATCATCATCGTCGTTTTCGTTGGCGATCGGGGTTGGGCTGGAAATAGAAATAATATGATCAGCCTGCTATGATATTACACTGTTCAAAAAAAACTTTATTTTTATGTTCAATTTTTTTAATTTCAAAAAAAATGAAACTAAATTTAGCCCAAATTTTTCCAAAATAATCAAAAGAATGCTATATTTTTTCATTTTTTTATTTTTAATAAAAAATTAAAACTAAATTTCGCCCAAATTTAAACAAAAATAAAAAAATGCCGCATTTTTTTCAAGAAATCCCATTTTTTCTTTCCGAAAAATCCCCAACTTACATTTTGGGGCCAAAGAACGCGGCCATGCTGCTCTGCTCTCTGATCTTCTCCATCACGGCCAAGGTGCTATCAGTGCCTCTCGGAAAAAGGGGCATTCCAGCAATCTTCACCACCTTGTACTGGAAGCCTGGAAGGTTTCTCCAGGACGTCGATGGTCCTGACGGTCCAAATTCTTGTTTAGGTCCCGTCCATCGTCCAAATCCAGAGCCGTCGGGCTCTTCTCCGGGAAGGCCGGGCAACGGGGGCAACGAACTTTCATGTTTGAGTCGGGCCAGAGCATCATGTTCCTGCTGGGCGTCCATGTGTTTCATCTCATTGGGGCTGAGTTTGGAGACATTTACTCGTTCGCTGGCGTCGCATTCAAAGTGTCGAGTTTCGACCAGCTCGGCTCGGAATCGAATTTTCCTCCAAGATTTCTCCTCCGCATTCAGCGGATCGGTTCGCAGGATGCCCGGCTTGGCGCGTTTGCTCTGTACCAATTTCTGAATCACTTCTTCCGACAGTTCCACCTCTTTCTCTTGTCCTTTGCCCTCATCGAAGGACCTCTCCAATTCGGCCGACTTCTGCAGCGACGGTCGGATCGGGGTGACCACCGTGACTTTGGGCTTCTTTTTCGGCGCCGGCGCCGGGCCAACCGCGTCCAACGCCGCCAGAAAGTCTTCGGAGGCCACGTAGACTTTGGGTTTTGGCTTGGGCTTGTCCTTCTTGCTTGGGGTCGAAGCGGGTTTTGGGGCGTCTTCTTCGAGACCTAAAACAAGGTAAAATTAGCTGTAATCTTTGTATATAAAAAATCAAAAAAAAATAATAACTCCGATCGACTCACGGATCCATTTGGAGGCAACAACTTCTCTCACAACTCTCTAAAAGAAGAATTAACTGCAAACGAAAGTGCTTCAGGAACCCTAAGATAATATCGATAGCACAGATGACAGCGCGAGCCTGTTGATTTCACACCTATAACATCCCTTTCAGACCACAACACATCTAATCAGAGCCATTGATCCACAAGAGACCACATATTTGCCATTCATTTCCAAAAAAATCATCTCAACCCCATGGATAACAAGTTTGTTCTCAAAACTTTCCACAACCACCACTTTTACGGCTACAACTAGTCAAAACGGGCCACAAGCAGTCTATAAACCCAATTTCCGAGAAAAAATTCAGCATCAATTTCCCCTCAAAACAATTATAAAGCCTTATTATGACGTCATTCTAGACCTTTTTTGCCATCGCTCGGTGAACAAGCGACACGCTATACCGACCACTCTCCATGTAGCAAAACAGTGGACTCTACAATTCTGAGGGCTTAACAGACGACGCTACAACCCAATTCCGACGAAACGACGTCAATTTCGGTGGATTTCCTTTCATTTTCGGCATTTTTAGCCGTTTTCGCAATATTTTCTTGAATTTCTTTACTTTTCGTGGCTCCATCTGGGTTCGCTTTCATTGTCCATCGTTCTCTCCATCCAATAGCGGGGGGATTCAATTCATTTTAAAATTAAAAATTTTAAAACAAAACTCGAGGTAAATTACAGTAACCCTATTGAAAATGAGACCCGTAAAATCGATGAGATCAAGACGAAAAGAGATCTGAAACGATATCAAAAAATCAAAAATGTCTGTTCTCGAACATTTATGGACATTCGAGAGGAAATCAGAGAGCCGAGTGAGAGAAGTTGGTCCAGCCAAATCGAGTCCGCCCGTCGCAGCGGCGTGGTCGGGAACGCACCTAAAATGCAATTCAAAATTATATTTATGACGAAACATTACAATTGCAAGGGTCAACTTTAACTTTCACTTATATTTTTACCAAAATTTTCGATATTATACTTGATGACCAAGTGTAATATAAAAACCTCTCCTAAACTTTCTGAATCATCATAAAATTCTTTCAAATTACCAGGCTCTATTAGGGCTCAATTCTGCTTCAAAAATTCACCATCCTTACCTGTCAGTCTACTCTTATTCATCTTGACCTTGGGCTTGATGCGCACCTTGTTCTTCGAGGTCTCCTGTGGCGACGGAGGCTTCTCTCCGGATGCTTCCTTATCCGTGGCGTCGATGAGTTTTCCCAGGATGTCCACATCCGTTGGCTGATGTTTTTCCTCTTCTTTTGAGAGCTTCTTTGGAGGTGATTGTTTCACCGTCTTCTTGGCCGCTTTCTCCTTTGTTTCCTTTGTCTGTTTGGCGGATTTGGTCTTCTTATGTTCCGTGGCGACCTTATCCTTCCATGAGGTAAACAGGAAGCTTGCTAATTCATTAACTTCTGAAATAAAAATACAATTTTTTTGGCACTGAAACGCCCTAAGTTTGACAAAACTTCGTGGATAATATAAACCAACCTATAACTCCGACTTACTTTTGTTGGAATGCTTTTTCCACAGCTCTCTAACCATTTTGGCCGTATCCGTTTGCTGTAGCAGATCGACTGAGACATCCGTCTGAAAAATTATATTACACTTGATAGCTATGATGACTTTTGAAGACTTAAAAACCAAAGTCAACTGAAATTTTAACTTACAAACTTCAACGTCTCCAAATGTTGAACCAAACGTTCTCTATCATCCTTTTCCACGGCTTGTTTTAGCCATTTATTCATGCATTCCCATCCTTCCTTGGTTGCGAACCTTTGGGCTGCTTGTTCTCTTGCTTTTTGGCTGCTGAAATTAAACGGTTATTATTCAAATGATGTCAAATTTGATGTGCTTTTGATTTAAGAATAATATCCTCAACTTTCAAAGAAAAATTTACAAAAATCTTCAATTTTTGTCTAGTATAATATCAAAAAAGTCCATAAAATGCCATAAATCACTTACATAGCCGAATCATCCGCTGTCAAATACAATTGTTGGCCTCTGCCTTCATTTGACACTCGCTGTGCTCTTTTTGCAGCTCTTCTTTTTTTGATTTCAGCTTCAACATCCCTTTGGTCTCTCCTCGTCACAACAACTTGCTGATGAGGCGCCGCAACTCTTCGTTCAAGCTCCGGCTCATCCGCTTCCATCTCAAAATCATTTTCGTCGAGCATCATGCGAGCCGGCTCGTTCATCGAATACGATGGCAGGCTTTGTTGGGGATCGTATCCATCATCATCCTCCTCCTCAAACGGGTTCATCGAGATGTTGTGCTGGGCCAGGGTCGGCTCGTACGACTGATACTCGGTCCCAACAATCTCCTCCGCACCGGTGTACGGGATTTCGCCGCTGTAGAAGTACTGCTGATTCCATTGTGGGTCATCCATTTGGCGATTTTGATCGACAGTGACGAACTCGGACATCTGAAAGGAAAAAATTATTAGTTTTTGGGATAAATCGCCCTGTTCTTTAAAAAAATCGGGAATTTAGATAAAGTGATCAAAAATTTTATATTGTACATGACGATTGATATTACACTAGACCCAAAAAACCCAGCCGCTTCTAAAAAAGCTGGCGAAAAAAGAACGACAGCCTCGTCGGCAAAACACGACTGAAATTCCACGAAACAAAGACACCTCGCCGATAATCGAATAAAAAAATGTAACAAAATTTGAATTAAAAATGTATCCAAATTTGAATAAAAATTAACTTTTCTTTTGTAAAATCAAACGCCGGAAATTTACATAATTTAGAATTCTGAAGTACCAACTGTTTTCGTTAATTAGCCTGTTCCGGGCGATTTTTTGGCGATCTAATTAGCTGACCTTCATGGATAAGATAGTGTGGCATTGTTGGTTTTTATTTACACAATGCAACAAATGCTATCCAATTGTGGTCTTTAGATCATAACGTTCCATTTGGGCAAGTCTAGGCATTTTGTTGAAACCATTAGAGATGTTGCAAACAGTTTTTTCAGAGGTAACATGGTGTCATGTATAATATCAGATAATTAGACAAAGGCTTAAAGGATGTAAAGGCCTTCTAGCATTAGCTTCCTGACTTCACAGGCTACAAAACAAGCCGTATTGCTTTTAACACTTGCTTCCTAAAACATCAAAACAAATGATTTGAATTACCTCGTAACCTTGGCCATTTTGGTAGTCGTCGGAGTAATTATACTCCTGCTGTGAGATCACAGGCTGCGGCTCTAACAGGTCCTGCGGAAACGACAACTCCTCCTGTTGATATTGGTGCTGTTGTTGCGGGGGTTGATAGTAGATTTGGTCGCCGTTGTAATCGACGACCGGCAATCGATGAGGATCCGACATTCAGGTTCAACTTTTACAAACTTTTTTCTTGGAATTCCTTGTGGAAAATAATAAAAATTTATTCAGATTTGCAAATTCTATGTGGGAGAAGGTGCGTTGAAGTGCTTTTTATTACTTATCCATAGAAAACATTGATGAAAACGTTGAAAAAATCTGAAAATATTGAGTTAGAGGACCTGAAATGGTGGATCAAGAAAGACGCGGGAAAATTCACGGAAACATTTTTTAATACGAAAACACATCACAAAAATCAAGGGATAATTCTCAAAAATGACAATTTTAGCCAACAAAATATAATTTTGGATTCAAAAATTAAAGGTATCAAGTATAACATAAAAAAAATTCACTGAACGCAACCAGAGCCAACAAACATATTGAAATCAATAAATTATGGCTTGAAAAGGACAGAGGAACAGATTCTGCTTTGCTTTTACCTTATTTTAGGCAGAAAAAAAATATATTTTTCTTCCACGACATCTAAAACAATATCGCCTTTAAAACAGCCATTTTCACTCGTTCAGATGTATGTTTCTCCTAAAAATACAAGCTCAGGATCTTGTAGAATCGTCTAAATTTCATTTTTTCATCGGATTCGAGAACTTTCAGCTTCTTCTCCACAATTTCACCAAGATTTCAACAGAAAAGTGGGAATCAATAGGAAAAAGGGCAATTTCATCCAACAGCCAACCAATATTTTGAGACGGAAGGACTGCTGACCCATTCAAACTGTGTTGTGCGCCCCTTCCTCCCGCTTCTTTCTTCCATTTCGACGGAAGAGCAAAAAAATGGGCGCACTTTCGGAGGACCCATCAAAAAACAGGCTAAATCAATTCAAAACCTCAGAAACTGTTTGAAAGAAAGAAGTATTTCCACAAACACAAGACAATCAGTCGCTAAGGGGCATTGCAAACGATATTTCGAGAGAATTACTGCCAGAAAAATATCAGAACCTCTCTTAAATTTGAGACTTCTGGCATCAAACCTGTCGAGGATAATATACAGATCAAAACTGGAAAAAAGTTGATAAAAATGCAGCTGTAAACAACGTTACCACCTTATCGGAGAGGCCAGATGTTGGGGAATAAACAATTCTTCGGTCGCAGCCTTCACTTTTTTTATCAGAACCAAACTTTGGCATTCCGTTTCAGGCGCGAATTTGAACTTCAAATAATCTGAAATCGGCGATTATTGATTTTCAATGTATGCTCATGGGGTTTTACACCATTTGAATTTACAATCAACATATTTTATCGCCAAAACAGTTTATTTTTGCAATATTTTATATTAGAATAGCATGAGGTCAAGTGTAATATCGGGAAATCAACAAAATACGAACAAAACCGTCTCCAAATCTCTTTCAACTCCTTCTGAACCCTTTATTCCTCCTCTTCTTCATTTTCGTCACTACTGGTGGACAATTCGCCAATAATATCGTCGATTGGTTGAGGTGGAGCGTCCATGGTGTCCTCGTCTTGCGGTTCGATTGTAGTCCGTTTCATGGCATTCTGAAGTGCTTCATCGTCGTCATCCGTGTCTTCCAGGTCTTCGTCATCAGGGACGACCTGTTCCGGAGGCAATTGACTATCTTCGTCATCAAATTGTGGTGGCTTATCTGATGTTGTAGTACCCTGCTGAGTGGCAGAGGTCGACGGGGCGTTGTCGGAAGGTTCTTTGGTATCAGATGGTTTGTCCGAGGTGCCAACGCTCGGATTTTTCTGGCTTCCTTGAGGTCGAATTTCTTGCTCAACATTGACCACTTCCCAGCGGACGGATTCGGCTTCGAGATCGGATCTGAAGCCAAATTTGGATAAAATCCTTCATAGTAAAAACGCCTCTACTTTCCATAAATCTTTTTACAGCTTTTTCAACCCACCTTAGCAGTCGTTTCACCTCTTTTTCGATCTCCGGCGCATCCATGTACTTCTTCTTCTTTGTCTTTCGAAACCTCCGTTTTCTGACGTTCTTCAGCGATGGGGCCACACCATGCGGATACTGATAGAACTTCTCTTTCTTCTGCTTGACAATCGACTCGTTTTTGGTTGGATCGGGACTATTAAATTCGGTGAAATTGGGTTCATCAACGGGGGTCTTGGAGCAGATCAAAATCTGCGCGAGATCGGCAACTTTATAAACATTCACGTTGTCCAGCGTCTTCATCACCTAAAATACGAAGTCATTAGGCTCTTAGCTTCCTAATTAAGCAATATAAATCATAAAAATCTCAAAAAAATGAGATAAAAATACCAAAAAACGGTGTCCTACCTCAATGATACAGGGCAGATCATAAATTGTGAAGTGCAGAACATCCCGGCCAATCTGAAGGATCCCTTTCCTGAGTTCCGGATGGAAATTGATGTGTAGTTGTTCCTCTGGGGTCGCTTCGGTGCAAAATCTTCGCACCCGATCAGCAAATTCGGTGGGAACTCTGAGAAGAAGATGGTTTTCCCATTCCACGTCTGGATCGCTGGGTGTTTGCGGCGCCGTGCTCTTGCGTTTCGGCTGGTATTTCGAGCCCATTTGAGATCTAAATGAACCAGCATTACCTTACAGATCACCTTTTTTCAAATACTTTTGGCTCTTATATTAACCATGATGACTTTGATTCAAATATCATTTAAAAATTTGTTTGCAAACTCTTTATTACGGACGATTTAATTTAAAAAAGTAAGAAAATAGAACAATATAAAAGTAAGGCTACAAAAGAATCCCGTAGTACCAGCGATGACATAGAAAAAGTTGAATATATACAACAAGATAAGCATAAATATTATTAAAATTACACTAACCAGTAATTGAAAAAAAGACTTTTGGGTGTTTCATTTTAATTTTTGGAGCAAACTGCCATGGAAAACATCAAAGAAATCAAAATGTTGAGTCATCTTTTTTACCTTTTAGTTTCTTTGTAAAATTCGCACTGTGCAAAAATGAAAAGGCCCTGAGGCAAAAAAAATTGTAGAAAAAAAGGAGCATAGCCTAAGGCATGTTCGAGGAAAAAAATCCAATCAATCCATTGGGAATGAAAGGAGTAAAAAGAAATTAGAAATGAGCATGTACAATATAATCTGCACCTTGAAAAAAGTAGCTGCCAAGTAATGAAACCACTTCAAAAAACAACGAGGCATCTTCTCTCATATTCTACAGCTCACAAACAACGAATAACCCCACTTCAATCTATCACAATACTCAAAAATCCCAAAATTCTCTCAATTTTTGTGGACTTCCTCACAAATCGGGGCATTTCTCGGCTCTGCCCGGCAAATAACCGTCCTCAATGTCCGATCCTTTAGCCTCAAAACACTCTGAGGGATTCTCTGAAGCTTGACGGACTTTATCAACCTTTTCAGGCTTCGAATATCCGCTTGCCCTAAGGCGATTTTCTCGTTTTTATGGAGGATCTGATGGGCGATTTGTCTCAAGAGGCCCGAAAACCGGATGGAATCCGGCTTGTCCTGGAATTTGGCGGCGATTTTGAAGAGTTCGGTCTGTTCGTCCAGGATCTACAACAATTTTGTGTAAAATATTATTCAGCAGATATAAAAATACTTTTTTTTCTTTCTTCTTACCTCTTCAATTTGTTTTTCCTCCAAATTTTCCGCATTTTCCATTCGTTTGAACCAAAAATCGATCCTCAAAAGACCATGTTTATAATCGACAGCCAATATTTTGTTCTAAAATACGGAATTTTAATCGATTTTAATCAATTTTCGGTTTTGAAGACAACAAAATTTTTAAAAAATCAAAAAAAATTTTTTTCCTACCTGTCTGACCAACGGGCTTCTCGCGCAACAATTTCCCTTCAAGAATTGGGTGAATAAAAAGGCGGGATTCAAGGTCTCAGTGGCCATTCTGATCAGCAGCCTGGGCTCATCTCTCATTCGGTTCGTGAGCCTTTGGGATTCGTAATCGAAGAGGAAAATGGACGGGAGTTTGATGTCGTCCGTGCGTTTGTCGTCGGCGCTCATCGCGAACTGAGGCGATTTCTCGGACGAGGTGCCTCGTTGATTGTCTGAAAATCAAAAAAAAGTTGGAAAACAGCAATAACATACAGTGGGGGATCTGATCCAGTGGCAAAAAACGTACCATTTTGCATCGGGGAAGTATCAAAAATGTGGCGAAATGCATCCCTCCAAATGAAAAAAAATCGGATTTCAAAAGCCTCTTTTTGGGAGGGCCCTTCAAAACGAAGTTTTTTCACTTGGAGAGGGAGGCATTTTGCCACATTTTTTATGCTTCCCGGATGCAAAATGGCACGTTTTTGCCACTGGATCGGGTCCGTCACGGTAGCCTAGCGAACTATTCCCAAAAACCAAATTTTTTATCTTATCCTTACCTATGACAATAACTCCAACTGCTCCAGCTTCCTGCGCATACCTCGCCTTCTCCTGGAACATACATTCTCCTCGCCGAATCACCGCGATTTTCCCCAAAATCTCCTCGGAATTTGTCAACGGGGAGCAAGCCACATTCGGCTCGGCAAAAACGACTTCAGAAATCACCTAAAATAAGGTAAAATTTTTAAAAATTTTGCAAAATAAACTGGATTTTTTAGCGAAACAGGGCCTCGACATCCTTCGACTCTCTATTATAAATATTTTGGACGTTTCTAACCATCAAACAAGTCTCAAAAACGAGTTCAAAACTCACTTCTTCGGTTTCCAAGCTTGGCCCAAACTGCGCTGGAGATGCCTTGAAAATTTCTCGACCAAAAATCGGGTCGGATACTAGTTGAATCAGTGGGTCAACTCGGATTGGAGCTAAAAATATTCACATATCCCCCAAATTTTCGCAAAAACCAATAAAATTTTTTTCAAAAACTCACGATTTTTCTCCAAATTTTTGGCAAATTCGATCATTTCCTGGATGAATTCAACGCCTTGGAGGGCCGTGGCCGCATTTTCGGCCTAAAATATGATATAAAAATCATCTTCAACACCCAGTACAATAAAAAATCCAAAAAATCGTCTAAAAACAATATAAAACTATCGTTTATTTATTCATTGGCACTTTTAAAGACCAAACACAGTCGTATTTTACAATTATGACGTTAGATTTTGATATTGGATATCTAAAAATTGGTTACCTCGTATAAAAAGCAAAGGAATCAAAAGAAAAAAATAGTGATGATATGAGCTCGTATGTACATAAAGAGTGGTCAAGTGTGAGTTACAACGTTTTCAAGACGCTAAATCTTCGTATCTTACCCGAAAGTCCTATTAAAACCGAGGCAAATCTTATATAAAGCCCTAAATTTTAGAGTCATCACAGAGGGATCATGGATAATATTTTGACAAAATAGGGTCCAAAAATAAATTTTTTGGTGCAAACATGGACTTAAAATTACTGTAAAACCTTCGTAGAGTAGTCTGAAAAAAATTTAGAAAAATTTAAAAAAAAAAAAATTTTTTTGTTACAGTAACCCAAGTCTAAAAAATTCACCAAAATTTGAGTTTTTACAGTAATCTCAATTTTCCAGAGTCCCTATTCCTCACTGTGATCCCTATTTTCCCCCAAAATTTTTCGTTTTTTCCTCTTTTTCGGCCTCAAATTCTTTGCCGTCTCTTCGTTTTCCTCGATCCCTTGTCCGAAAAGCCTCAACAATTCTTGTTCGCCCTCTTTTTCCGCAAAATTCTCGGATTTTCTTCCCAAATTTTTCAATTTCGTCATGATCATCGCGATAATCATTAGGAAAGCTCCGCCCAGGACCAAAGATATCCAGGTGATTAATATAAGAAGTAGCACAACTGACATCGAAGCCAGCGCTTGTTTGGATTGGAAGAAAATCGGGTCATTCTGCAGGTCCAGAAACGAATTTACGCCAAAGACGGAGCGGTAATCCAACAGAGTTTGCCAGGAATTTCCAGAATTTGGGGCGGTGGACTTCTGAAATCAAAAAAAATGTAAATTCCTTGCGAAAAGTGCCAACTCAAGTGCAAAAAGAATGGTTTCAGACATCTACAAGTACGGTAGAGCATCCTTATGCCAAAAAATTATGTTTTCTGAGGGACTTTCTATGACCATTTTTTGGCTCTAAAGTCCACCGCCGCTGGAAAAAATAGAAAAATTTTAAAAAATCGTCAAAAACAAAAAAATTTTAAGTTGTAAAAACCCCATATGTAGACATATGGGACCTTTAAAAACCCACGAAAAGACGTTAGACCACATCAAAATTTAATTTCAAGTCAAAATCGACAATAATTTATATTACACTAGGCAACAATTCCGGCAAAAAAGCCCAAAATCAAGTCTGTCAAACTTCAAAAACACAACCATCTACCTACAAAATATCTTGTGACCACTTTATATCAAACTCAGACCAAAGACTATATTACACTTGGTATCCAATATAAAAAAAAGTCGTTTCAAAAACGATAAAATACGTTCGTAATTCCCCATAATAACTTTAAAAAAATTTTTCTCCCAAAATTTACCACTATTATTGCAAACAAAATATCAAAGCTTACATCCTGTGCCATATGGCTCAATTGCATTTTTCCATCCGGTAAGACTTGAATTTGGATGCCCATTCTTTTCAGTTGTGCTATATGATCCGCATTTGTGGTGCTGAATGCCCATGCTCGAAGTCGGTCGCCACTAAAAGCGTCATAATAAAATTTTTTAATTTTATATTGTAGTAGGTACCTAAATCAAAAAAACTCTAGCATATTGAAAACTTACGCCTTTTTCTGGACGTCTGCAGCATTTAGAGAGTCCATGTGACTTGGTTGTAGTAATGGGGCCAGTGATCCTAGACTCGCGACCTCACTCAGCAACTTTTTTACGTTCGTTCTCAGGCCTTTTCCATACAACGAAAGTTCATCGGCGGTTCTAAATTCACTCGCAAAGTTGGGACAGGCGCTTTGATACTTTTTGGCAGTGTCATCTCCGATCACTTCGTCCGGATCTATGAGCATTCTTCTCGGCAATGAGTCCGGACTTCTCGATTCTCCAATGGTCAAGGGTAAGAAATGGGCTTCAGTGGTCAAAACATAGTTGTCGGGGTCAAATAAGAGGTCCGTAGGTTCCGCAAATATCATGTACAAGTATTTGAAGGTCTCGGCGAGGACGAAGCTTTCCATTTCATCGAGCAATTCCATGGATCTCACATCCTTCACAGCCGAATATCCGCAGGCAACGCGGACGTGCTGATTCATCGAATCCATTACGGATTTCGCCACTTCCAGATAATGCGGGTCCTTGGTGGCTCTGTACAACAAATAAGTGGACTCCAGGAATTCCGGCCTCAGGGGATGTTGGGCCCAATAGATTTGGAGGTCATGGGTGAAGGCTTCGGGTAAAAATTTGTGCTTCTAAAACAACAATTTCATTCAAAACTCAAAAATTAGCCAGTAAAATTCAATTCAAACACCTATGCACTTCTTCAGTTTAAAATTGTAAAAGCAAAAGCCTCCGCGAATCACCAATCATCAACAAATTTATGCCTGGGGCGGTTTCAATATCGTCACCGGCAGTGTGGATCGAACCCAGCTGGTTCGGCGTGCAACAGCGCGCCGCTTACCAACTGAGCCATAAAGACACTAGCAGCGGGCTCTTTCTTTTTTCACCCAATCTTTTTTCGCTTTTGAAGAGAGGCTTTTTGTGACGAAAAATGCGATTTTCCAAATAAGAAACGCAAAAAAAATCACAAATTTTTCCTCCGAACAAGAAGATTTTTCTAAACACCTCCTAATTTTTCATTCTCAACCCAATTCTCCCCAAAATTTTTATCCTTTGATCAAAATTTCTTGCACTTACCTTAATAACTTGATATAACATCTCATGCATCTCAATTGCTCCTTTCAAATCGCCCTTGAGGACCTGAACTCCCGGCCAGAAGGCCAACAAAGCGTCCATGTATGACCTGGCGGCGATTGTTGGTCGATGCATATGCACATCCACAAAAAGTGGGCCTCTATTCAGGTATTTCATGACGCTTTCATAATGGGTATTAAACCGATGTAGATAATCTTCCTCACCCAGCAAAATATAAGCTTTTAGGGTGTATTCATAATAGGAGTCGATCCCAGCGCCGATCCCGGCATCTCTTCTGATCCAATCCCCGGAATGCACATTCAACACAGTGCCCATCAGATTGGAGCCGTGATTCCGTTGATTCCACAGGAAGTCCATGGCTTTTCGGCTTTTCTGTTCGTAGATGGGATTACCCGTGAGACGAGAGAGGGTGGCAAACTCCAAAATAATGGTTCCCGCACATGCTGTGCACGTATCACTTTGATGTTTCAATTCTGGGCTTAATCCTCGTTTTAAATTGATTTTTGAGTACGGCACACCACTGGTCGAATTAAAAGCCGGCAATAGTCGATCAGCAAGGTCCACGGCCATATTTAGAAGCTGATCCGAGTACCAGGGCATTCGTTGAGGATGCTTATCTTGTATTAGTTTAGCCATCAGATGCCCTGAAGATAAATTATGTTATAATAAGCGTGAGAATCGTTTTTCAAGTCAAAAAAACCCCTATATAATCATATTCAATACCCAAATTTGGTCAGAGACACTCTCCTTACCTGATATGAGTCCTCCAACCATTCGAATATTGGTCTCGAAAACTGATACCGTAAAATCTGAATCGAATCTGACTTCGCGAATAATCGCTGCCGCCGCCTCTTCAAACTCGTCCAGTTCGTCCAAAACGGCCAGAGTGTCCAGTGAATCCACCAAGGTAAGTGAAAAATTGCCTAATGAATCATCGACATCTCCCCTGGACAACGTTTTTCCCCTTATTCGAGGTTTGCACGAGATGGGCATGATCTCATCGGCCATGAAAGCCTGTGTTTTGTAGGCCGTATAAGCGTGCATGAACATCTCTTTGGCCTGATTTCTAAAAATCGAATCAAAACTTGCAAAAATGATCTTACTTTAGGTCTTCTTTGTGTTTCAGGATCTCATTTTCGGCTTCTTCTGCGTTTATGTACATTAAACATATGATCCCAATCCATATTAACCTTACGCCTCCCTGATATCGCATCTTTTCGACAAAAAATCGCCCCTCTAATAGGGAAATTCACAAATTTTGTAAGAAAAATCCCAAAAAAATGAAAATTCTACTGGTTTTTGGGGAATCACTGGGCTGGAACTTCTTCTATGACATTTCGGGTACCGGGAGGATCTGAAAACAACAAAAAATTGTAATAAAACACGTGGGGAAAGCAACGAACAACCAAAATTAATATTGTAATACATCAAGATATCAAATGGTTCGTTTGACCATCGAATTGTTAATACAAATACTATTTCAAATGCTTTTATTAACCATCAACAATTGAACAAACATAACCACGACGAATCTTAGACCTATCTATTGTAAAATAATGAGAAAATCATAAAAAATTTGCTAAAAAATGACCCTTTTTACTGTGACTTCCCGCTTTTTTGAAGAGAATCATGTAGACTGAGAGCTGATATAGTGTTAGGTGAGTGTTAAAATCTTTGGTAGTGTCATTGTTGCTCTGAAATCGAACATAATACCTTATGCCACCTACTACAATATAAAGTATCAAAAATTATTTTCGAGACATACTTTGTTGATTCATATTCTGCAGCTGTAGGAAGAGTTGATTCATATCTCCATTATTATGAGCAATCAATTGGGTTAGCAGCTCTGTGCTGAGAGCATTTGGATCTGTTGGGTTTAGCATCAGGGGTACTGTAGGTGCCCCTGAGCTCTGTGGGGTGGATGATGACGGTGGATTGCCAGCTAGAATCAATGGGTATTACATTTAAGAACCGTGGAAACAACTACGCTTAGAAATCAAGCGTGCTACTCAGAATTTTTATATTATCCATGACGACGATACAAAATATTAAAATTTCAACGTTTTTTCAAAGTTTTCCTCAAATTCAGCTCTCAATTACCCCAATCACAGACTCGAACTCTTGAGATACAGTGGGGGACCTGATCCAGTGATAAAAAACGTACCATTTTGCATCCCGGAAGCAAAAAAAAATGTGGCAAAATGCTTCCCTCTCCAAGTGAAAAAAACGTCGTTTTGAAGTTTTTTCACTTGGAGAGGGAGGTATTTTGCCATATTTTTTGATGCTTCCTGTATGCAAAATGATACGTTTTTTGCCACTGGATCAGATCCCTCACTGTAACTCAAATTTTTGGGTATTCGTGACATCACCCCAATTTTAAAGAAAAGTTACCATAATTATGTAAATTTTTCTCCCCAACCTTTTCCCAACTCCCCTCATTTTTCATTTCTACCAAATCCAAGTGGTCGGCAGCCCACAAAAATTTACTTTCGAGGATGTTGGATTACCTGCTCCCTTTCATGCGACTGGATCATCACCCGGAATTTGTTCGAGTTCGGATCAGAACGAGGTTTTTCCCGATTCTGACAGTAATTACCGCCGTTCTGGCCTTCTTTACTGGCTATGGATTAGCTGTGGGACAAGGGAGGACTCAATGGAATTTGCCTTATATTAGGTAAGTCATCATGGATAGCATAAATCGATTTTTTTCTTTGAATTCCAGTGATGGTGGAACCTTTCCTCCGGAATCTTGTATCTTCGGGATTCTTCTGTCAATGTCTGGATTCTTTTGTAAGCGTTGGCTGTGTTATCAATCGCAATTAACCAATAATTATACAGTGGGGGGACCTGATCCAGTGGCAAAAAAACGTACCATTTTGTATCCGGGAAGTATCAGAAATGTGGCAAAATGCTTCCCTTTCAAAGTGAAAAAACTTCGTTTTGAAGGGCTCAGGTCCCCACTGTATTTTTTAGGCCCTTCTTTGCTTTCATTGATACTTTTCTCTCAAATTTCTAAAGCAATCCTATCCATAAATAAAATTCAAAGCATTTCAGGGATCTGCACGGTATTCGCCATGCACATCCGATTGAATACCCATCTCAGAACGACAAATAATGACGAACTTCCATTCTACTATAAGATAATTTTCCTGTTCATGATGTCAATTGGTCTAACTTCTGGAGTTGGAGTGCTTCTAGTTGCTTGTGTCCAAGTGAGCTGCTCTCCTGACCCTTCATCTATATTTTTTACATTGAAAATTATATTACTTGATGTTTCTAGGAGACCAATGTCAATGTTTTCCATTTGATCGGCGCTATGATGGCATTCTGCTGCGGACTCTTCTACCTATGGGTTCTGCTGTTCTTGACATTGATTGTCAAGCCGTCTTTCTCTTCAGTACGAATAATGATAATCAGAGGGCTTATAATTTTCATCGCTTCTTGCGCCTTTCTTCTGGCTGTCACTAATAATCTCCCTGGAAGTTACAACCAGTCTCTCTACAACGCAACGCTCACACCGGGGAGGGGCCATATTGTGCAGGTTCCTTGGGATTCGGAGGTAAGGACATTAAGCGTAACATAATGACGTCAAAAAAAGCACAACAAGCTCTTTTTTGACATCATTATATTACACATGACCCATCCTAACCAAAATATATTTTTAGCTGCACGGATGGCATCTCATGAATACCTACTGCGAATGGGTGATCGCTCTCTCGTTTGTGACACTCATTTTGACCATGACTTTCGAGCTAGGGCCCTATGAACTCCACTCTCATCGACTTATGAAGATGGCCAACTCTGGCTCTCTGCCAACTCAAGAACCTCCTCAGCCCACGGGGGTGCTCGTAAATGATGGAACACAAACTACATCAGCGCCGGAGCTTATGAATCAACCAAATGGTCAAAATTTGGCTGGTCAGAGTGCTTTAGAACAAGGACAACAGCCAGTTCAGACCCCAGGTCAAGGCCAACCTCAATTACAACGTCAGCCATTGATCAATGCGGGTGTGCAGACCGAATTTGTGGCTCCAAAATCAGAAAATGATCTCCAGCAAGCGTCGGGCACACCAATTTTACCTGCTGCATCTACTCCAATACCAATCCAAAATGCAAATGACCAAAACTTAGGAGTCCGACCACCAATTCGGCCTGGAGAAAAGGACGAACCGAGTCAACCTGAAGCAAACAACAGCCAAGGATTCCGTACAACACCAGTTCTCGCCGGAAGTGCTCCAGTGACCCCAGCGAAGACTCCAAAAATGGGGACAGCCAAAACTCCAGAACCAACCAGCAATCGAGTGCAACGAAGGAGAAAGGATTCGAAAAAGTCGAACAGAGAAGAATATATCCAGCCATCGAAGGGAAGAGTGATTTACATGGACACGGCCACCAACACTCCACGTGATGTGGCCGTTCAGACAACTCCGGACGCCAGTTCGCGGAAGAGGAAAGACTAATTTTTGATCGAAATTCGTTGTCTTACTTGTACACAGTGATTGAAAAATAAATCAGTCGTGATTATTCGTTAAATTTGTGTATGAAATATTTAGATCGGCCTCTATTATTTTAGAATAAATTATATCATACCAAGGACAAAAATTGATTAAATTGACAAAATCCCAAATATTTACAACAGCCCCAATAAATCATTTTCGTTTTTCTACCCCAATCTCACTAAAATTTATATTGCACTAGGTAAAAATAATAAAAAATTTTGCTGTTTTGTCTAATATCCCGGTTAAATTCATCATAGAAACTCGTATTCTGCAGTTTTCAATCTAATTCATCCCCCAAAACCCCCTTCAAACCCATCAAAAAAATCTCTTCTTACCATTTCCCCTTGATGTCGAATGTGGCCTTGGTGGCATTTTTGGTTGGCCAGGGAGGTTCGGAACTGCAAACTGAGGGGTTGAGCTTCGTTGTTGGGGTGAATTTTGCATTCCTTGGAGTTGTTGAAGTCGCGCCACATTGGCCGCAGGATTTTGAGTCGCAAATTGGGTTGTGCTGACTTTTCGTTGGGCTTGTTGCTGCAGCTGAGGCTTGGATTGGGTGGATTGTGATGGCAGTGGGGAGTTTCTATTCTTGGCCATCTAAAAACATGTACTTTACAGAAAGCATGCATAAAATTCAAAAAGAATTCAAACACCTTTTTTTGCTCCGTATAATATCAAAAACCGCTTGTAAATAAATATCTCACTGTAAAAACTCACATTCAAAATATCCGCAGCGCTACTAGCTCCCTGTAGCTGCTGTTGAGCCATTTGGAAGCGGTTTGCTTGGGCCATATTCGCGAATTCTTGGAGCAAAGCGGAGTTGTTCAAATTCTGAAGAGGATTTGATAGAGCCGCCAAAGCGTGCGCATTGAATCCTCTGACGCCCGAGTACTGCAGAGCTGCTGGATTCTGGAGCTGTGACAGCGCTTGAAGTGTTGGGTTTGTCTGGTTTTGAGCGGAGAACGCTTGGGCCTGCGCTTGTTGGGCTTGCTTTTGTTGAAGCTGCTGCTGTCGCAATTGTTGTTGGATCGGGGATGCAAATTCACGCATGTATGGGCTACTGGCCAAATTTCTCTGGTTTTGTTGGGCTTGTTGTCGCTGTTGTTGTTGGACAAGGTTTTGCTAAAAAATTGGACATATGACTTGATCTAAAATAATGTCCGTATTCTCAAAAACCCTCACAGCTCCCTGTGGAACTTCAGTGTAGATGACTACAATAGACCTAGTGCTTCAAATTAAGTCTATTAGGCCTAATACCACCAAGACTTCTCATCAAAACAACTCATCTTATTTTAGACCATCTAAAATAATGTTCTCCTCATTTTTCTGCCTAAAAACCAAATCAAAAATTTAAAACAACTTACATAGTTAGCATTAAGACTCTCAGCTGAGCTCAATTCCTTGTTATCATATCCAAACAAGTTGTACAACTTTTCCAAATTCGGGTTCAAATTCATTTTTTGCTTTCTCTGACTTTCCGGTGAATACGATTTCCTGCTGGCCGATGGATTGTCCCCGCTGGGCGTTGCATTTCTCCTTGGGGTCGATGGGGATGCAAAATTCGTTGGTGGGTTGAGGCTCTGTCCCAGAGCGAAATTAGCGCCCAGTCCTTGGGCCAGACTTGGATTCGACAAACCTTGTCCCAACTTCTGCGTGTTGGCCAAGCTCTGGACTAAACTGGCTTGATTGGCCAAAGTCTGTGCTATGCTGGCTTGATTGGCCAGGTTCTGGAGATCTGAGACATTGCTGATTCCTTGTGTTATACTACCCGAACTCAGCGTCTGATTTTGGTTGGCTGAATTCGAGTTGAGACCCAATAAAGTGTCAGCCATTGAATTCTGACCAAGTCCGGATGTGGTTTGTGTGTTCAGACTCTGCGCCAGGCTAGCCAGGGTCGCTGCAGTCGATGGGTTCGACGAATTCATTTGACTTGCCAAAGTTTGTCCAATATTTTGCTGATTTGTTGACAAATTTTGCTGATTTTGGCCAAGTCCATTAGCTGAATTGTTTCCATTCGGTTTTTGAGACGTGTTTAGGCCAGGCGACGCTGAATCAAGGCCTGAAGTCAGTCCGGAAGACAATAACAAATTCTGGGCTTGACTTAATGCCTGAGGGTTTCCAGCAAACAAGGTGCTAAACGCATCAAACTGTGTGAGCAGCGCTTCTTTCCGCTTTCTTTCCTCGTCTTCTTCTCGGTACAAGGCCTTGTAACGGGCCATAAGTTCCTTTTTCGTTTCGTTCGTATTCTCTCGCTTTTTGTTTAGCGAATCCAATTCGGCGTCGCATTTCTCGAGCTCCTTCTCCAACTCCTGGATGGTTTGGGTTTGGGGATTTGGGACTCGTTTTGGGCTGGCTTCCACTTTATCCACACGAGCTCGGTATCGTTGAATTAGGTGGATGTATTCATTAAGGACGCGGGTGCGGTCTAGCGAATTGGCCAGTGGAAATGAAGTACTGAAAGGATGCAAGATGAGAATGATAGCAAAAAACGTGACAACAGTAATGTTATATACGACAAACATTGGTCCAAAAATATTTTCCGCTCTAACATCCAAATCAAGGTCCAATAAAACATTTCCCATCAATTAAAATCGATAAACAACCAAAACTTTCTAAAATAAGACAAAAAATATGTTATCCATGATACTGGTTGGTCCACAAACCCCTCAAGCTATGAAAAAACCTGGTTTTTGCAATCAAACCTCTCCACCAACCAACGAACGGTTCGGGGAACGAATTACACTCTTCATGCAAAAAAAACTTCCAGAAAAAATAAAAATCTCCCTCTTCATACCTAAATACCGAAACAATAGAAAAAAATAAACGTTCTCACCGGAAGTTGGGTTTCCAATTTTCGGCAAACCAGTCGGTGACCCCGAATTCATCGACTTGCTGCGAGGGATCTTCGTCTTTGAGCTGTTCGGGCTCCTTTACCTCGTCTTTTTCGACTTTCGGCGGGGGTGGGGGATGTTTCGAGGCGGGCTCCTTCTGGATCCGACGTCGTTTGTCGCCTGCGGCCGGTCGCTGAGACGCTGGGGTCTTGCGCGTCGTGGTGGTTACCGATCTGAAACATCGAGGGGGTTATTGAGTGCATAATAGATATTAATTTAGATAATAGATATTAAAATGAAAAAAGGGTCAAATCATCAATTCATCTCAAAGTTCCCGGTTTAAAAAGAATAAACAACCTCTGAGTGCTCTTTTAATCAATTTTTTACAACATAACTCTATCAAAAACATCTAAATTTGACCTTCCTCATCAGATCTTCAAGTACAACATCAAAAATCACAAATCATAACTTTCTTAAAGCAGTTTCCTCTTTAAACCTTTATCAAGTCCATTACCACACTATAAAAAATAAAAATATTCAATTTTTCAAGTTGTTAGCTAATATATAAACCATCTCCGAAAGCGACCCGAGTATAATATAAAACCCCGTGAAAAAACAACGAATCCTCATGGAGACGAATAAATAAGAAGCACATCCCCTTGACAAAAAAAACACTTACGTCATAGAGAGATTAATTCGACCCCGACATGGCTGAAACAATAAGTATTGGGAAGGGCTTCGGTGTAAAAGAATAATCGAACGGAACCCGGAGCGATTCACGTAAAATAAATTCAAAACAGGGCACAAAATACAGGTTAACACGTGTATTAGTGCGAGCGCTCGATAATCTCCGTTTCTGGGGGCAAAACAGAAATTCGATATTGTTTTAGGTATAACAGAAGAAAATTTTAATTTTCTTGATAAAAACAACTGTGTTTGTCAAATCAAGATAACAAATGAGAAGAAACGCACGGTATCTGATATTCCGAACATGAAACACAAGAATGTTATGTTCGATATTCACCATGAAATAAATTACTTTACACTGTCCACGATTCAACGTACTTTGCTCGAAAATACGGCTCAATCAACCAAAACATCTCGAAATCGCCCATTTAAACAAAACACCTTCGTTCAACTGATAAGGAGAATTAAATCGGGTTGTAAAGGAGATCTAGGAATTTCTCATGAACAAAAACAAAAATTAATGACTACAACAAGTCGATGCAATTTATTGACTCGTCAAATACACCTACGTGAGCTGTCAAATAACCGTTCGATTAATAATATTGGTTTCAAGTCGCCAGCGGCTCCGAAATTGAAGGAAAAACCTTCTAACATGAAGGCGAAAAGCAAGGAAACCGGCAACCTGCGCCCAAGATTAAATGGAGATTTATTCAATCAAGAATTTATAGTCAAAAACCGAGTTATAAACTGGTTGAATAGGATATCTGTGATTGAAAAGTGTACAAAAATTTTTTGCAAAGACGTTTTTGCGTAGACTCAGTCTTTCGTCTAGATCTAAGGGATTTGATATTATACATAAGATAAACTAACTTGCCGTTATAACTTTGTTTAGAGCTTATAGTTCCGGAAGCCGCGCCTTGAAGCGTTGCTAAACGTACTGCTCATAGCATCAGAAATTTTATGAGCCACATTCAACCTAGAAAACATGCAAAATTAGCATTTAAATTCGTACTTCGGGCGCAGCTCGCAATTATTTTTCAAAAACGAGCTTGGGACTTCGCAGATATTGAAATTTTATCTCGAAACGAAAATACTTCGCGTGGCATTGTGTTTATTTCCGTGCTCTTTTTTACGTTTCGTCGGGATCAAATTGAACTCGTGATGGCACCAGACGTCAGCTCATTGTTTCTTTTTGAAACAGTGAGCTGATTCACTAGATTATTTGTACCTAATTTTTTTGCTGTTTATTACCCTTGTGAAGTGCTTTTTTAATAGCCCAAGTCGCCTTCATTTGGTAGTTCAAGGTGCAGAATTTAGCGCTGATAGCGACCAGATACTAGTAATCTTGCTAGGTTCTAAATGTTTTCAGTTTTTTTTATATTATTCATGACTGTTTATTTGCAAGATTAAATTTTAAACCCAAATTTTTACTTCCTCGTGGGTATTTTCCGTGATGGTCATTCGCAGAATAATTTCCGGCCTTTTCAGCTCTTAGTGCATTTGTCCGACTCAAATGGCGACGGTTGAGCCGGTCTCCGGCGATGAGGAGCCTCGATTTTCTATGGATAATACTGAATCAACAAGTACGATGCCCTCACCACCTTTAGATTTTGCTCATGCGCGACGACGAAAGCGTTATACAACTGGAGAGACCGATTCCGAAGCCTATGAGGCTGATTACGGGGAGAATGGAGAGGATTCCGACTGGGACAGGAGCAGAAATGATGTGTAAGTTATTTTTCGTTTTTATGTTTGGAGTTTAGGTATAAATCTCGATGAAAATGATGGCCTCGCCTGAAGGGTCCCATATTCGTTCTGGGGAAGGTTATTTTAATCAAACTTCATCAATCTTGCACCCAGGATTTACACATCTTGTTTTAGCTCAATGAGAAGTGGAACCGATCTTGAAAGATTGCATTTCCGATACGTAAATGAACGGGTTGTCAATGATATCACTCTGGAGTTCTTCTACAAACCACACACGATCTCGGTGCTCGCTTTGTTGGGCGTTTACCTGCTTTACTATGCTTTTTGGGAGTAAGTTGTGGAAAAGTGTCATGATCATTCTTAAATGCCTTTTTTTATTCTATTCTCAAATTTCCAGAGATGACGGACCCACGGAATCGAATGTATATTTTGGCATGAAGGCGATGGGCGGCCTATTCTTGGTGATCTCGGCGATGGCACTGCCCAACGGACCTTTTGTTCGTCCTCATCCAATTATTTGGCGGGTCGTCTTTGGACTCTCGGTTTTATATGTCATGCTCCTGCAATTTACCTTATTCCAGAACTACACTGACATCAAGAGGGTCCTCACTTGGCTGGACCCTAAGGGCTTGGGGCAAGAAACCTTGAACGAAAAGGTAGGGCGCAGTTCGCGGACCTTGATTTTGAGATTTTTGGATATGTAAATTGCGCAGTTAGACGGGACATGGACTAAGAGGAGATTATTTTCCAGGAATACGCGGTAAATTGCTCGGACGTGTCGGTGGAAAGGATCTGGGGCATGATGGACATCTTCGCGGTCGGCCATTTCCTCGGCTGGGGAATGAAGGCCCTCCTAATCCGGCATTCAATCATCTGTTGGTACATCAGCATCTCCTGGGAACTGACGGAGATCATCTTTACCCATTTACTCCCGAATTTCCAGGAATGTTGGTGGGATGCGATCATTTTGGATGTCCTGGTGTGCAATGGTCTCGGAATCTGTTTCGGAATGTTCGTTTGTCGAATTCTGGAGATGAGAACCTTCCATTGGGAGAGCGTGAAGTAAGATGGGAGCGAATTTTTACGGTTTTTTGAAGTTTTGAGAGATTTCAAGTTTTCGTGCTGGGACCTAAAATGAAGTAAAAAATTTTTTTTTAATTTTAGAAACATCCGAACCACCAAAGGCAAGTTTATGAGGTCCGTAATGCAGTTCACACCCGAAAGTTGGATCCAAGTTGACTGGTTCAACTCTTTCGCCCTGAGGCGATGCATCGCTATCTTTGCATTTATCATGATCTGGCTGCTCAGCGAGCTCAACACGTTCTTCCTAAAGCATGTATTTGCTGTTGATACAACCCATCCAGTGGTGTTTTGGAGGATTATTTTGATTGCTTTGATCTCAGCACCAAGTATAAGGTAAGCCATCAAGTACAATATAAAAAATTTTTATATTGGCATAAATTGATATCTCTTGTTTTAGACAGTACTATCTCTACTGTACGGACCCCAAAATTAAGCGGATTGGTATGCAATGTTGGGTTTATTTGGCGGTCTGTATGTTGGAACTGGCCATTTGTGTGAAATTTGGCCGACAAATGCTACCAAGAATGAAAATTTTCTTGATCACTTTGTGGATCATCATTTTAGTAAGTTGATCTTTTATTTGCGATGTTTTTTTATTTTTTCTTGGAAAATTTTAGAAATTTTATATAAATTTGTGTTGTTTTAGATCATCGGAACTGTCGGATGCATCTGGCTATCGGTCTGGTGGGCTAAGTCATCGGTAAGTGTGGTAATTAGAGGCTTAATGACGATATTTTAGTACACGAAAAAGATTTCGTACAAAGGAAAAATGGAGAATTGTTATTTGGACTCGAGCACTGAAAATCTCGGGGCAATTCAGGATGATGTAGTCAAAAGACGGAAGAAATTACAGATCAACCCTCCTGGAATGAGTGCGAAAACCAAGTCGCTATGATTATTATGACTTTTGGAATAATTTGAGGCATCTTATACGATGAAACATGTCTTATCGTATAAAATGTCTTCATTCGTCACTTTCATATCGAGGTTTACGTTGTGTTGTCTTTGGCACTACTCGAAATATGCATTTTCAAAGTAATTTTGAATGATTTTTCACATGGGGACATTTTATGCGATGAAACATGTTTGGTCGTATAAAATGTCCCCAACACGATTTTGACTCTAAAATTGATTGTAAAGCCCTTCGGTCATAGTTCTATCCCCCAACATGTCTTTTTTCCTTTCTTCTCGCGCTTTCAATATAAATTTAGGTACTTTCCAAGAAGAGCAAAGTAATAAGCACGGTGCTTCGTATCTTAGGCATTACTAGTTGATCTTACTGTCCATCCAAATGACGTCATTTCACTATGATTTTTTTGTACAGCCTATATGTGTTTCTGGATATCGCCAGTACTTGAAGATACGATAATTTTGGTTACTGTATTTTGAGTATCTGGCGAGTCCTGATGATTGTTGTGTTTGTTGTTAAAATAAACGTCATATATGTTAGGTGAGCTTGGATTTTGGAGTTTTGATTTGTGTAAAAACGATTAATATTGAAGAAGTCTGGGAAAAGTACGGAATTGCTTCAGTTTGAGTGAAAATTTTGGGGCGTATTTTATCTAATGGGCATGTCGAACGTCATCATTTCGATTTTAATTGAAGTTATGTCGTTGTTTAGCGCAGAGGATATTTTATACGATGAAACATGTTTCTTCGTATAACATGTCTCTGAAGAAGATTTGTGTCCTAAAATGGTTTTTAATGTCACCATAAGCTTTTTGTTTGATTATGATCCCCGTATTTCAGCCTAATGATCTCAAAATGCCCTAAAATTCTTCAAAAAATCTCGATTTTCCGTCATTATTCATCTCTCCCGGAAGTCCGAGTCCGTTTCGCTCCCTCGCCGACAGGTCGATTGCATCTTGGAGGCCTTCGAACTGCCCTTTACAATTACGTTTTTGCCAAAAGCAAAGGTGGAAAGTTTATTTTGCGAATAGAAGATACAGATCAAGCCCGTTTAAAGGAAGGGGCGGCCGAGGAATTCGAGGAATTGCTAAGTTTTTACGGATTGGAGACGGATGAAAGTCCGATCAAAGGAGGCCCGAAGGGTCCGTATCGACAATCCGAGAGGCTGGAATTGTATCATGACGCTGTGGAGAGGCTGGTTGAGGAGGGAAAGGCGTATCGATGCTTCTGCTCGGAAAAGGTAAAAGGGGCTTTTTTTTGAATTTGTAAACTTTAATAAGGTCTTTGATGAAACTTGAGGAAATTTTAAAATAGATATATTTTTCAATAGCGTTAAAATGAAGTCTGACCGTTTCCTGCAATCAAAATTGCAATATAAAACTGAAAATTTGATCAATTTCCATGTTTTAGTCTACTATAATATAATAGGTCAATGCTCGAAAGTCGAAGCTCGGATGTTCTTTTAACTTGGCAAAAATACGTAAAAAGGGCTATAAAGCAATCGTTAAAAATTTGAGCTTGCGCTTTGCAATAAGCGGCGAGATTTTAAACAATCTTTGCGCATGAAAGACCATAAGAAATTACAGTGACGGACCTGATTCAGTGGCAAAAAACGTGTCATTTTGCAGCCAGGAAGTATCAAAAAATGTAGCGAAATACCTTGAGCTAACTTTCAGATGGCGGATTGCCCCGGGAAGCATCAAAAATGTAGCAAAATGCCTCCCTCTCCAAGTGAAAAAATCCAATTTCAAAAGCCTCTTTTTGTGAGGGCCCTTCAAAACAAAGTTTTTTCACTTGGAGGGGGAGACATTTTGCCACATTTTTGATACTTCCCGGATGCAAAATGGTACGTTTTTTGCCACTGGATCAGGCCCGTCACTGTAATTTCCTATGGTCTTTCATCTACAAAGATCATTAAAAATCTCGCCGTTTCTTGCAAAGCGCTGGTTCAAATTTTTAACGGTTGCTTTGTAGCCCATTTTACGTATTTTTGCCAAGTTTAAAGAACATCCGAGTTTCGACTTTCGAGCACTGACCTTTTATATTATAGTAGACTAAAACATGGAAATTGATCAAATTTTTTATTTTATATTTTAATTTTGATATTTTTATATTATTGATGACATTTTCAGAGGCTAGAGATTGTCCGGAAGAACGCGCTGTCAAATCGGACGATCCCAAGATACGATAATCATTGCCGGCAGATCAGCAAAGAGGAGTCGAAATCCCGAAAAGATGAGCCTCATGTGGTCAGATTTAAATTTGACAAGGACAAAGTGGACTTTACAGTAAGTTTGGAACACATTCTGCTGGTATCTGGATTTTTCACTGTGCAAAAATGGGATTTTCCTGATTTTGACCCTAAATTAATACTATTTTTTTAAATTTTTTTCTTACTTTCAATCTTTCAGGACATTGCATATGGCCAAATAAACGCCCTGGCCGACGAAGGCGACTTTATCGTCCTGAAATCGGACAAATTTCCGACTTATCATCTGGCCAATATCGTAGATGATCATCTGATGGGAATTTCTCATGTAATCCGAGGACAAGAGTGGCTGCCGAGTGTCCCTAAACACGTCAAACTCTATGAGTAAGGTCTTTTTGGTTCACGTTAATCGAATTTTTGCAAGATTAAGCGGTGGAGAAATGTTATACGGTGGAACAGTTTTGTCGTATAAGATGTCTCCAGGGGCGAAATTGAGTAAAATTTTTATTTATAGACGAATACGATGACATTCTTAGTTGCTGAGATAATTAAAGTAATCAGTTTTGAGTTCAGGGGACATGCTATACGATGAAACATGTTTCATCGTATAAAATGTCTCCAACGGGTAATTGATTAACGGCTTTAGGGTTTTTACGGGTTGAAAAGATTTTTGAAAGATTATAACTATTTTAAATTTGAAATCTTCCGTTCTGACGACATTTTATACGCCGAAACCTGCTTAATGAACATAACTTTAGAGCATTTGATTGGCCAACCCCTTCTTGGCTCCATTTACCTTTGATTATGAAGAATGCGAGGAAGAAGCTGTCCAAACGAGATGAAGATGGATATGCGGATTACTATCACTCTCAGAAGGGTTATTTGAGGTCCGCCGTTTTGAATTTATTGATCCGAAATGGCGCCGGAATCCGAGATTTTGACTTTAAAAGGTTTTACGAACTCGAAGATATTGTTGAAAATTTTGATGAGAATCTTCTGGGAACGAGGAATTTACAGGTACGCAGTTTTTATTTCCGAGGAAGAGACTTGACTCAATTTTTTTGGGTGCGCGAAGTTTTTCCCTCAGTGAAAATAGGTAGTTTTGAAATGTAGGGTATGATTTATGGTGTAAGTATCGGTGTCTGACCAGGGGTGGTCAGCAGACCCTATTTTTCCGATTTTCGGCCCGCGGCCCGGCCCGTCTAATTGACCGGCCCGGCCCGGCCCGTCTAGTCTTTTTCCAGGCCCGGCCCGGCCCGTGCAGGCCCGTCTATAGAGGGTTCTGCGAACTGCGCCCAGGCTCGGGATCTAAACTGAGGCAAAAAAGGCGTTGATCTAGCTAGTAAAGGATCAATGTGATAGTTTTGTGGTTCTATAATGGAACTAGAGACTTGTAAACGTTTTAGAACTTGAGAAACAGCAACTATAACAACATCAATTAATTTTCCCGGCGCGAAAACAATGAATGCCAATGGTTTGGCATTGTATTTTAGACGGGCCGGGCCGGGCCGGAAAAAACCCCAGGCCCGCGGCCCGGCCCGGCCCGGCCCGTGACGGGCCCGGCCCGTTTGTCAATTTCCATTTTTGAGGCCGGCCGGCCCGTTTGGGCCGGGCCGGCCCGGCCCGCCGACCACCCCTGTGTCTGACGCCTTTTTTGGCGTGGGGAAGAGTTGACTCAAAAATTTCCGAAATGGGTCATGTCTTCCCCTCATTAAAAATAGCTGGTTTTTAATGTTAGAATACGATTTTCAGCTGGATGACGACGTTTTGGAACGTTATGGCCGTCTTTCGGTGCAACATGCTTACAAAAAAGGCACTTTAAAATCGGAAATTCGGAATTTTTTCAAAATGAAAAACGTCAAAGTGGACCCGGAAATGCTCTCCGATGAAAAGCTGGATAAGTCATTGGACTTTTTGATGCATAATGAAGAAGCCTTCTCTCATATGGCACAACTTGTCAGGGCAGATGAGAACAAGGAAAAGGATAAGTAAGTCCGATTTTTGAGATGTTTTGATGAAAATTGAATTTTTTGGGGGAAATTTTGAAAAAAAATAAAATTTTTTGACCTAAAATACGATTTTTTGCTTATCAAAGAAAAAAATTTTTCCGATTTTCTTCTAAAAAATGGTCAAAAATTATTTTTCCACCTATTTTACATTTGTATTTCAGGTTCTCCTTCCTTTTCACACGTCCTCAGACCGCAGTTGAACTGCCCACGGGCGTTAAATCCAAAGAAATGGCCGTGAAATTCATAAAATTATTTTTGGACCACATTGAAAGCGAGAATGGTTACAATTACGAGAAGATCAAAGTACTCTGCAAGGAGAATGAAGTGCCGGTCAAGAAGTTACTACTGCTGATTAGGATTTCCATCATTGAGAACCCAAATGGCCCGCCTATTTCAGAATTATTCCAATTTTTCGGTCAAAATGAGGTGAGAAATCGCCTGGAACAGCAAATTAAATGGCTGGAGGAGAAGGAAATTAGTGAAGAAGGGTAGTAAAGCTCTGTATTGGTACGTTGATTTAGGGATTTGTTGAGTTTTTGGTTGTTTTTAGGAAGTTTGTTGAATAAAAATTAAAAAGCTGAAAATTAAAGAAAAAATGCTGACCGAGGGTAAGACTTGACCCATTTTTTATTTTTGGGGGATTTTTTCTTATTTGATAATTCTGCAGTGCTATTACTGGCTACAAAAACGACGTTTTTAACTATCTAAAAATTTTTTTCGACCGAGGGAAAAAGTTGACTCAAAGTTTCAAAAGTGAGTCAAGTTTTTCCCTCGGTCCGGATTTAGTTTTATAAGTTCTAATTTCAATTTTCACCCCTACATCAACTGCAAGCAATGTTTTAAAAGCGGGGAAGACTTGACTCAAAATTTCAAAAATGGGTCAAGTGTTACTCTCGGTATAAAATCGCTGACTATAGCTAGTCAAAAGTTACAAGACAGATATTACTCTCCGAAATTACATTTTTATACACAAAAAATCCACACAGACGATCGAAAATTTCGCCTTTACTACGGTATTGGCCTCCTCCTCAGCTTGATCAGCTGCCGCTTGGCCTCGTCGAACTGCGCCAATACCTTCCGAATCCTCCAATATAACGAGGAATTCAGCCCAATCTGCTCAACCATCCTCTCGTAATGCATGGTTCGGATCACATCTTGAGGGATGTAATGTCGACTTTGATGTAAACAAGATACCGTAATCCCCACCGTTCCACTTCCCTCGGCCGAAACGCCGATTTTGGAGGAAATACGGCTGATTCGACCGGTCGAATCGAAGATCCCGGCCATTTCGGGGTTGGCTAGATCAACGGCTTGGCCAATGAAACCTTCAAAATAAATAAGTTAAAAATTTCATTGATGGGTGGCTTAAAAATTAGAATTTTTTTGCGATTTGCAGCTTGGAAAGCCTACTACAGGCGAGGATATAGATTGTCTATACAGAAAATTGATTTTTTCAAGGGAATTTCCTAAAGATAAAGTCATTGAAAAACGAGTTTTCTCTGGCAACTCTCCTAATTTCGCATGCTCTCTCTTTCGGAAAAGAGTTCTCATATCTCGGCCGTCTTTACGAAGCGCGAGTTAAAATTCTGAAGCTTTGGAATGTTGTCCAGAAAAAGTAATCACTCCAAATTCGAAGAAAATCTATGCATCGGCCTTCGAGATATCGGTCTTTGAATATAACCCTACCTTCCCGCAGCTTCGCCAGGTGACTAAACGGATTTTTGGGCCGCCACGTCTGAATCACCAGCTTTTCCTGGGCAATTGGCCGAATTGGAAGAGACTTGGAGCCGTAGCCGTCGATATAAAACCGGCCCCAATAATCCTCGGCCAAGCATCGAAGCCGGATTCGGGGCCAAAAGAACTTGTCCGTTTGAGGTCTGGTGGCTCGGTAAAGAAGGGCAAATTGGATCGGATAAGAGAAATAGCTGACGTCATCCTAAAAAAATATGAGGAGTATGAGGTGTGTGCTGAAGATAGGAGTCGTTTTTTGAAAGCTGTGAGGCGCTTTTCTTACTGTAATATACAAATTTCTCAAATTTTTGGACCAAAAACCCAAAATTTTTGAAAAAAAATTGTATTTGTTTTACTGAAAGGACTTACAGTGAGTGACCTGATCCAGTGGAAAAAAGGTACCATTTTGCATCCGGGAAGCATCAAAAATGTGGCAAAATGCGTCCCTCTCCAAGTGAAAAAACTTCGTTTTGAAGGGCGCGCCTTTTCCCGCATTTTTTCACTTGGATAGGGAGGTATTTTGCCACGTTTTTGATACTTCCCGGATGCAAAACGGTACTTTTTTGCCACTGGATCAGGTCCCCACTGTAACTAGTAATCACGATAAACTAGATTATGCTTTTTGCTCGATTCCCCTGCTCACCTTTCCCTCCGGTTTGACGAAGCAGACCTGAGTTCGGCCGCTGAGATGCTCCTTTTGAACCACCTCCATATTCTCCGGGACCTCAATGTTATATTCAATATACACCCCATCATGCGGCATGTTCCTCGCTTCGTCAATTGTGATGTCGTAATTCAGAAGAACGCAGTTATTTGGAGGGATATCGAACTTGAATTCATCTTGAACATCATCTTCATAAGTGGGGATTTGAGGGATTTTATCGAATTCTACGGGTTCGTCCAACTCCACAATGCATGAATATGTGCCAATCTTGGTCTCGATGACTCGTTCGCCAAGTCCTGGGCGGATCTGAAAGGAATGAGGGTGAAAGGTAGGGCGCAGGCTGCGGAAAAATAAAATCATTTAAACGGTTATAATTAGTGCCAAAGTTATCATCGTTGAATTTATGGCCTAAAAAGGCAGTAATTTTCTTTAAAAATTGCATAATTTTAGTCTAGGGCGCAGGCTGCGGACGGCAAAAAAAAATTCAAGTCATTTCAAGACCTTATCCTAGGGCGCAAGCTGCCAAAAACTACAAGTCTTACAAGCCAAAAACAGACCAATTAGAATACTAGAGCCAAAGCAAGTTCCATTCCCACCTGTAAAGTCCTTCTTCCGAGCACCTTGACCTCACAAATCGTCCTCTCAAACTCCTCGCTATAAGCCTCATTCCAGGCCCCAAAGTATCCCATAATGAACATGGACCGGGCTCCCAAATCCACCTGACGTTGCTTCTTTTGCTGCTCCACCGTTGGATTGTCTCGGATCGGACGCCGCAGGGTGTCCGTGCTGAGTGGAACCACTTTCCGCGGTCGAAAAACCGTCGATTCTTCGGCCGCCGAAATCGACGCTCTGGAGGAGAGTTTGCCCGAGGCGTGACGTTTGCGGAGGTCGGCTTCGGTGATGGTGAAGATTCGGCGTTGTCTGGAAGAGTTAAATTTGGAAAAGAGGAAAGTAAAATACGCCGTGCCAATTGGATTTTTAAATTTTTGGTCCAAAATTTCTAAGGATGACACAGTGCAAATGAAAAGCGCACTGTGCAGTTCCCTCGCGCGACATAAGCTGCGACCGCATTTGGAGAAAATCCCCTTTGCACTGTGCGGTATCTGGGCGCACTGTGCATTTCAAATTGTGGTCGTTGGAAGGGACAGGGCGTTAAAAAATTATTTCTTACTGTAATATACAACATCTATAGACTTTTCAGCCACCTAGCAACTTACAGTGGCAGAGTTTTGGGGGCGGCAGGCCCAGTCCTCTCCCAAATCTCCTCATGTCTCGCTGGAGGCGCCAATGTTTCGACCTCTTTTTCTTCCTCTTCTCCATCCTTCTCTTCCTCATCTTCCTCACCATTTTCTTTGCCCTCATTTTCCTCTCTTTCGAGTTGTCTGGGATCGGATGGTGGAGGTGAATCTTCGTCCTCACCTTCGTCTCGAACTGAGAAATGAACGGCATTGTCCTCATCGTGAGCTTCTTGTCTTTCTTCGTCATCTTTTTTGTCCTCTTCATTGTCATTGTGGTTTTGGTTAATTTGTTGGTCTTCTTGATTAACTTGATTTTCTACAGGGTTATTTTGGGAGTCTTCTTGGAGACTTTGAAGATGTTGACGAGAAGTGGATTTGAGTTCGGTCTAGAAAAATTAGTGCTGACTAAATTTTTAAATTTAGGGCCTTCAAAATACGCAAATTTTTTTTTTTTTTTTTTTTTTTTTTTAACTTTTACGATTAACTCACCATCGGATGAGTAATTTTCTGTTGCCATTTGACTTTCACGGCTTCTGAATTATCTTCCGGGCGCTTATATTCCTCCGACGAACCGGTTTTTCCATATTTCCAGCTTCCCCTATGTCGAATTTCGGTAATTCGCTCGGCAAAATTTTGAAAGCTTGGCAAATTTCCGAACGATGTCCCAACATATTTTAGTTTTACACTGAAGAAAAATTTTTTTAAAGGAAAATATTTTGATAAAAAAATAAATAAAAACTCACTTGAACTGGAGAGATTTGGGATTTCCGGAGAAATTGAAAAAATCCGCAGAATCTTTTTGCATTCTTTAATTTATGAGAAAATTCATGCTTATTAGAGAATTTAGAAGGGTTAGAAAATAAGAAAGGAAAGGGGAAATTATTCGAAAATGACCCAGCGAGTTGTGACCAGGATGGATTTTCAGTTGCCTGGGGCAACAAAAAATTTGCGAAAAAAATATTTTTGAGATTTTAGAGGGTTCAGCATTCGAAATTGAATTTTCATACAAAAAAATATTTTATTTCATTTTTATTTATTTATTTTTCTATTTATTTCTTTATTCCTATTTATTTTTTCAAAACTTTTAAAATTCACGGAAATTCAAATTTTTTTATTAATTACATTGCGTTTGCTGATAATTCGACAATTTATTTTTTATTTTTTTATTTTTTCTACGCAAAAAACAAAAAAAAATTGCAAAATACAGATTTGCAGGGAGTGGGGTTCGAACCCACGCGGGCTGACGCCCAGGGGAACTTAAGTCCACCGCCTTAACCACTCGGCCATCCCTGCGCGCCCCGAGAGCGAGAGAGAAAGCCTTTGGAACGAGAGGGCTTTTTGTGCGGGGTGCAGAGACTCTTTTTTGTAAAAAGAAGAGGGAAAATTGGGGTTTTGATGAGGAAAGGTGTTATAAAATACGGGAAATACATTCAAGTCAATAAAAAGATAATGAAAAGCATTTTGGAGGCATCAAACTAAAGATTTTGAAGAGAAAAATCGAAAAATGACAAAAAAAAATAAAAAAATAATGGTTTTTTGTGGAATAAATTGAAAATAAATTTAGATTTTTCTATAAGAAGCTATGTAAAATGTAGCCCACTGAATTTACAACAGATTCCTGATAAGAATGATTCAAAATAAAGTCCGTTTCACAAATGAAAAACCGAAAAAACAAAGAGGTTTATAAAAAGCATTGTTTTTATTCAAAAAACACTGAAACTCCATATGATTACCGACTATGCATCTTGAAATTTCTTGAGATTCCCTTCAACATCCTGAATTCCCATTTCGAATATCAATTCGGCCTGTTCTTTGGTCATTTCCCCCACTTTTTTGATATGACCTATGACCTCTTCCTCCGCGACGGCAGTGGCTTTTAGCTTGCCAAGTTGGATCTGAAATTGAATAAAATTAATTCTAAATTATCCGGAGCTCAATTACAAACGATTTGAGAACCTCGAAAATTGATACTCACTTCCATATCCAGTATTTTCTCGATTTTCTCTTTTCGCTGTCGGTCCATCCGCTTGTCGAGGAAATAAAAGGCTGTTCCAGAGCCAACAACTCCAGCCAGAAAGAAAAAAATGTCGAAAAGAATTAATACAGTGTCTTTGTCGGTCATTTCGACCAATTTTGAGAGAATAAATGAGATAAAAATAGCAAAAAAAATTTGAAAAAAAAAGAAAATTTTCAATAAAATTTTCAAAAAAATCATCAAATTTTTGAATTTTTCCGAAATATTGCCTTAGGCCATTTGACTCAAAATGAGTTGCAGGATGATTTCAAATTACATATTTCACAGTTTTTTCCGTCGGACACGTGCCATATAGACGGTAGGGCTTTATTTATCACCACCTACTATTTTATCTGCCATATCTTTGACTTCCCAAAACAAAATCTTCATTTCTCCCACTGTCAGCGCTCCGAGCGGCCGATGCATGTCCAATATGCGCTGCGGAATCCCTTCAGCGGCCTTCTTCTGGCATTTTCGCTACTCGCATTCTCCCTTTATTTTATTGTTTTGTTTACCATTACTACAGTAAGTTTTTTATCCATTTTTTGGCTTAAAAAAATTAATAATCTAACACTATGGTTTCTAAAATACGGTGATTTTCAAGGAAAAACAGCAAATGCGGACTGGAAAGATCTACGAAATCGAGGGATTCCATCACATCTACCTTCTCCATTCTTGTTTCGGATTGTCGGCAGCATTACTTCTTACGCTTTCGATTTGGATGATTTTTCGGCATTACAAAAACGGACGTCAAAAAACGATTTACAAGAAATTCCTCGTTTGCACCGTAGGTTGCCGTTTTTCATGATTTTACAGCTTTTTGACCACTAGCAACGGAATGCCAAGATTTTTTAGTTTTGGCGGCAGATTCAAATTTCCTAAGGTAGAATGCAATCCAAAAGTGTCGCATATGCCTTCGAAAAATAACTTTTAAATTTAGCCATGTTTTGACGTATTTCTGACCATTTGCAACGGAATGCCAAGTTTTAGTTATGGCGGGAAATTCAAATTTTCTAAGCTAAAATGCAGGCCAAACGGATCACACATTTGCCACAGAAAAATAAATGTCAAATTTAGTCACGTTGTGACACTTTTTTGCCCACTTGCAACGGAATGCCAAGACTTTTAAGTTTTGGCGGGAAATTCAAATTTTCTAAGGTAAAATGCAGGCCAAAAGGATCACATATGCCATAGAAAGATAAATGTAGAATCTAGCCATGTTTTGATAGCTTTTTGCCCACTTGCAACGGAATGCCAAGACTTTTAAGTTTTGGCGGGAAATTCAAATTTTCTAGGGTAGAATGCAAGCCAAAAGTGTCGCATATACCATAGAAAAATCAGTATCAAATTTAGCCGTGTTTTTACAACTGTTTGACCACTTGCAACGGAATGCCAAGATTTTTTAGTCTTGGCGGAAAATTTTTGATTTCAAAATTTTTGCAATTATAGCGAGATATACTAACAATCAAGACGATCGCCGAGCGAGACCCGTACAAAAAACGGGCCAACAAACGGAAACACACGCATTCACTCAAGGTTTTGGAGAAACTTCGAAAAAATTCCGATATCAAACTAGATATCGACGATGTCTTGCATATTGCTTACATGGCCGAGGATATGGCGCTTGCAACGGGAGCTGCCGCGGATCAGATTTTGGATGACTTTACAGTTGCTAAAAGTAAATCGGTAAGAGATGTTTTCCTTCTTGGCCTTATTGATGTCAAGTGTAATATAATTCTCTGGTACATTTATGGTCTTATTTTTAGAAAAGCAAACCGGGTTCTATCAAGAGCTATATCGATATGGTAAGTGAAATTTGAAGGCTTTATAAGGGGTTTGTAAGAGATTAAAAATTATTTGGCTCTCAACTGTGAAAGTTTTTTATCGAGAGAATTTCTGGAAGTTCAATGTCTTGATTGTGATGAAATTTGGCACCAATTTAGACTACTTGTGGTTGAGAAATATGAACAATTTTTAGACTATAGCTTGTAGTAGTCGCTGTGATTTTGACGTCGAAAGTTGCGAGGTATTTGATGACTTTTCGGCAATTTTTTTTTTTTTTTGAATTTCATTGCCTTGCAAATTGCAAGGTAATATTTTACAGGAATGATACGTGGCCTAAAAAGAGTATGAGTGCAAAATTTTAAGAAAATCGACTGGTCTTCAATCCAAAATTTCCCCTTTCCTTAAAGAAAAAAGTGTAATTTGCAGACTAAAGACATTTTATCTTTGCTGAATTTTCATGCTGACATTTTATGACATTTTTTACGTCAAGCAAGATTCTTATATCTTGTCGATTTGACATTTTGTAGTAAATTATTGGCTTCCAATTTCAGGAAGACCCTGCAGACCAAGCGAGTGTGGACATGGACACCAAATAAAAGGGGACCAATGAAGTCTCAGGCTTCCTTCCATTCAGCCCAACTCCAAGTACGGAAAGTTGAATTTGCCTTTGAATATTCAGTATTGAATAAAGCATTGTAATCACTCAAATTTAATTGTGTTTTATTTTGCTTAATGAGTTGACATCCTCAATTTGTTTTGATGATTAAAACTGATAACTGGTGTCAAACTCGGCACTGCCTGGAGATTCTCCGCTACCCTAAAAATTTTAAAGATCGTTTGACGGAATGCTGGTAGAATTAGAAGCACTACCAAGGCGTCCAGAAGAGGAACTACGGAAACTCCGAAACTCGAGGAGAGGCCAAGAAACGGATAAAAGGCTTCTGGGACAACGTTAATATGGAATAAAGTAATCGGTAGATAAAGGAAGAGTGGTGGAAGGATTGCCTAAAAAAAAGTAATAATAGATTCTCCGTACAGTGGGACCTGATCCAGTGGCAAAAAGGTACCATTTTGTATCCGGGAAGTATCAAAAAATGTGGCATAATGCCTCCCTCCCCAACTAAAAAACCTCCGTTTTGAAGAGATCCCTTTCCCTCATAAAAAAAGCGGGCGAGCTTTTGAAATACAGTGACAGGCCTGATCCAGTGGCAAAAAAAGCACCATTATGCATCCGGGAAGCATCAAAAAATGTGGCATAATGCCTCCATAACTCCTCCATAAAAAAATTCCGTTTTGAAGGGGGCTCCCTTTCCTCAAAAAAAAATCGGGCGCGCTTTTCAAATTGCTCTTTTTCTTCACTTGGAGGGGGAGGTATTTTGCTACATTTTTGATACTTCCCGGATACAAAATGATACCTTTTTGCCACTGAATCAGGTACCCCACTGTAGCAATTTTTCATTTGGAGAGGAAGGTATTTTGCAACATTTTTGGACACTTTACGGATACAAAATTTTACGTTTTTTGCCATTGATTTAGGTCCGCCACCGAACCCATAAAATTGTAATGAAATTGATTGCCTAGATAAAAATAAAATAGGCTCTTATGCAGGAAGGTGTTCCTACGTCCACTACTTTACCTGTAGCACCAATATCGCTGACATATCCCTGTTCAATTTCTTTGTCTTGGCCGTCATCTTTTCTGGATCTTTAGTCAACGCCATCCAAGTCTTTCCCCCGTAATAAACCACCAATAAAAATGCCATCACTGCTGTTACTGTGGTATAATACCCATTCATGACTCCAATTTTATTCGTCTGAAATGAAGGTAGAATACGAGTTACATTTCTTGATAGTAATAGTGAGATTTACCGTATCAATTACTGTGACTGTCGAAGCGGCCTTCATGTCGCATCCTGAAATATTTTCGAAGATTTTCAAATGGTTTTCACTATCTTCCTCAATGAAAAATGGATAGGAAACGCCGGTAAAAATAGCGGTAATAAGTAGAATTAAAAAAGCCCCGAGGGCACGGCGGATTGAGAATTGATTTTGAGTCAAAATTCGGTACCGATAGAAAAATTGGAGTGGCGGCAAACGGATGGAAATGTAGACCAAGGAAAAGTCGAGTATCAGAGCAAATTTTTGGATGGCTGTTGAGGAATATCGGAGGAAGGGAGAGTCCGTAAAGTAGTAGAAATGGGCCCCGCGAAGGGTTCCTCGCTGAAAATGAAGTTATTTTATGGTTAAGGAGAGGGTGGAACTTCTGTACAGCGAACGAAAAAATTTGTTTGTTATAAAGGGGTTTAGTACTACGAAGGTCTATTTTAATCTAAAATTGAACCTTTGGACCTCTAAAATTGTTGACTATAGATTGATTTTGCTTCATCGACATTGGTCGTGTACATATTTCTCCGTAGTCTTTAGGTCATTAGTCATCATAATTTCAAAAAATTTCATGTAAAAAAATCGACTCACCACTTCCACAACCATATACATTACTCCCAGAGCCAAATTAAACCCCGAATTTATTATAATAATCCTCGAATACAATCGCATTTTATGTTGTTTTAGACACAAGTAAAATACGACCGTATTCAAAATGACTGCCGAAATGCTCATGGAATACAACATTGTGTTGTAATATATTCGACTTGGACTGTCGCTGCATGGGATGTAAATATCTGACATAGCAAACCGGATTTTAGCATAGGAAGGGCATCAAATTGAATGTCAGATATTACACATGAGAATATGAGGCAAATTTGTAGCCATAAACTTCCAAAGAAGACGTGCATTTGATGAAAGAGCTCATGCTACATCTTTTTTTTCGTAGAAACATGTTTTTATTATTGCGTATTTTATTGTAGTCGCTCAAACAAAACGTTTTACGTTTTTTCTCCATAATCTGCAAAATTTGTAGTGAGAAAAAACGTGAAGTGGGAAAATAAAATAATTTCTTTTTTCTTCTGATAAGCTTCGTGGTGGAGCCATTTTTGTGGCGTGAAGAGAAGGTCATTTAAGTCGAAGATAATTTTTTCCGTCCCAATTCATTGTTTACCACAATTTAGTGGGGTAATTTTGATTGTATCTTATATTTCTGCCAAGGATAAGATAATTTGATGTTTTTGCAGGATGAAACCAACGGATCTTTATCTTTTTGGCTATAACGCAGTCCAAGTCGTTGGGTGAGTCTTTTTGAACTTTGAATTTTGTGTTTAGGCAAGAGGAGCGGGCAATATTAAATTTGGCTTTGGGATAGATAAGGAATGGGAGAAAACACAAAGTTCCGGATAAAGGAGTACATTTTTTGTTGGAGGATTTTGCAATTCTAGCTAGGAAAAGTCTCTGAGCACGTTTCTAACAGCCTTTGGAATTTCAGAAGCATAAAAATTACTTCAAAAAGCGGTATGATAATTGAGAACTACCTAAAATCAACTTGTAGATTTTATTAAACAAATTTAATATCTAATTTATCTGATTTCCTTTTCCGGATGATTCCTTCCTGACAATGGCTATCTCCATTTTAGCTGGGGTTCGGTTCTGGTCAAGACAGTATCAGGATTATTAGCTGGACATTCCTTTACCAGCTTGTATGAGAACGTAGAATGGGAACTGCAAATCTTCCAGACCGCAGCCATTTTGGAGATTGTCCACAGTTTGGTTGGATTGGTCCGATCGCCGGTTATGACCACCGTAACGCAAGTTTTCTCCAGAGTTTTCGTCCTTTGGGCCATCATGTACAAGGTCCCAAGTGTAAGGTTTTGCCTACTTTTTCTTGCGTTTTATGTTTAGATAAGCACTTAATATGATGGCTTTTTAGAGCCGTGCCAGTATCGGTGTCCCCATGTTGCTCATCGCTTGGTCCGTGACCGAAGTGATCCGATACTCGTATTACGCTCTGAACATCGTCAAAGCCGTCCCGTACGTCCTGACCTGGGCCCGGTACACCTTCTTCATTGCCCTTTATCCACTTGGAGCCTCCGGGGAAGTTATTACAATGCTCGCGGCACTCGATGAGATCAAACGAAAGAAGCATTTGACCCTGGAACTGCCAAATCAAGCCAATATTGGGTTTTCCTTCTATTATGTGGTCATCATATTGGCTCTGTATTATCTTCCCGGCTTCCCACAGATGTACTTCTACATGTTCGGGCAGAGAAAGAAGGTTTTGGGGACTGGAAGTCAAAAGAAACAAGAATAAAAGGCCAGATCACCAAGGATAACATATCATTTGGCGTTATTTTGTTTAGTAAACCTAATAGATTGTATTCAAAACTGTTCCACTTGCCATTTCTCGTATATTGAGTAAATTTTCTTTACAAAATTTAACAAAAACTTGGTTTATCAACAAAAAATTTGACATATAAGTCGAATGGATAATATAAACGAGAGGTTGCTTCAATGTAATCGCTTTCGTCCATCAGAAATTGGTGGCTGATGACTTGAAAACTCGACCATGACTTTTTCACGACCTGGATCCCGTCTCGCTTCGTCATTTTCGGAGCTACAGCCATTCGAATCCTACTCTTGGGGCTTCTCTTTGTTTTGCCGAGCACGAGCCGGACGATAGACTTCACGTTCGGGTCGATGCTAAAATTTTTAATGTTATCCATGACATCTTCAATTCAGATTCTTTCTAAATTTCAAGGTAAAAAACTCAAAATACTCACCGGTCTTCTTGGCCGTTCCTTTTTCTCTTTCGGCTCTCCACTTTTGGCTGTTCTTTCGCCAACGACCGATGGATCTGGAACCAAAGCCGATGGGAGACGTTCTTTCTCATCCACGGGGACCTTCTGCACTTCCGTGATGACATCCTCGTTATTCTTGTCCTTCGTTAAGAGCTTGATCGGCTTTCTGTCTTCTTTTTCGTTGCCGTCCTTCTCTTTTCTTCTATTTTTCCGTTCTTTTTCATGTTTCACCTTCTCCCTGGGCTCTGGCTTGTCTGAAATTAAATTACTAGCTATACAAACCATCCAAATCCTATCTACTCCTTATTTTTTGAGACGTACAAGACCTAAATTCATTCAAAAAATCAAAATTCTAACCTTTTTTGACCTTCTCCTTGTCCTCAGGTGTCTTTACCGGACGTTCCTTTTCCTCTCGGTCCTTTCTGGGCTCCTTTCTTTCCTTTTCTTTCTTCTCTTTCCATGCTTCGGCTCGTGTCTCTAAAAAAAATAAAAAAATTTTATTTTCATCTTATTCATCAAGTCTAATATAAAAATCTTCTCCAAAATTTTTCATCCTACACTATCCGCCCTAATTTAAATTCCACTTACTTTTAGTTGTCTCTGGCTTCTTCTCCTCCTCAATCGCTGCATACGGGCTATGCTTCTCTCTTCTGGCTCTCCTTTTCTTTTCCTAAAAACAAATCACAAAAAATACAGTAATCCCACCTTTTCCAGATGTTGTTTGATCATGAAATCGGTCAATGGAGTTTGTTGGATCTGCCCTGCCTCTAACAACTTCTCTTTATTCTCAACTTCTTTGATCAGTTCATCAAAATCAGTGACTTTTTTCACTACAGTTGTGGTCTCATAGACGGCGAGAAATTCTTGATAATCTGGGCGAGATTCCAACGTATTCGTTCGTTTGTCCGATGTCATGGCGTCTTGAGGGAAAGAGCTTGGTACTTCTTGATGAAAGGCCATCTCAACAATAGCTTTTGATTCGAAACCTGCAAAAAATAAAAAAAATATATTATACATGGCAAAACAGGTGGGAAATTGACAATTTCTCGTGGTAACCCCAATAATAACATCGGTCAATTGACTCTAAAAGCAAGCATGCCCTCCATTCTCTCTAAATCTCAAGCTTTCACCAAAAAATTCAAAAAAATTTCAACCTGATCTCACCCATTTTATCAACAAAGACGTATCCATGGAATTTATTCTTGAATTCTTGCGCCTTTTCGATGTCATTGAAGACAATGTAGGCTCTGGAGAAAGCCCATGGCATCAAATCTTTGTTCGAAGGGCGAAACCAGAAGGCTTCATGATCATCGAGAGGGCTGAGTTGTTCCTTTAGGTCTTCTTCGGTCAATTCTCGAGGCAGTCGGCGAATAATCAACTAAAATACATTCTCAATACTTCCTTCTCTCTAAAATCAAACAAAAAATTTTAATTTCCCTTACCTTGAATTTGGGAGTCTTCGTTTTTGCATTTTGAGTCATTTGTTACCTAAAAATTTCAAAATTCACCTTATTTTGGTTCAAATTCCTCAAAATAAACCTCCAACCGCTCAAAAATATATTTTCAGACAAAAACCGATCAATTTCAAAATACATGTTTTCAGAATTCATAAACTTTTATTCAAATATCGAATAAAAACATCAAAATCACGCGTAAAAGGCACAAAAAACAGCGACGTTTACCTTCGTCATGGATAAGAAAAGAACCGGTTAGGAAGCGAAAAGGGGCGCTTTTAGGTGTTAGTCACATAACAAGGAAAAATATTACTAATTATCCTCTCGGATAATTATTTTTGTTCGAAAAAGACCAGAAATAAAAAAAAATTTCGTATTTTAGAAAAATCAGTTAGATCTACAAAATAAATTATAGATAGGTTCTAAATCAGGTTTGGATTCTTTTACACCATATTACATTATAAATGCTACTATAAATACCTTATAAATACATATGTTATCCTTATTATCTCTAGTCAGAGTGCATTGACTGTGCATAATGATCCCTTCCAGTCGGTGTAATAGCTGATTAGATAACTTTTGAAGTCTTGATGTTGTCATTTTTCTCTTCGTCGTCCGCCGATCCGTCTTCAATGGCCGGGGATGGGGATCTGCTCACCAATTCTCGGAGTTTGGAGCCAAGGTTCAGGGTAATGTGGCCATCTTTGTGGAAGGTCTCTAAGAAGCCTCTAACAAAGTCGTCGGAGCGGGTTCTCCAACTGTTTAGGAGTTCGGCTCCCTTTTGTTTCAGACTGTCCACTTGGTTTTGGAGTTGGTATCGTTGGGCCTAAAAATATGCAAATCAAGTTCATAAATTCGTCAAATTTTCAAAAATCTATCACCCTCTTGGCCCAGCCATTAAATTCCTTAATCACCTAGTATTTTACATAGTTTCAAAATCACTTTTTATGATTTATGGCTTCTAAAATATCATCATCAATAATATGTTTGATGATGGATCAATATTACAGTCGACACATTGCAGAAATTTCTCAAACTAATTCCTACAAATTCCAAGACATAGCTAAACTCAAGACCAGCACCTTGACAATTACATATTACCCAGACCAGCACCTTGATAGGACCCAGACCAGCACCTTGACAAGCAACCACGAGTTCAAACACATTTGGAGCCCGTCAACACTCTTGGAGCCAGTGGAACATCAAGAACAACCCGCACGGATACCCGCAAATGGTCTCACCACGGAAACACTCATTGGCATTCTGCAGCAACTACGATAGGATCAACGAAGAAGGAGGAATTGATATTGGACAAGGGATAGATGGAGATATAGGACAGGAGGTCGGAGGTTGGAGACGGCCAGAAGGAGGACAGAAGAAGGACGCGCGAGGGCGTGAGCCCGAGTATTATTCGGTTGTTACAGTTTGGTCTTGGTTTATTGTTGACTTATTTACTCTTGCTCGTATTTTCCCCAATTGTATCGTTTGGTTTGGATAAATCTATCACTCGTACGTGTTTGGCGAGTCATTTCTAGGAGATCTCCGGATCTTAATCCTACGAACTACCCTTTAAATAGTTCTAATTTCTGAATCAGAAAAATTTTGCGATTTATTTGATATATGTCTCGATCTGTAACTCCATACCCCATAAAACTACTTTCCTTCTCAAAAATCTTCATTATTTTCTCCATGTCCCCTCCACCCCAAACCCCAATTTCTCACCGAAAAGAATCCGACATTGAGTTCCTTGGCGGAGTATCCTCTCTGTAGGTTCCTTCTCACATACTTGTCATAGTCTCTGATGATTCTGCAGACCACATCCGACGTAGAAACGCCTTCCGTTCGCTGCGTTTCCACAAACATTCCCTCCCGTCTGAATTTTTCGTACAAATCTTCTTCGCCTGGGGCTAGGTACGGTATGGCGTCATGAGCGATAAAGTCCACCTACGACTAAATTAGACCACAATCTTTGTCTTACCTTCAATTCTTTGAGGAAATCGACGGTCACATACCATGGTGAGTCCCTATAAACTTCGTCCACATATCTGCAATGGCGGACGGCTTCGAACCGCTCGTCTTCTTCGGTCACTGTGCGCCCCTTGAATTTGTGGGTGTTTTTGTCGCCACAGACTAAAATACAATGTTACAATCTCAAATTCGACCAAATCCAAGTCTCTTTTTGTCATCTTATTTTACTTTACCCACCTCCAACGATCAAGTAGACATTCGGGAAGGCATTTTTGGCTTGTCTCAACTGATTCGCGTGTCCATGATGGAACAAGTCGTAGATTCCATCAGCAAATACTCGGACTGGTCGGCCGGCTAAAAATTTCCTTGATTACGACCAATTTTTATATTATACATGACATCTGATATCCAAAAAACTGCTTCTGATAAATTTTTTAAACAGTTTGAGCAATCATTTTCTTCGTAGTTCACCTTTATCGTATTCCTCGCTTCAACAAACTTTGATCCAGCTGCTAATCATCAAAATTAATTTACAGATAAAAAGATCATTTTTCGGACACATGTAAAAATAAAATGGCGCCATTTTTTTTAAATTGAGAAACTTTCTGTGGTCATTAACGATAGAGTGCATTCTAATCATTTTAGGTCACCCACGGGCATTACACATCCCATTTTTTGTTTAATATCGCTATCAAGTGAGATGGCACGTTGCAAAATCGATGCCCAAAATCAAAACAACCCTCTCAGAAAGCTTCCACTGTCCTCAAAAAATCTCTTTAAGGCGTATTACCTAATAATTCTGCAAAAGATTGACATTTCCACCAATTTTTTATGTTCATTATGACCTGATCTAACCCCATTTATCAAAGTTCTTTTTAAACTCCCAGCTTTCATCACAAAAAACTGAACTTTTTATTAAACAATCTTCTTGATGATAAACTAAATTTGCTGTTTTTCTTTTCACATTGTCTGATTATGAGTGACTCAATCTTAAGATTGTTATCAAAAATTACACGTAATCGGAGAAAAAAATGCGAGAAATGACGACTGGAGTTCAATCTAGATAATCGGAATCTCCGAAAAAAACCCGTATGAGGTTTCAACATTCTTTTTTCTTTTGTTGAAAACATTAGTTTGGAGCTACATTCTAGAAAAAAATTGATACAAATCACTGAAGAATTACTACAAAAAGTGCACTTTAATAGAGCATCATCTCTCTGATAGATAAGAGGTCAGTTTCCGGAAAAAATATTATTAAAATTTGACCAATTTTTATGAATATTACACTATCTTATACTCGAAAAAATTTGATGATTTTAAAAAATCAGTATTCAAAAACATCAAAATTAGTAGTCCATATGAAAAACTAGACCATTCTACATAATAATAGCCAGATTTACCCCAATCTTAACCCATTACTTACTCAATATATGCAAATTTTGATTTCGGTCAAGTCTAATATTATGGAAAATAAAAAAATTATCTTATACCCTATCCCATACCAAAACCTTATCCGTAGAACATTCCAACCACATTTCCAATCTATTGACCATCTTTAAACCATCCTATCACCCCTTCTTCCATCAATATTAACCTTACCTGAGTTGTTGTAGGCCTCTTCCAAGGTGATTTTTTTACTGTAATCCACTCGATTCCTCTCATTTATAGCATCAGGCTCATCGCTATAGGGTGCTGGTTTGTTCAGTGCTAGTCTTAACTCTGATCCGTTCTCAATTTCCGACCTCTCCGAAGTTGGAGACTTCGATTCGATTGGGGCCCGTTTCTTTCCCGGAGGGCTCGAATTGTTGGCCGCGGTCTGACGTTTGCGTAGTTGGCGGGACGACATCTGTAATAGAGTAAACATAGGACACGTCAAGGATCTCAAACATCGATACACGTCACAATTTTCAGTTTTGATGACATGGATAATATAAAAATTCGAAAATTCAACATAAATTCAGTAGTTTTAGTACAAAATCAGCCCTAAAAAATATCTATGACCATTTTTAACCGCACGAGTGCCAAGTACAAACACAAAATTTCGGCGGTTCGAGATAAGTAAGGGTTCCGGTTCACCTCGTACCGAGAAAAAGTGACTGATAAGACAGATAATGCGCCGAATACATATGATCAAACAAGACGCCAACCCATTTAGAGCACACAACCGGAGGCGCCGCCCTCTTCGCGAAAAAAAAAGAATTTTGTGATTGATGGACACTGAGGTTAAAACAGATGAACAAACTGAAGAACTGGTGTAATTTTTGCATTCCTTGATGTCCAAAATACCTGCAAATCGATAACGTCTGTTAGATCAATAGTTAAACCGGGTAAAAACAGACTAAAACAGTAATTTGAAGACATTCTTCGTTTTTGTTTCTTTAAATTTTCGCAATTTTTTAAAGAAAAATAAAATCAGTGTAATATAAACAAGACATTACAAAATATGATTAGCTCAACTACCCTTTGAAGTCAAAGTACCCTATTTCGAATTCTAAACCGAGAAAAACTCAGCTTTTCAAATGAAATTTTTAGAAGACTTCAAACGGTAGTTGGGTTAATCATATTTTGTAATGTCTTGTTTAAATTACACTGATTTAATTTTTCTTAAAAAATTTTGAAAATTTTAGAAACAAAAACGAAAAATGTCTTCAAATTACTGTTTTAGCTTGTTTTTACCCGGTTTAACTATTGATCTAATAGACGTTATCAATTAACAAATATTTTGGACATCAAGGATGCAAAAATTACACCAGTTCTTCAGTTTGTTCATCTGTTTTAACCTCAGGCCAGTTTCCATCAATCACAAAATTTTTTTCGCAAAGCGGCAAGATAATTATCTTACACTAGATATCTGGTATCCGAATCGGTCTAAAACATGTGATCGGCGAGATTAAAGGGGAATTTTAGTCAATAGCGCACGTAGATATGGCCATGACCGAGTTTATAACTTCATTTTAAACTAGGAAATCTGAAGTATCTGGGTGGGAAATCTAGAAACATTGTTTTAGGTAATCGTCGCCAAATTTTAGGTGTAAAATTAACAATTCCTGTGTGGATTGACAACGATTTGCCATCACAGACATCTCCAGATGGTTTCTATCTAAAATCTATCATAAAAATCCTAAAAGACATCAAAATTTCACCTAAAACAAGGTCCAATCATCAGCTTTCACAAAATTTTGTTGATAACTTCTCTAAATGAATAGAAACAAAAAAGAAAGTTCTCCAAATGCAAACCTCATACCTCCGGCCAAACAGAATCGCGATGCATTTAACATCTGTAACACAAACTCAACGCAAATCGACCTCTTTTAACGAACCAAACAGTTGAATAAATCTGCCAAAAACGAACGTCAGATGGCTAAACAAACATGCGCCGGGACCAAGGCAGATCCAGCTTGTCGTGAAACTACCCAACAAACACAGATTGCAAACAAAATGCTCGGGAATCAAAGAAATTTTCAAGATTCTTCAAAGCCCGCAGGAATAATATCCCAAGTTTTCAAAAAAAAGGTCAAAACAGCCATTTCAGCCTTAAACCCTCCAAATAAACAACAAAAAAAAACGAAATAAATTATGTTATCCCTCTCCGAGTAGCCGTTTTTTGGCCGCACGTCGAACATATGCCCCCAAATTCCCGATATTATCCATGGGTCCTCGTGAGCTGGAGGAATTTTGAAAATGTTGGGAAATTGATGTGGTGTCCACGTCAAACGTCTTGATAAAACCGCTTTCGATGAAATAAAAAACAACAAAAAAATATTTTAGCTTGTCACATTACGCCAACAAAATTATGTTCGCTTCGGGAGCCGGGATATTATTTTAGAGCCAAAATTTTTGAGAGTTTTCGAGTAGAACAGAGATTTCCGGATTGGGCAAGTGTCTGTGAGCAATTTTAGACGTTTTTTCCGTCATTGAAGACTTAATTTCGCGTAGAAAATTATGTTATCCCTCAGCGGAAGGTGTTTTTTATCGTGAAATTTGCCGTTGCGCGTTAAAAACTGAAATATTGGATTGAATATTCTTTTAGAAGTTATGGAAGGCTATCATTTACCGTTGAGTCCATCAAAAAGGGTGCAGGAGCTTCAGAACTTGCGAGTTCCTGGATCTCCCGACATGAAACACGCTCGGAATCGACTGGATAATCTTCTCATTGGAATCAGAAAAGGAGAGTCTCAGCAAACCTTCAGAGAGGACTCGTAAGTGCTTTCGAGTTGTTTGATTTTAATTTTAGGCATTTCTCACCTAATTTTTTTTATCAAAGTATTGTTCAACGTCCATGGATAATATAATTTTATACCTTCACGTTTTAGGGCGATCCTCTCCGAAATCGAGGAACTTGATGAACACAAGAAAGGCCCAGGAAGGCCGAGAAAGCCAAGACCGGATAATAAAGTTGTATTCGAACTTCGAGGAAAGACCTTTGGAATGCAGGACACGGATCGAGATGAGCCCATCTATTGCATGTGCCGCAGATGGATGTATGGAAAGGACGATGAGAAAATAGAAGCAGGGAGTCCCCCACCAGCTCTACCTGACAACATTTCTTTGGTACGTCACATTGTTTCACTGTTTCGCTAAAATTTTATGTTGTACTAGGCCAAGAGACTAATTTCTCTAATTTTGCAGGACTTGATGGCGACAAAACCTATTTATGCGATGCCAAAGCCCGATACAAGTGTCCCGGAGCTCCCTTTGGTCCCCGAGGGTATAGCTGATCGGCCGCAAGAGCCGGAATATGCTGGCAAAGATGTCAAGGAACTGCCTTTGATGATGGCTCAACACATGAAACATTGGAAGAATGTTCGACGGAGAATTACTGAGCATTCTGAAGCAAGAAAACGGCGATATAAAAGAAGTCTGGATCTGCTGAGGACTGTTTATAACATCGCTCAACAAACTCAAACTTAACTTAATATGTATAATATATTGTTTTGATATTCATGCCTCAGCAATCTTGCATCTCTTCTCATACTGAATAATAAATATAATATGCATACCACTCAAACCATTTCGGTCACGATAATGTAAACTTTTATCGCAATTATGATTAAATTACATACATTTTAATAACAAAAAACAGATCAATTGATGATTTTGGCCAAGATCGCGGCCTGCGTCGCCTTGTCCTTCAATTGTTCCTTGGGGTAGTCCTTGAGGACCGAGCGGACTTTCATCAACACCATTCCCGAAAGGTTTCGACCCTCGCCGATCACTGGGAACATTGTGATTGTGTCGGCTTTCAGGTGGTATGGATACTAAAATTAGAATAAAAAAGCAAAAAAGCTATCTTACATTCAAAGTCTTTCCCTCGTTTTCCTTTGCCCATTTTGTCAAATCCTCAGCATTCATTCCGCAGGCGTACAAATTGTCGCCCTCATAAACTTGAACCAGCAATTTATCCCCCGTTTCCCGCAATTTGTCCATCAATTTCGGGTTCTGCAGAAATTTGAGGGCATTAGCGTAGAGAAGCACACTGACACCTTGCGACGCTTTCCACGCTTCGACATTGCGGAAGCTGACATTGCCTCGACGTAGGATTTCTTTGGCTCTGGACTTGGCTTCGTGGGGAAATCGGCAGGTCTGAAGGCGACTAGCTGCATGGGGACCGCAAAGACTGTAGATCTTCGTGGCTTGGTAATATTGCTCAACGGATGGGTAGTAGATTCCACCGATCTCGATTTCAGACTGAAATTCAAAAAATTTAGCAGAAAACCATAAAACTTTAAAGGTGACATTCGATGTCTAGTGCAACACAAAACATATATCAAAAGCTGTTTGTTTTGTATATTTTTAACATTCTGTCGCATTCAACACATAAATTACGCTCTAAGACATGCCAAAGTTTGTAGTTTACTCACAAAATGATTTCAAACCATCAAAAATTCTAATTCAGGTGCCTAGTACAATATAAAAGGAGCATGACCCCCAAAATCCTTGCGCTAATTGACAGACACCTCTCTTCTAATCTAAACCAAGAAACAAAGAACATAAAAAACAAACTAACCTTGTAGAAAGTGCTCAAATAGTCCTCTTTTCCCTTGAAGGCAACAATATTGGCGGGACTAATCGTGGTGCTAACAAACGGAGCATTGGCTTTCAGCGGAGCTACTGTGATCGGCCGCTTCTTAAAGGTCTTGGTCTGAGTCTTCGGCTTCTTTGAATCTTTATCGTTGAGAGTTTGCTTCTCCAAAGCATCGACCAGATCTCCGGAGGTGTTTTTATCGCCCAAGGCGAAGGTCGCAATATCCTCATCCATGGTAAAATCTTCGGTCATGGTGCAAATAATGGAAAGCTACAAGAAGAATACAAAATAAATATTGTTTATGACTGGTCAGTGGTCAACGGAACCTTGTTTTACAAGTTATTGCAGAATGCCACGATTCAATTTTTCGTGCTGGAACTTGGGGCTGGGTACCATGTCGGTCGATTAGATGGTAAAATAAGATTTGTACAGGCTATATGAACACTGAAGCATTATTTCTCATATTTCAACACCACTTTTTAATAATTTCTTATGAATCGATAATTTTTTTTGAAAAATTTTTTATTGGTCAACTTTGTTGTATTGAATTTTCAATTTTTCTCCGAAGAATACAATACCTGATGACAATTAAACATTTTATCGGCAACGTCAAGAAGACAGGAGTCTTTTAGAACAAAGAAAACATCGATTTTCCGCTCTCTTTTGGCACTTTCTTTTAAAAATCCCCTCTGGCTTTGAGGCTCTTTTTGCCTCCGGAAAAGTAGACGCTGCCGGCGGGCGGAAGAGATTTCCCGCTTGTTCCGATTAAATTTATGTCCCATTAATCATAATTTAGTGATGGGAAACGCGCTCTCCAGCCTGGGATTTAACCAGCCCTTCTTTTTTACGCTTATTGGGTAAGTTAAGGTGAAATTGGAAGTAAAATTAATGTTTTTGGAAGAAAAAAAGCGCTGGAAATTAAAATTGAAGTTTCATGGAGTATTTTTTATTAGTTTGTAAAAGAAGTGTAGTTGCGAATTTTAGAATTATGCTGCTTTTGATTGGAACGGTCGCCTTGGTCAGTGATCCACAAGAAGATGAGATGGAGCTGCCCAGCCGGTTTGACCAGACTTATGTAAGTACTTTCACAATGGTTTAAAGAGCATAGCAAGTTATTTGGAATCTTTTGTAGTTTTTTAAATAGTGTTTTTTTTCGCTGAAAATTAACTTGTTTGCAAAAAACGATGACTTTTCCACAAAAAATCCCATTTTTAAACCGCTGAAATCATTTGCTATAGCCAAATTTGCTTTTCCAATTATTTTTCATGGACGCTATGAAGCTAATTTATTTTGTAATTACTATTTGCAGACAAACAAAAATTATATCAGTTTTTATATTATTTTAGGCCAATATATCGCTTGGACGGCCGAAAAATCGGAATAAACCGACGATGAAGATGTATTGATGCAGTCCATTTTATTTGTTGATAATGTTGGAGCTTATAACCTTCAAATTACAGGAATATTTCGTCTATTTACGGTGATCTCGGAGACTTTTGTATATAAAAAACACTCTATGTTAACGTTATGTAATCATAAACTTATAATCGATGAATTGGATTTAAATATTGGTCGAAACTTGAGAAATGCAATTCAAGAATTCTCTTTGACAGTTCATAAGCCGTTTCTTGCTATTCTTGCCGTTCGAAGAAGTGTTGAAGACCGAGAAATTTGAACATTTTCGCGTTAAGACCTATGAAAATAGTTGCATTTTTTCTGACCGTCTTGTATACAAAATGATAGCTCGTATAGACTAAATGATGACTCGTAAAGCAAGGCGTTGTATTCAAATTCTCAACAACAAAGCTCTTGTATAACAAACGATATTGAAGCCCACAAGTTTTAGGCCTTGATGAGTCTGTATTTCAATGATGGCATTCGGAGCAATGAAATTTTAAATCTCCTCCCCAATAATTGTACAGAATCGTCACTTTTCCAATGATCCCTTGAATAATGATCACTGATCCCCTCGTCTCCTCGCAAGTCATCCGATCTCCCCTTCGCTTTCGCCTAATTGGCTAGGCCAAGAAAGCGGACCTGACCTTTTTCCGATTTGTTTGTACAAAAGTGGAGAGAAAAGCCGGCGGGGGTTTCGTGTTCAGAAAAACGTTTTTTTTTGGGCGACCAAGACAAAAGACGAAGAAGAAGAAGACCATCATGTTGATGTTGTGTTGTTTTGCGAGGTCGCGAGCTCAGGCCGCGAGTTTCTCATCGCAGCGGTGGGATTCTTATGCGCGAAAACCCCGCGGTGATTCGAGGGAGTTCATTTTACGAGATTTTTTGGGTGGTTTTGGGGAGATTTGAGGGTACGAATTGTCATCTTTTTTATCAGTTGTTAGAGTCAAATTTTGGAATTTCAAATTGTAATCGCTGAAGGTGTTGCTTGGCATAGGATAAGATGAATTGAAGGAAGGGAAGCCCTGGAAATTCAACAATCATTTCTCAACATAACTTACTACTGTTATAGATTACGGTTATTAAAGACGTACTGCTTGGCATTCTTCATTGAAGGAAACAATGAGATTATTGTATAGAAAAATGTTGGAAATTGGGCACAGTTTCCGTAAATTTTGATTCCGTGAGGCGCTCTTCATATCAGTCTGTCTGTAAAATAATGAGGACAATGGTCGTGCTCATTATTTTCCCGTCAGACTGATAATTTCGCTAATTGTTTCTCATCATTTCCACAGTTTCCCGGCTTGAGGGATTGTTCAATATCTCGACTGGATTTTAATGACCAGAACTAGGGCCTTCAGTAATTGATAAATGGACTCTATAGACTGCAAAAACAAAGTTTAAACCAAGCAGAACAATGAATTTGTAGACTTTTGTTTAAGCGAATTCATCGACCAATTTGCAAGACTGATCAATTTCGCTATCTCTTCTTTTTGCCATGCCGTCTCAGTACGTTAATTATCATTTTTCAGGCTCAGCAATATCTCCTGTCTTTGTCATCAATGACAACCCCCGACTTTTTTTAATTTCCGACCTTACACTTGAGCACTCGATGACTAATGTCCGAAAATCCGGAATGGATCGCGATTCAAGTGAACACCTTCACCAATTGGCTGAATCATGAGCTCCGACATACCAGCATCAAGATTGAGGACCTTGTCTTGGACCTCAGGGATGGGATCACGTTAATTCGGATCGTTGAATGTCTTCAACAGCGGATTTGTCGGGCCAAAGTTTATGTTAATCATCCCACGGAGATCCAGTGCTTGATGAATATTCAGATGGCGCTAGATGCATTGAGTGACGATGGAATTAAATTGGTTAATATTGGTGAGAAAAACGGCTGTTTTCGGGAGGAAAACTGTGTCGAACTTTGAGGTTTTTTGACTTTGAATTTTAGGAAGTCAAGACATTTACGAAGGGAATCTCAAGCTGATCCTTGGGTTAATCTGGGCGCTGATTCAACGATATCAACTGGGAAGTGATGCAAAACCGTTGTCCAAAAGATTGGTGTTATCTTGGCTGCAGGTAATTTTTTTATGAGGGACAGAGTAAGACCTCAGCATAACATAACCAGCAAGATTGAATAGAGGATTTCTCAATTTACGGTTGGTTGATTCTGTTCAAGTTTTGTGACAAGAAGCTATTTTACCAACATATCATTTACTCAAAATTTTGATGAGTGTTTTGGAGAAGCAACTGAGATATTCATCGATCTTTTGCAGCCGAGTGAATATGGAAGATTAGGAGAGATGGTCAGAGAATTCCTTTTTTGCCAGTTTCTTTATATCGAGTTTTTCTGGAATCCACTTTCGGCCTTGTAGAGACCCATGGAACTTTCAAAAATTGTAAAAAACTTTCCGTTTGTTGGCCATCTCTCCCAATTTTTCATATCCTCTCAAACGCAAACATTGTTGAATATCTCGGCTTGAAAAAGGTTAGCTGAAATTTTCTGGTTATTATAGTATAAACTAGGCCTAGTTAGAGGAAGCATTGTAAATTTCAGACATCTTGTCATCACAAACCGATGATACGAAGCTACATATTCATATCAGTTAGACATTTTGTTATTTTTAGCAATCTGTGAGGGCACTTTTAGCTTCTCATATTGCAGTATGAAATATGCTTGTATTTCAGCTGGTTCTGCCCGAAATCCGGCTGACAAATCTAACCAATTGGAACGATGGCGTTGCGCTATCAGCACTGATCAATTACTGTGATCCGGATTTGCTGCCGAATTGGAGGGATCTTGATCAGTCAAAGCGGTAATAATTTTTTTCTAACGGTTTTTTAACGCCTATTTTTGCAAAATAGAATTTTTTTTGTAAGTGTAGATGGCTAAAATACTCCTCATTTTGCGATTAGACACGATGATGACATTATAAAAAGATTAAAAAATAACATCAATTACACTTTTTTGATCAAAGATTTATATCGTATGTGCAAAGTTAGAGATAGTGGAGCGTATTTTACAATTTTTTTCAGCTTCGAAAATTGCAAAAACGCCTTGCAAATCGCTGAAAATCATCTCTCCGTGCCAAGTATAATATCGCCCGAATACTTGAGCTCCCACGATCTGGATGAGCTCTCTTGTATGACCTATTTATCCTATTTCGTCAAGAAAAATGGCCCCGGATACAATGCAACACTACGCAACGTACAGCAACTTCTATATGACTTGGAAATTCCGGACTTTGGGGATTGTTGGAACGATGGGTACCTGTTGTCCAGGCTGGTTGAGGCTTGTGGGGGAAGGGTTCTTGACATGGATCAGATGGATTTTGAAGACGAACATCAGTGGCTTTGGAATGTGCGACAGGGTAAGTTTACAGGGAAAGTACTCCAAGTGCGACGCTCAGATTTTCTTTAAATTTTGCACACACGTCGGGTGTGGACTAAGTATTAATTCCTGAAAGTTTTAGCTCGCGCTTTGCGGGCGCCGCCGAGATATCGAACGATTTTTGCCGCCATGAGAGCACGCTAAACGTGGAGAACGGTCAGAGAGAAAAACACTTCTTGGCCATAACTTTAGCAGTTTCGTGCGGAAAATTTTGACTTTTTTGTAGAAACATTTTCCTTTACGGTAGAAATAGGCATGAAACTTTTCGTGCCAAAATTCGGCAAAAGGTCCTAAATTTTGACCGACTTTCGATCTAAAAATCTCGGTTGTTTCTGCAAAGCGCGAGCTAGGATTCTCGCATATATCTTAGAAAAAATTACTCTAAATTTGTGCCAAGTTTCATCAAAATCTGAGCGTCGCACTTGGAGTACTTTTCCTGTTAATTTCTGAGATTTTTAATTTGAATATTCAAATTTTCAAAAATTTTGGAGCTAAGAATTTGAATATGCAAATTTTTTTGGAGTAATTGGCTTGTTGGATACTTTGTGTGTGTTTACCTTTACTGTATTTTTAATTTAAATGTTCAAATTTCCATTCACGTATTTTACCCAAATTTTCCGTTCCGTATTTTACCCTCTTATTTCCGTTCCGTATTTTACCCTCTTTTTTAGCACTCGATGCCGTGATTGACCTTGGAGTTCACTGTACAATTCAAGCCGATGAGATTGTTGGGCATAATCATGATCATTTAGGCAAGTGTAACATAGCCAATCTATAAAATAAAACCATTTTCCATTACACTTTTTTTTAAAAATACTTTTCATAAATTTTAGCAATAATGGAGCTCTGTGCCGCATTAATTTCTCAGAGAGCTTACCAAGAGCTTTCCGAGGTTATTCCCAAAGCCGAAGCCGAATGCTCATGTGGGCAGCAGTTGAACATGGATCTGGCTTTTACGGACAAATCAGATGTTAAAGTTGATGACTTGGATGTCGTTGTGGAAGATGAGGAGGGCAAGGCTGTTTCTACAGAAGTCTTGGGACTGGTTAGGAAGGAAACGGCCGATGGAGCGATGCTTTCGCTGATCCCTACAAGGCCAGGGGTATTTCTGGTAAGTTTTATGATTGACTTTTAATTTTTTTGATTGTTTAATACTTTTAATAGCGAACTTGGCCAACATTTCTGTCTTTTGGGAGAACATTGTAATCAGTAATTGAGCTTGTATTTTCAGATTTTTGATATAGCGGTGGCCGGAAGGTAAAAAAATTGATTTCGTAGACAAGGGATTGTTCAAAGTGAGATGTTCAAATTGCTTAGAATTTGGCCTACAAATTGGGCCTAGCCCTTACAAAAATTCAAGGAAATATTACGTAGATTGCGCTTTCCAGGAACAGCCGAGATATCGGAAGATATGCATATATTTGTTGACAAGAGAGCTGGCGAAATGTGGAATGGACAAAAGTAGACGAAGACAAAACTTTTTTGGCCATAAATTTTCCAATCTCGCAGGGAAAAAATTGATTTTTTATAGTAGCATTGCCTTCCCCGGTTCTAGAAAGGCTAAAATTTTGCATGCATAAAATTTTTCAAAAAATGCTGAATTTGGCCAACTTTCAGGCTTATTATCTCGATTGTTTTCGCAAGGCGCAAGTTAAAACTATGTATTATATATTAAAATCCAACGTATTCAAATAACTTATTTTACCCTACATTGGCAGACATATAGCTTATAAGGTTTTTTCTCTTGGCGCTCTCCGCTTTCTGCGTGCTCTCTCATCGTCAAAATTGAACCTCTCGGCTGCCGGGATCTAGCAGGGGAAGTACTCCAGGTGCGACGCTCAGATTTTCTTTAAATTTTGCACGCATGGCGGGCATGAACTAAATATTAATCCCTGAAAGTTTTAACTCGCGCGTTGCGGGCGCCGCCGAGATATCGAACGATTTTTGCCGCCGAGAGAGCATGCTAAACGTGGAGAGCGGTCAGAGAGCAAAGCGCTTTTTGGCCATAACTTCGGCAGTTTCGTGCGGAAAAAAAAATTTGATTCTTTGTTGAAACATTACCGTTTGCGGTAGAAATAGGTATGCAATTTTTCGTGCCGAAATTCGGCAAAAAGTCCTAAATTTTGGCCGACTTTTGATCTAAAAATCTCGGTTGTTTCTGCAAAGCGCGAGCTAGGATTCTCGCATATATCTTAGAAAAAATTATTCTAAATTTGTGCCAAGTTTCATCAAAATCTGAGCGTCACACTTGGAGTACTTCCCCTGTAAAATTTTTTGTGATCGATATGTGACCCAGGCCCGACGTGTGCGCAAAATTACATAAAAAATATGAGAATTGCAACTTTCCTTGTTAATTTCACTTTTATATTTTTCACTCTATATAATTTTCTGCACATATATACCTCATTACGAACATCTCATTTCGCTGCACTTTTTCCAAACTTTTTTTTTCGCAAAAACAAACAACATAGCCGTACGACTGAGCCCGTTCTTCCATTAAATGTTCCTCCAAAATCATCGCATATCCCCCCAATTTTTGTGCAAATCCTCGAGGCTAACATCGCTGTACAAAACGTTGCTCGAGATGGGTGGGGGGAAGGAGAGAGCGCGTCCCCCTTCAGCCTTCTGAAGGTCATCCGAGCTTCGTCGTCTTTTTTTTTTAAATGCCGATCTGTTTTGGTGGTCATCAGAAAGGGACGGGGGGAAACCGAAAATATTTCCAAAAACGGGCAAGGGTTAATTTGGATATTATTTTTGGGAATGGGGTTGGGCTGGCAGGGGAACGGCGGAACAGTGGGTGGGAACGGTCGAAGGGCGATTTTTTGGGGGAGATTTTGAGTGATTTTTGAGCAATTTTTAGAGGAGAAAGTAAAGAAATAACATTAATTTTGACAAAGTTATCAAAAGAAAATCAAAAAAAGTTGTTAAAATAGATTTTTAGAGCAAAATATTGTAGGATCAAGGTTGATATTGCCTTAAAATTGCTCGTAATAAAGCTTGAAATTGTCGATTTTACATCTACTTTGATAACCGGGATTTTTTTTTTGATTTTTGATGATTTTAAAAACTGAAATTTTCAAAAAATCAAAAGTGAAATTTTCAAAATGAGATTTTTGTTTTTGATGACACTTTTGGGCCTACTTTAAAAGAGCTCAAACTCGATTTAAAATATTCAAATTTGACCAATTCTCCTCTAATTTTCATATTAATTCGACTAAAAACCTGATCATCCCCAATTTCCCCTCAGGGCAAATGCCATTCCGCACATTTCTCGCCTTCGAATCGATCATTTTCCTTTGTTGTTCCACTTATGGTTTTCCCGTTTCATAACCTTCTCCCCGTCACCCCTGCATCTCCCAAATATCTCCCCCAAATCCCCGTATTCCTCGCCCCAACTCTCCCCGTTTACAGCAGACGGCGATAAAGCCCGCAAACTTTCGTTATGATGCCGACCGGAGCCGGGTTATTACGAATCCCTCGGAAACATTTTTCGAATTTTTTTGTAATAAACGCGGCTCAGATTTTTTTTCGCTCAAGAGAGCCTCAGGCGCTCCTTGATCTACAGATTCTCTTCTTCTTGTGGGAATCACCCCATCCAGCGGTTTCGGAGACGATCTAGCTGGCGGATTGGGATTTTTGATTTGGTTTTGAAACAGAAATCTCGCTCGTTTTCCTGGGGAATGCAAATTTTTGGTGATTTTGATGGTTTGAGCTGTGGATTATAAGCGGATATAAGCTTGTTTTGAACCTATGGATGAAGGGCATGTATTTTAAAAATAGATTGAGCTCTTTTGAGCGGTCCTACCGCCAATAATTGACAAGTTTTGGCCCGCGCTTTTCAGGAGCCTCCGAGATATTGGACGATCTTTGCCGCCGAGAGAGTACGCTAAACGCGGAGAGCGGACAGAAGGAAAAACACTTTTTGGCTATAACTTTACGAAAAAATTGATTTTTTGTGGAAACATTACCCTCTGTGGTAGAAATAAGCATGAAACTTTTCGTGCCGAAATTCGGCAAAAAATGTCAAATTTTCGATCTAAAAATCTCGGTTGTTTCTGCAAAGCGCCAACTAGGATTCTCGCATATATTTTAGAAAAAATCTTTCTAAATTTGTGTCAGGTTTCGTCAAAATCTGAGCGTTGCACTTGGGGTATTTCCCTCGTAAGTCTAGAGCTGTCAAAAAAATACCACCAATTTTCAGCCCAAGCTTTGCATATTGTGTTGAGATTTTTACGTCGTAAATTGCCATAGGCACAGTAATCTGACGCATTTTAGAGCTAGAAATTTTCTGATTCTTTATAGAAAACAACGATATTTTTTTGGAAAAAGCTCTTCATTGCATGAGAAAATTCACAAAAAAACCGCTGAAAACAATTTTCTCTTGGATTGTCTCTCCTCATTTTCCATAGTCTCTCGCCTACAAAGACCGTCGAATATCTCAGCACATATCACCAAGGGAAAGCTAAAATTTTCAGGGATTCAAATCTAGACTAAATACAGTATATACACCAAATTTGAAGAAAATCGACCGGTCGAACTTCAGACACTTGCCTTTTGAAATTTCGAATCCCAAAACTTTTTCACTTTCAAATTCCTCTCAATTATTCGATCATTCTTTTTTTATTGTCTTCTTTCCCGTGCAACGATGTCTTCATTCATCGCGACCACGCGTCCATCCCACATTCCATCGCTCTTTTTTTTATCACTTCCTGTCTCCATCAACAAACTTCTCTGTTTTATTACACTTGATGTTCGACACTCTTTACACTTGACGACTGGATTGGCGTCTCATATCGTGCGGATTATTTGTGTTTTATCCAATAAATCTTCGTTTTTAATATCCTTTTCTCTCTCCTCAATCATCGAAGGTGTTGCGTGAGGGAAAGAGGGGACGTCTAGTAGAAGGGGTTCTCATGTGTTAATTAAGACCAGCGTAATTGGAAAAGTTTGGGCGAAAGCAGTTTTTTCACAAAGTTTGTTGACTTGAGAGGGTATGGGTTGTAAAATACGAAGATGTTACTGGATTTTTATAGTGTAAATTCTCGGTTTAGTTAACTGTAAAATAAGTAAAAATCTGATACTCAAAATTCTTTTAAAAGTTGCTTTAAAATTTTATACGACTAAAAAATCATTATGAAGCTGGATGACAGTTAAGATTACACTTTTCTACAACGAGAATCAAAAGAATCAAGCAAATTTTTTTGTTCCAAATAGACTTCTCTGCATTATGATTACTTTGGTAACCAAAAATTTGGTTATTTAGTGGCGAGCCATCACATTTATTATCAAAATCTTGATTAATTTTATCACAAAATAAGGCTTCTGAAAAAACGAAAATTTTGGCGTCCGTTTTGCAGAAACCGTCAAGATTTTTATGTTGAAAGCCGACTCAAAACGATGTTTTTTGCTCTACGGAAAAAATGGCAAAATTCACAATGTCGACTGGTCGATTTTCTTTGAAATTTGGCATAAATACTCTATCTAGGCCAGATTTCAATTCTTCAAACTTTATCTTTCCGTTTGCAAAAAAAAGATTTTATTTTTTAGTCATCAAAACTGCCATTTCACTGATTATGAAAACGGATTTTGGCTCGTATTTTACCCCTCTTCACACCGTTCTAATTAAAATTGCATTCTTTATCAGCCGTCTTCTTCATTTGTTGATTTCTAATCAAAGTTTGCGTGAAGTGATCTGCTTGTTATACCGCCGATTAATTTGTTCAATCAACGGGAAGCCCTTTATTTCCTTCCAAAGTTTCTTTTTCCTGGAGGCGAAAACAGAATCGGAGATGGGTTTTTTGATGGCGGAGGAAACGTATTACATGACAGTGGAAGGGCGTAATTAAGATGTTTGTTTTTGTAGGGGGAGCAGGGGAGTTTACAATCGCCGTTTCGGGGAGAGAATTGGAGGGAAATACGGCTGTTTCTGACAAGGGTAGTATAGTATAATATTAGACGTGGGACAAACTGACAGGGGAAGTACTCCAAGTGCGACGCTCAGATTTTGATGAAACTTGGCACAAATTTAGAATAATTATTTCTAAGATATATGCGAGACTCCTAGCTCGCGCTTTGCAGAAACAACCGAGATTTTTAGATCGAAAGTCGGCGAAAATTTAGGACTCTGCCGAATTTCGGCACGAAAAGTTTCATGCCTATTTCAACCGTAAAGGATAACGTTTCTACAAAAAATCAAATTTTTCCGCACGGAACTGCCAAAGTTATGGCCAAAAAGCGCTTTTCTCTCTGACCGCTCTCCACGTTTAGCGTGCTCTCTCGGCGGCAAAAATCGTTCGATATCTCGGCGGCGCCCGCAAAGCGCGAGCTAAAACTTTCAGAAATTGATATTTAGTCCATACCCGACGTGTGTGCAAAATTTATAGAAAATATGAGCGTCGCACTTGGAGTACCTCCCTTGTGAGTTGGATAAAATTTGGCTCAAATGTAGAGCATGGTTTATTAAGAAACATACGAGATTTCTAGCTCGCAATGTCTAGAAATCGAGATTTTTGAAAGTGTCGAAGACAGTTACCTCTTTGAGTGTATTGGTGTGAAAAAAATCAGGTTTTTTCGCGCGCAATCGAAAAATTTACAAACCATTTTTTACCAAAATCATTTTTTGTCTGGCCGACTCTCTTTATCTTGTGTGCTCTTTCAAAAAAAATGATTGTCGAAGGGAGGCAAATTTTTAAGATTTGATGTATGCTACGTACAGTGGCGGACCTGATCCAGTGGCATAAAACCTACCATTTTGCGTCCGGGAAGTATCAAAAATCTGGCAAACTTCCCTCTCCAAGTGAAAAAACTCCGATTTCAAAAGCGCGCTCACTCTTCTTGTGAGAGAAAGGGCGCGCCGTTCAAAACGGAGTTTTTTTTTAGTTGGAAAGGGAGGCGTTTTGCCACATTTTTCATACTTCCCGGATGCAAAACGAAACGTTTTTTTGCCACTGGATCAGATCCTTCACTGTAAAATTCTGTAAAATTTAAAGCAAATCTGATCTGGCTTTTATTGTAAGGTTTTTATTGTAAGCAAAATTTGGGATCGCTTGAAATTAATTAAATAGCATTTTTAAGGTTAAAACTTCTTCAAGAACCTGAAAGATTCGATTCTTTTTTGTTTTCTCCCAATTTCTACTCTGTTATTGTACGTTCAGTTCGATCGCTTGTTCCCTGCATTACACTTGATCTTAGTTCTTGTCATCCGCTGTAATTATCTATTGATTACTTTTCTTCCGTTATTTTCCAAGTAGTTTTTTGCTATTCATGTCAAATCTTGGAGCGCTGTAAGCCGAAGAAATCCAGGTTTTGGTTGACAGAACTGTCAGTTTGCAGCCTTCCAAGCTGTGGAATTTGTTTACCCAACTCCCCTTACTCATCTGCCATTGGTGATTCGGCTTATTGCTTTTGAGAATCCTCCAAAAGGATTCATAACCACATCTATTTCTTTACGCTGAATTTTAGACGTATGCTCCGAAAACTTGACGAATTTTGCCGCGAATTGTCAACGGAGCTCTAGGAAATACGTGGGATTCTTAGATCACAATTTTATTGCACCAAGCGGCAAAAAAAACTTTTTTGTATCTTTCCCTCAGTAAAATTATCATACTGCTTCCAGGGATAAAAAAAATGATTTTTCTCTGACGGATCTCTTCATTTTCCATAGTCTTGCACCTGCAAAGATTATTGAATATCTCGGCTGTGTCTGTCAAGCAAGATGTTAAGTTTTGAATAACTGAAACAGCTCTTGTAGTATACGTAACAAATTCCAAGCTTGGAGAATATTGGAGGGTCACCCCGCTGAGAATTTCTTGTTTTCATCCATACCTCTAAAAATAACCTAGTTGTTGCTCCAAAGGCTTGTAAGCTCCAAAAACCGTCAAATTGAACTCAAATTCGATCAAAAACAGCACCCGCTTTTAGTGTCATCCCTATTATTTCTAGTTACTACTACAGTAGGGGGCTTGATCCAGTGGCAAAAAACGTACCATTTTGCATCGGGGAAGCATCGAAAATGCGGCAAAATGCTTCCCTCTCCAAGTGAAAATACTTCTTTTTGAAGGGCGCGCCTTTTCCCTCGCAAAAAGAGTGGACACGCTTTTGAAATTGGAGTTTCTTCACTTGGAGAGGGAAGCATTTTGCCACAGTTTTGATACTCCCCGGATGCAAAATGGTACGTTTTTTGCCACTGGGTCAGGTCCCCTACTGTACATCCAGAAAGTCGCTGGACCGATTTTTGGCTTTTTCACAATGTTAGAAAAGTCATGGGGGAAGCGACAGGCGAAAAAAGTCATTGGCATGCAAAAAGCCAGAAACTGCATAGTTCAAAGTGAACCCCTGTTTCCGCACAGTGAGATTACCCCAGCGGCTTTACGGACAAACTAAAAGTCTGTCGAAAAAATTGTGAACGCAATGTTGCTGCGCTAATCGCGTCACTGAAGTCAAAAGTAATTTGATTTAGTCGCGACACAATTCATTTTTGCGATTTACCAACATTGCTCATTATTTTCCCGACAGACTCCTAGAGACATTTTCCCGCCACCCTTTATCCCCTAAACTCCAACCCCAGTCCAAGCACCGCTTGTCCCGGCCGTAAACATCTTGATCTAACCCATTCCGCGAGAGCCTCCCACCATTCCCTTTGCCGGTCACGTCTGACCGCAAAAATATTGAGAAGTGTAAGGTCAAATTAAAATAAAAAGGCGCCTTTTAGAGTCGGACCTTAACGTTGGAGAATACAGTTAGAGGAGAGATTCGCGCACCGAAAGTCTTTAAGCGACGCAATTTTCGTACAAAAAACGATTTTTGACGGGTCGAAAATAAAAGTAATCCCTTACTCGCTTTTTTGGAAATTTACTTTTTTCTACTTTTTTGTTAATTAGATGGCTGTGGTGGAGTTGTAAACCCGTTAAGTTGAGGAGTTGTGGGAGATGTTGGGGATTGTTTTTGGGTTGGTTTGAAATAGAGAACTTGAAAGTTCGAATCGAATGCGGGGGGTGGTTAAAGGGGTGAATTGTAAGACTGTAAGGAAAGTGCCATAAAAAAAGAGTTGTAGGCCGTTTTAACGCCTAGTACTGCAAAATTTTCTAACAAGTTTTTCTCAAGTTTAACTTCTAGATAGTAGTCTTAAAAGACTACTATCTAGAATAATATTTTGATTTAAAAAAAACGGTTCTCGAGGTACGACAAGTCGATTCTCTTCCTTCATATGTATATGAATGCCTTTGAACATTTTAGTCTCAATTTGTCCTACGGTCATCAAAATCCGAATGTTCCATTCTGAGATCTTTCTTGAAAGAAATTACTTCTTTGCCATGACTCTGTATAGCGCACACATTTTTGTTAGCAAAATACGCCCCGGCAGGATTAAAATAAATTTTGGTACTGTAACATCGGAAAAAGATTGTTGCAATTTTTGAATTTGCTCTTCGTTTGTTTCTTTGATTATTAATTTTGGCATTACTATTTTTCGGCTTTACAAGGACACGGTTCCTTATCAGGTCGAAAGCGGTCGGCCTAACCCGTTTGAAATTCCTGGCTCGGCCTGCTAACTCAGGTATAAAAATAAATGGTAAGAGCTAGCCAAAAATCTCAAAAAATTTTTTAATTTTTTTAAAAAAACTGCAAAAACGACTGCTGAATTCACTCAAATTTAAATTTGGCCAACATTTGTATCAATTAAACTTTTCCCTGACCTCTTAATTTTTGAGTAATTTTTTCCTTCTGCTACTACAATCATTTTTTGGCTCCGGCCCGAGAGCCATGTCTAGCCTTTACCTTTTTTTCGGCGAATTCACCTCGTATCCCCTCCGCATAATCTATCAAAACAATGTAATAAAATTTGCAAACTAAAAGCACCAATTCTTCAGGTGCACATCTTCTGTGAGGCCGTTGAATTGCCGACATCGCCGATTCATCTGCTAGTCCATCCCTCAACCGCAGCCTCAGAAGAGAGCACAGAATTTCGACCGCCGAGTCCAATGGCGGACTATGACCAGCCCCATGTGGGGCACGTCTCGTTCTCAGGTCTGAGTGAGCCGTGTTCAGTGGGCAGTGTGGTGGAGGTGGTGGTAAGTTTGGATCGCAAATCTTTGACCGATTTTTGGTCGAAAAAGTGAAAAATCTTTTTTTCGAATTTTAAAAAGATCTAATTCCCTGAGGGTTCTTAACAAAGACTGATATTAATATTGCTTTCAACTCAAAATTTTGATTTTTTATGACTTTACGAGTGTCATCTTGTCCATCTCCGACAATATTTATAACAGTTTATAACATGGCCTTATCACTAAGGGCCTCTCCGAAAATTCGTTATCAATTTTTTTGATGTTTCCGCTGAATACTGCCCTTAAAATTTTTGGAATAAAAAGTGCGAGTCGTATACTCCTTGTAAACAAAAATAAGAGCGTCTTCTGATCAAGAAAAGAAAGGCTGAAAATGACTGAAAGTAGTCTTAATCCGGCCCAAGATATTACAGTTTGTATTGCAAAATCAGCCTCTAGGAAGCAAGAAAAAAGAGGTTTCTTGAAAATTACAGGATAATGAGGAGCTTTCTGTTCATCTTGTGGCGGCAGCCACTACAAAATTTGCCCGTTGAAACGTCCCTGTAGCTCTTTAGAGGTTTTCTAAAAGTGTTAGGCCATAAAGCAGAAATCAGGACCTTAGACGGTCCTGATTTTCCATCTCAAGTCAAAAAAGAGCGCTCATAAGCTTTCTAGAGAACATGCAATGTTTCAAACGCTGTCCAACTACAAATATAACCTTCTAAAATAAGTTTGAATCCCGAAGAATGCTCCTAAACTCTCCCAAAATTTGTTTTAACCCTCGGCAAACATTCCCCAGCCCTTCCAAATTTCCCGTTGCCTCTTTCCCCAACCCAACTTGCAGATCAACGCGCAAGGCGGTCGGGCGCAGCAGGACGAAGTGTCCGTGTTATCAGTGGCGCCGAGTGGGAAGCGGCGAGAGTGCGAGATCAGCCATCGGGCCAACTTCTTCACCGCCATTTTCCAGCCGGACGAAGTGGGTGAGTTCCCCCGTTAATGTTGCTACGCTCCGGTTCGCATGCAGGCCAGTGGCAGATCGGGATCGTGTACGCCGGCGAACACATCAAAGGCAGCCCATTCGACGTGCAAGTCTTCGATGCGGACCGAGTGAATGTGTACGGGTTGGACGTGGGATTGGTGGGACAGGAGCTCAAATTCACCGTGGACGCGCAACAGGCCGGCGAGGGAGAGGTTAATGTGAGTTCTGATGATTTTTTGGAGGTTTGGAGATTTAGGAAGGTCTAACATTGAAGCTACGTTTACCCCGTTTTTCAGGTCTCAATATTCAAAAACCACCGTCAAATCCCTTGTGGGGTTGTGGAAGAGGGTACCCGCCAACGCTACAGAGTTCATTTCACACCAGACGGGCCAGCCCGCTATGAAATTCACATAACCTTCAATGGCATGGAGATCAAAGGCTCTCCTTTTATATTGGACATAGCCGATGCGAGTCAGGTCTCGGTTCACGGAGAACAGCTGAAGACGGCGGCCGTCGACCGAATCGCTCACTTCTTTGTTAACGCGATTGGAGCGTCGGCCAAGGATCTGAATGTTGTGATCACAGGTGGGTGGAGGACTTGAGACCTTTTGGGTCGAACAAGGAAGGTATTCAAGAATTTGACGACTTATTTTGCCTTGGGCATAGCGCAGAGCAAGACTAAGACTTGCACAGTCACATTTTGAATACCTTCCTTGTGAGATTTTTTTGTGTTTTGCACGCTTCTCTTGCTCTCTCTCCGATCTCTTTGATCTCTCTGTTGGCACTCGGTTTCGGTGTGAAAAATCGCAAATTTAGATGAAATTTTATGTTGAAAATGAAAAACTTCAATGCTCTAAAGAAAATAGAGTACTGTGAGAAGATCATTGCAAAAGGCAATGTAACTTATGAAGTGTTTTTTGACGAAAATTTAAACTTTTTGCCTAAAAATGATGACTTTTTTGGATGGTCGTCCATAAGATCCCAAGTTTTGGCTAAACGCCCTCGAGCTATTGCTCCAACCCAAGCTTAATGGTCCTGTCGTCTATGTCCGCGTCCGCTTTGCTTGTTCGTCTACAAAGACTTCATCAAAAATCGATGTTAAGGGCCCTCAGGGAAGCAGAAGCATGCGCGAGTTGCGCCCATCGAAAACGGCGCCTTTCGCTGCGAATGGAAACCCGTCGAAGTTGGTGAGTGCCGATTTTCATTTCACATACGTACTGTGATGTTTAGGCGAGCACAAAATCGACGTTCAACTGTATGACCAATCGATCTACGACCACACTTTGTTATGTAATGTTGGAGATCCGGAGCTGGTCACTGTCCGAAACATACCTCAATTTATCGACTTAAACCGACTTGGTCAGGACCTCAGCTTCGAGAGTAAGTCGCTTCTACTGACATTGCTATTTTAAATCCTTTTTATGACAAAAAATTTCAGTTTCAAAGAAATCGGGGCGCTTCAAAAAATCTCATTTTTTCATAGAAAAAATTTACAGGCAAAAACTCATTTTGGCCTCAATATTTGCCTAAAGGCCATGTAAAGATTTTTTTAATTAGGGATTTTCTAATAAACGACATTATTTTTTTTTGTAATTTCAATTTTTTCCATTTTTGAAAAAAAAATCCGTCAAAAATCCAGCTGTTTTTTCTCAAAATTTTGGTTGTTGCAACATCACAAGAGACGAGGGGAGACCTTCGTTTAGTCATTAACCTCCATTCCGTTCATTGTTTTTGTTCAAAAACCACTTTTTATTGCGAATTCCTCAAGTGGATGAGGGAATTTTTTGATTTTATCTCTGTGTCTCTTCAATTTATGAGGTCTTTTTGCGATTTTTGTAAAAATTAATGAAATGTGTATGAGCCAAAATGAAATTTATAAAAGATAGTGCGTATTTTAAACAATTTTTTATAATTTTTATAAAATTCCCCCTAATTCCTCCACATCGCCTCCTCATAAAGTTATCCCCCGTCCGCAACTCTCCCACTTATTTTCGCCGATTTTTTTAGTCGACGCCGCTGCAGCGGGGTCGGGCAACCTGGAGATTATAATCAACGGCGGTCGGGTGACATGCCGTGTCCGCGAGCTGAAGACCCGGCATTTCCTCGCCGAATTCACACCTCTGCAGCCCGCGCCTCATGTGATTGAGATGAAGTTCAATGGAGAGCATGTGCGAGGGTCGCCGTGGACGTTGCCTGTGCGGAATGGCCAAGGCTCGGTGGATTATTCGACGAATGCCGGGATTCGGCAACTACGGAGTCAGCATGTGGAGGATGAGCCGTAAGTTTTGGTTTTTGAAACGATGGCTTCTTCGCCGAAATACTTTGAAAAAAATCTTTTTAATTCCTAATTTCCGTAAAGGGAATCTCTCCGATTTTATACACACACTTTATATTGATGACTTTGATATAAAAAAGAACTTTCCGGCTCCAAAATCCCAATTTAAATTGGTCAAATGCATCCTTACAGTTTTTTTTAAGCTGTGTGCAAACATATAGCTGACAGGCTTAACAGTTATTCTACGTCGTTTTCATTTTTCAGCTACTCGGAGCTAGTTGGAGTAGGCCTTCATCGAGCCCAAGTAAACGCAACAAGCGCGTTTGAGATCAACGCGTCCACCGGGATTCTGAAGGCTTCAGATGTCAGGGTTCGACTAACAGGTAGCTTATTCCTCCCATCAATCAGCTACACCTTATTTAACCATCAAAAAAATCAAAATTTACGTTGTTTCAGATGCCAGCGGGACACCGTTGGATGTTCGAATTTTCGAGCAACGCGACTGTGTCCGTTGCGAATATGTTGTTAAAAAAGTTGGAGACTACTTGTTGGAGATTTTCATCAACAATCGACTCATCGATTCGGGCCCTTTGACAGTCACTGGCTATGACATTCACAAAATCAAGGTTCAACCGGTAAAAGACGGAAGCCCTGGGGAACCAGTGCAATTCATTGGTAAGTACTGGCAGGGAATTTTATTGTAATACTGTAACAATGTTGTTAATCCATTCAGGCCTTCGAATCATCGAGATTACCTGGTCCGCGATATTGTTTTAGGTTATTTAGGGGGAATTTTGATTATTTTTCAATTTTCAGTAGGTAAATGAGGTACAAAAACGGCAGCTCCAGTTGTTGTAAAAAATCAAGCTATTGTGGTTTATATTACCATCTCAAACAGGTCATAAGGACATAAGACTCCTTGTCAAATTTTGGTTTTCCTCAATTTTTTGGACGTTTTCTTTTTAAGCTGCCTAAAACAAGGTGAAACTCGCAGATATTAGGTTGGCTAATAAGTTCTTGAAATTTTTTACGATTTCTTCTTTGTGCCAAAACTTTTTTGCGGTTGACAAACAATAACTGATATATCCATGCTTAGTAACTGTCACATAGTCCCTACAATACTAATGCTGAGCGACGTCTTCAGCAGGCATATCAAAGGAGTTAGACTTAAAATCTTTTTTTGGAGTCACTTTTTGGATGTTCAAATGTATTAAAGTTTCTTCCATGAAGACAGTGCGCCAGTTTATGGAACTGATGTCTGTTACAGTCGCCGATGCTCAAGCTGTAAAACTGTCGGGGAAGTGGATCCCATTCGAAATGTTTAGAAACTTTTTACTAACATCCTTGTGGCGCATGGCTTTCCGCGTCGTCCCGGTATCCCAAACGGCGGTTTTCTTTTTGCCCGCTGCCCGCAGCTGGCCAAGGTAGCATGTATAAGCACCCTTCGTAACTGTGTTACCATTTGGTAACAACGGCAAGAGCGTAGGCCTATGACAATTCCAAGAGCGACTCAAAAATACCCTCCTGGAGATGGACTGTTGCTTGGATCTGAACTTCAGAATCCTGCACGTCAAATCATTGGCTCTTGTTTACATGGTTATAATACAGGACATACTTCTCATTAACGCGCACTAGTTGGGCTGCTGAGATATATGTTTGGCTAAAAAGCAGCAGTTTTCAGATGGACTCCCTGTTGAAAACCGGTCAAGCCCTAATGATAAATTTGGTCATATCTTCATATTGTGTGCAAAAGATGGAAATGTTTTTGCATCATACGATACACGTAAAGCTGCTCTGTGTATTAATTCACACAAGCTTCAATAGCATTCCTTAACTATCTTCAAAATGGTCCGGCGGTCTTATTATAAACTAAAGTCATAGTCGCCGTTAGTGAGCCTTTAGGACCAGTACACTACCGTGGCATTGTTAACGATGTTCAGGCTTTATACACCGTTTAGTTGGGCTATAGAACCGGTGAGTATCAGACCTCTTTAAGCGCTGTAGAAGAAACCACCTCAAAATATGATCTTTTTCAACATGCCGTTATAAAACCTTGGCAAAGGCTGTGACCTGGTTGCCTCTCTACTTGACAGTACTCAAGCTCTACTACAAGTTATATATTGCTGTCCTTGCTAAACTGTCCCAAAAAAACCGTAGTGATACAGAGCAAAAAATTTCAAGAACTTATTAGCCAACCTAATAATACCGCTTAGAGCATTTTCTTTGTTTCCAAATTCACTAGGCACTAGGATACGTCATTATGACGTCTGTTTTGCCCAAGAATTTAAAATTTTCCCTTTTTTTCTCAATTTTTCCCATTTCCCTCATCAATATTACTCATCCCTCAATTTCTAATTGACAACGCAATTAGTGATCGTTCTGAGAATTTACAACATTGTAGAATCCTCAGCCCTCCTCAATTTTCAATTCAAACGTGCTTTTTCCCCCTTTTTATTGGGCCTTTTCCTCCATTTTTCATCGAGGAATTTTAATCGAAACAGGTCGACAAAACTTTTCGATCTCGTTTTCGAGCGCTGACAGCCACTTTACACGCTTGCTTGGTGGGAAATGTTTACAAATTTATGGGTTTGCAGTAGCGATGGGAGATGATTTTGCTTACTTTTTTGGAGGTTTAGTGGAAGGGTTTTATTGGGGAAATTTTTTGGGAAGTTTGAACGAGAGATGGCCCTAGTTTGAGTCTTTGATCAAGATGAAATTTAGGGAAAATTTAGAGTTACATTTTTTAAGATGTATGGGGTTTTTATCTCGCGTTATGCAGAAATTACCGAGATTTTTAAGTCGAAAGTTGGCGTAATTTTGAATTTTTTGGCGATTTTTGGCTTCAAAAAGTCATCATTGGATTAAAGCAGGAGTTAAAAAGTTCCATAAAAAATCCAAACTTTTCCAAGGAAAATTTAAGGAATTGTCATCGAAAAATAATTTATGTTAGGCTACATTTCCGAAAATTTTTTGTTCGATCGGATATGGCGTAGCAATAAATATTAGCGCAAGAGAAAAAAACCGTTGAAATGAGCTTGAAAATGTATCAAAAAAAAAGGTTTCGAAGATATCAGCGATTAATTTATGTATTGCGTAACCTTGGGTTTATTGCTTCGCTACTCAAGTTTATGGAGTTGTTGCGAACGGCGGCGAATTATTTTAAGATTGAAATCAATTCGTTTGAAAAATATCTAATGTATTGTTTACAACCCAAGACTCTGAATTTTGCCTCCGTAACATTACTGTTTAATGTTTTCCATTCATTTTTTCGTACAGCTGCCAAGTGAGGTGTAGTTTATCGTCGCGTTTTTTCGAGCGCGCTCCGAGTTTTGAGCCGATTTTTGTGTCGGAATCAAGCAGAGCCGTCGCTTTTGTCGCAACAGAAGCCCGGACTGCCTGAGGGTTTTAACTTTTTTTTTCCGACTCATTTCTGGATTCGTTTTTGCATTTTGACCGGGGCTTTTGAGTGGATCGGAAAAAGTTTTTGCGTCAACTATTGTGTAATATTATGTAACACTGGTTGCATTGGGGCTAGTCAAGATTTGGCGGAGAAGTCAAAAAAGGATAGGCTGAAAAACGCGCTGTGAATTTCACCCCATAAGTTGCTGTGCCTGCAACTTATGGGGTGAAATTTTGCAGCAATTCATGTAAAGGGAATATTGGGTGTGTACATAAAACTTTAAGAATATGGGTCATCCTCATTTTGGGCTATCCTCTATTTCGGTCAAAGACCTCTCCTATACATGTAGTTAAAATCGCAGATATCTTCGCAGAAATGACATTAAGAATGACTTAAAAAACAGAATCGTATTTTACCACAAAAAAATTTGCTTCTCCAGGCCTTTATCAGCGCTTTTGGAAGTCTTGTAGGCTTGGGACAACAAATAGCAAGGGTAACAAAAAGTTTGTTCGTTATAAAAAAGCTTCGTTATCCAAGGGTTAATTTTAGTCTCAAAATGTTCTAATAGCCATAACTTCTTTCAACAATGGAATTTTTAGGCTGGATTGCCCGCTATATTGAGATTGCACCCCATTTTTGTCAAGGATTATATCACTGATACTCTCCTTTTTCAAATTCCCTGCTTTTCCAATTTTTTGAGGTCAACCTTGTTTCCTCTTTACTACAATACTCCCCAGGCCCTCTGTTCTCTCCCCGGGTCGCAATTCCCTTGTATTCCAATCCCATCAGCCAACAATGCCAGTCTCAATTCAAAGGCCATAAGCCTACATTGATATATACAAAATAATACAAAAATAACGGCCGTCAACTGCCGCCATCTTTTGTCATTCCGAAACCACTTTTTGCCCGGGAATTGTCGGGATCGTAGTATTGTAATCTCAGCCTCTCTCCCGCTCTCGCCTCGGGCGTTTGGCTTTGGGATTAAGTGACCTTCACACTTATAACCAGTTTTGTTTTTTTTATTAGTACTCTGGCACTGGAGGGTACGTCATGGACTTTGAGCTCGGATATTTGTATGGCTTTTCGGGGATTTTTGAGGGGAAATATGAGATTTTGCAGTCGATGAAATGTCACCTATCCTTTGCGAATTTTCTCTTGTCAATTTCAAGTTCAAAAACTTGGAAAAAAATCGAACGTTTGACCTAAAATTCTCAATGCTATCTGCAAGTTTGCAGCTCAATGTTTGGTAGATACTCTCAAAACCCCTAGTCAAAATTTGTGCCAAATTTCAGCTAGATCTGAGCGTCTCACGTTAAGCATTATCAGCAGCACATATTTTCCTTTTTCGGTCATCAAAATCCCCAACAGTCAATCTAACACACCTCATAAGGCAAATCACCGGCTATTACAGCCTCTATTCTAATTTATTCAAGCGCTTCCCCTCCCAATCCCCTCATTTGTCTACGATCTCACTTTTATTTCCCCGCTTTGAAGCGTCCGCTGAATTATAAACCCCTCCATTTAAGTGTATATTATTTACAAATAATCAACCCGCAATCTCTTCCTCCCCAATTCCCCCATCTTCTGCGTTGTTTGCTGGTCTTGAAACCCTCTCTTTTCGTTACAGCGCGCACTCTGTTTACCCCGGTTCGAAGGCCGCCATCTCACGTGGAAACGCGCGCCCCTCGTATTGGCTTAACTCTCTTGTATTGTGTTGCTATCGAATATCTATAGCTGATTTTTTTGTTTACTCGTCCTCTGCAGCGAGTGATGGGGGATTTTAATTATATTTTTATACGTTTTGTCTGCTGTTTTGATGGAGAACGGGGGGTTTCGAACGATAAAAGGGAGCGGGAAAGAGTGAGTTTTCGAGGATTTTCGATGAATTTAGGGGGAATCGTGAATCTAAAAGTCTAATGAGATATCGTACATGATAACGAACCAAAAAAGGAGCCCTCTAGATAAGGAATTTGCTCTAAAATGGGCACAAACGCTGATCCTGCTCTAAAAATTGCAACCTTAATGGTTTACACCTCTAAAATCATTTTCAATTTGAGACATCTTTCTGTAAAAGGCTCCACTTCCCTATTGTGTCCTATTCCGCAAAGTTAGAGCAAGATGGGATTGAAAAACTTTTTTCTCTAACCGTCTCTCTTCATTTTCAATAGTCTCTTCATTATCCTTCAATATTTCGGCTCTGATTGCAATAGCATGAGCTAAAACTTTCAGGACTTGAAAGCTGTGCCAGATAGAGCAAGCATCCAAAAATTTGAAGAAAATCGACCAGTCGTATATCGAGAAATTTCCTTTTTAATTTTTTTCCTCTAGCCCTCTAAAATTTCATTTTTTCAAAAGTAATTTTTTTCCTCTCAATTCCAACTTAATTACTAACTAAACCCCTTGCTCCTATCCCTCCACAATCCCAGTGATAGCTTTGTCCTCAAGAATTTTGTCATTATTTGGTCTTCTGACTCATTTTCCTTCTCCTTTCCCTTCCCGTTCTTACACTGGGTAAACAGACGCAGGTAGAGTGGGTATAAGGTTAGGGTGGCGTGGGAAAGGAGCCCTCCTATGGAGGTTTAAGAAAGTTGAGACCGAAATTTGATTTCTGAACCGATATTATGACGTCAATTATATTGTACGAGTCAAAACCTTTTTTATTCATAAATTCAATTGAACTTTTTAGTTGTAAAATTCTTTTGTATGAAAAAAGAAACAATTTAGAATCAAGGATTTCTTTTCTACCGATTTTTTTAAACTTTGATTTTTAAAAATTCCAAAAAAGTCTTTGATTTTCTTAATTTTCGTCATTTCCCCGTCTGAAAATTGCTGTTGTTGCCCTTAAAATTTGGAGATGGGCCATTAAGAAGGCTCTTAAATCGTCGCATTTGTTTTGGTGTCTAATGTTTTTGAACTATTTCCCATGTAAGACCTTTAGTTTTGACCTTTTGCTGACTTTTTTGTTTTCCGATTTGCCGTTTGCGAAAATAATGATTCCCTTTTCGACATCTCAATTTATAACGTCTTTTGGATGTGATTGTAATGTTTAAGAATTTGGGTTGTAATTGAGAAAAAATTGGAGATTTTTGATTCTGCATACTATTTGTCTATTACAACATAAATTTAAACAGGAAATTACACAAAATTCGACTGGTCGATTCTCTTCGAATTTGACATAAATATATGATACTTGAACCACAAATCTATTGCTAACAATTTTGTCTTTTGCGTTACAAGGAGAGCTGAAAAAAAATCAAATTTGTGGCAATTCCTGTACTAAAAAATCTCAGCAGTTTCTGCATTGCGCGGTCCAAAAATTTGTCATTTTTCTTCTTTACTCATGATCAAAACATATACCAAATTTTAACAAATTCCCACTCTTGGATTTTGACAAATTGCAAGCTAAAATTCCATCACATTTTTTGATACTTTCCCATTTTTCACCATAAAATTGTTGATCTGCCAGCGAGAGCAGCAACCCCAACTACTGCCCAACTAACTGTAAGCGCGTTCCGCTCACTTTTACTCTCTTGTTTACTGTTTATTTACCCGAAAAAACACTTGCATCTTCTCCATCCGACCCTCTATTTTTCCCGCAAGTTCAGCGTTCTCAATTTTCTCTGTTTCAATTCGATTGCCCCGCGTTATATAAATACATCCATGATCAAACACACAATGCAATCCTAACCTTTTGGAAGGCGCTGCGGTTACTATCGATTATATTGGGGCGATCCGAGACTTTTCTTTGGCGGTTTGTATTTGAAAAACGGGGCCGAAACTCTTGATGTTTGTATTACGAACTAAAGGAGAGTTTCAGCTCAAGTTTGAGTAGTGGTATCAGGAATTCGCTTTAAAGCCGATCGGTGCAACCTTGACTATTTTTACGCAACAACTTTGACAACTTTCACTACCTGATATTATATTTGATGACTAAAGCCACATATGGTTCGTTTTTCAATTTTATTGTCTCTAATATGATTATTAAGCCCATATTAGATCAAAACCTACATATTCTTAGTACACCTCTGGCTTTAAAATTACCCCTAGCTTTTATCTTATGTCATCAATAATATTCTTGACACATTTAATATCAAGTATAACACCTATTACGATGTCAAAAACCGTCTACATACCCTCCAAATCTCCCAAATAGTCCTCCCATCTTACACTGACATTACCTTATCTTTCGCACTTTTTTCGGGATCATTTTGATATTATCCTTCCCACCTTGATGACCAATTAGAAAGTTACGTCATCATGATTAATATCGAGGTGTTTTGTTGCAAATTCTTGTCTTGTTGTATATATTACAGCATACGTTTGCAATATGTCAGCCTTGTAAATACTAATTAACCCAAATTTAAATCAAAAATGAACTTTTTCGAGTATTTGAAGCCATAATTTTCATGGATAAGGTAATAAATCCAAAAACTTCTACACAAAGCTCCAAAAATCAAGTTTCAACTAAAGATTGCGCTCTCAGCTCCTTGAAATTCTACTTGAACATCCGTTTCTATCCTTAGACTTTCCCCCGGAACGGTTTTCCAATCTGTTTCCAACAAAAACATGACACTTGTCAAGCGTTTTGCCCCCAAAACGCTTGCAAACCTCTCTTTCCGGTCCAATTACTCCTCCTTATATGAATCACGACCCACATAAATATTAAATACCCGTGTTCGCGAGCTAGCATCCCACGGAGCCATCCGAAAAAATTCTTTCAGTTTTCCTTCAAATGCGGTAAAATTCTCTGTCGAGAAGAGAAAATCGCCTCAGGTAATCTTGTGATTCGTTGGCCATGGAGCGGAACGGCTATGTGTCGCAATTATACGTGATTCCTGCAGTTGACGCGGCCGAAGCCGGCAAAGGCCAGCTGGAGATTAGTGTGAATCAGGGCAAGGTACCGAACAATGTGCAAATGCAAGATGCGGGGCGCTGTTTGGTCACGTTCATACCACAACATGCCGGAACATATGTCATCGACGTGACGTTCAATGGTCAACAAGTCCATGGTAAGTCTTTTTTCTTTCTTTTCTTTTTCCTTACGAACTATATTTTATTAACTATCATTACACGTCAATCCACAATAGAAGAAAAAATTTCCCGCCCCTTTTTGGTGATTCGTTCAAAACGAAATGTCACTATCCGATAAAACGCATTTTCTTATCTTTATCCTTCCTTTTCGAGAAAAAGCAATTATTTTGGGCGAGAAAAAGTGCCGACAATTTCGCGACATTTCGTCTCTCTTTTAAATCAATGAAAACGATACAAAGTTTCGAAACGGTTCAGGAAATGCGCTGGATTGACGATAATATATTAACCATATATCTTTCCAGGTTGCCCCATCCAAGTTGACGTCAACTCAAAACACGTCGGAAAGCCCTTATCCCACGCCGTTCAACACAAAACCGGAGGAACTGGAGTCGCCGTGGCCGGCGCTCCCTCGCCGGCCCCATCGACCATCGAACGAGGCCCCTCTTCCGCCTATTTCTCCGGCGGCTCACCTCAGATCGACACCTCTTTCCAATCGCCCGTCTCCCCGCTATTCCAAAGTCAGCACAGTCCCAGAAGCCCAACGCTGATTCGCACTCACGACACTCGATCCACGGAAGAACGGACTCTCAAGTCTCCACGTTTGGTCGAAACCGCCCCAAGGGCCGGAGGCCTCGGCTATACGGTTGCGCAATATGGAGAAGGACAACAGCCGGATACAGCGACTACTTATCGGTCAAGCACTACCACGCGATACTTCGGAGATCCCAGAGATCGCACGGAAGCCTTGAGAAGTCCTCCACAAGGCGATTCCACGGTCGATTCTGGGCTTGGAAGTTTCACCGTGACGAAACACAGGTATTTTGAATCCGCTGACAGTCGGCCTCACAGTACCGTCGAGCCAGAATGGAGGAAGAGCATTGCCGAGCAAGCTCCGCCAGTCCCAAAATCGCCACCCCCGCCGGAAGAATCAGCACAATTCCAGATGACCAGATCAGCGGAAATGAAGTTGTATCAAGATCAACATCCGACCAAAGTGAAGACCGAAGACTTGACATACAAAAAGAGTGGAAGTGTAGAAGAAGGCTATGACTATCGCGTGACTTCGGAGGCTCCAAGATTCAAGGCTCTTGGAGGTCAAGGTCAACAGCAATCGCCAGCTCCACTAGGGGATGTTGCACCTACTACAAGATACGAACCAGAGGTTCAGCGGCCTTCCTCAAGATACGAACCATCCTCCAGATATGAAGAGGGAGTTCGAAGATACGACGAGAGATCTCCGGAAGTCCACAGATATGAGGAGCCACCAGTAGAAACAAGAAGATACGAAGAACCACCAAAGGATTACGATGAACCACCAAGAGCAGAGGTCGGTGCCCTCAAAAAATCGACCGAAATTTCGGGGATTCCCTTCGAAGCGGCGGTAGAGACCAAACCGAATGTTGAATACAGTCCAGGCCATCGAAGACAGCCATCTGGAGCTCAATCTACACCTACTACACCAGCCTCGCAACGGAAAATCGAGCACGAATCCGGAGCTGAGTCAAGGTCATCATCAAAGCCAACAACTCCAAGATTGAGTCTGAAATTCGGAAAAGACAAGAACAAAGATCCCAATAAGGGATTCGACTTCGGAAAGAGCAAATTCACCAGCAAGCATGAGGTTGTTAGACGAGGAAAGGACGTAGAAGTCAAATTGGAGAATTTGAAACTGTCAAAGGAGGATCAATTGAGAATTGTCGTACTTCGTAAGTCTTACAATTATTTAGAGATAACTAAGGTTCCTAAAACTAGACCGTCTTCGAAAACAACTGTGTTACTGTAAAATCCGCGAATTTCTCTATCCAAATCCATAAATTCCGTGTTTTTGTTATTTACTCATCTCGGAATTCCTCCAGCGACAACAGGAGATAGTGATCGCTCTAATTTTGTGAGGTCTCGACTTCATTCGGAGGTTTTTTAAAAATAAAATTCCTCCGGATAATTTTAGCACCCTGCGTCTGGAAAACAGCTACCCGTGGGAAATTTTGGTAAATTAGGAACTGTAAGGAACCTAGACTTCAATTTTTGGTATCAAAAAACCGTGATGGAAGTGAAAATATAGAAATTTTGGTATTTTGGCGACCTTGTACTTTCAAGGCCTAGGGTAGTATAACAACCGGAGATAGAGATGGGTTTTGTCGACGGATCTAGTTGATAAACAAACTCAATGATGGATAAATAATTCTCTATTGATTTCAGCCCCCTCCTCAGCCAAAAGCGAAGACCCAACGGCCGCTCCGGACATTCCTCATCGCGTGAAGAAGTCGGGGAAAACCTACGAAATCTCGTTCCATCCGTCCGAAGTCGGCACCCACAAGGTCTTGGCCTTCATCAACGACCAGCCCCATCCCCAATCCCCATTCCCAATCCGCGTCTACGACTCGTCGCAGATCATTGTTGGAGATATTGTACCTCAAAGTTTTGTGAACGATACCGTCGAATTCACCGTCGACGCGGGCCGTGCCGGCTTCGGGAATCTGGAAATGGCCATCAAGGACAGCGACGACGCCATCATCCCGTCTCATGTGAACCAGTTGGAGAGCGGATCGGCCAAGTTTTTGGTCACCTTCAATCCGACGACTGTTGGAACCCACACCGTCAACATTACCTTCAACAAAGAGGTGATCAAGGGCAGTCCATTCGCCGTGCAAATCATCGATCCAGCTGACGGAGGAGCAACGGAGTTGAGGTAGGCTCGATTTTCACTAAATTCGTCAAAAAATTGTGAAAAATATGAAAATGTCCAAAAAATAGGTCGTAGATGATGTAATTTTTATAATTTTTTCTATTTTTTCGCATATTTTTGGCTAAAATTGCCTATGTTGTCGAACTAAATGAAGTTTCCCACCTTTCAGCAAGAAAAAAGACAAGGGAAAAGAGAAAAAGAAGGACGTCAAGAAGGACAAGAGCAACGGACTCCCAAAACTCAAGGATAACAAGCCGGTGGTCAGCAAACTCCCTTCCTTATCTCGTGTCGGAGAGCCAGCTCAGTTGGCGGTGCAGATCCCACAAGCTACTGATGTGGTGTCCGCTGTCGTCACAGGTATGTTCCAAAAACAACGAAAATCCGAATTTTAGACATTAATAATAATATTTTAGGTGATATTTCGGCGATTGTAAAAGTTTTTTGTTATTTTTCTGGTTGCACATTGCACTGATTTCCGGTATTTCAATGTGCACATCACAATTCCTTAAAAATTTGAATGTGCACGATTTAAAATTGCCCTCGATGGTATAAAGTAAAATCAAAATTTCTCTTCAGATTCAACCAAAGAAAGGCAGCCAGTTGAAGTGTTCGAAGAGGAACCCGGTCTCCGTCGAATCGAGTTTGTACCGGTCCGTGTTGGTGAGTAATCTTTGTTGAATTATCAATTTTAGTGTTGCCCATGCTGAAAAAATATTTTTTTTCAGGTGACCACGAGATCTCGATCAGTGTGAATGGTCATGAAGTAAATGGCTCTCCATTTACCTGCCGAGCCTACGATCCATCCAAAATTGTGGTTGGAGTTGTTCCAGATGGCGTAGTCAACAAACCCGTTCATTTTGTTGGTGAGTCCGAATCTTTAAAGAACTCTAACAAAAAATTTAAATTTCCTCTGAGCAATGGGGGAATCTGTCTGTTGTTTGATGTTCCCGCAATAATAGGCTTACTCATAATTATTTTTTACTCCATTTCGCATTGGAAATCCGTCTGATTTCTAGTGTTTTGATCAGTTTCCGTATCTTATCCATCCGATTTTAGTGGACGCAAGCGAAGGTGGCGTTGGGAACTTGGAAGTCGCCGTAAACGAGGGCAAAATCCCGTCTATGGCCCATCCGCTCGGTCAGCACAAGTACGACATCAGTTTCGTGCCCAGAGAGAACGTGGACCATCATATCAGCGTCCGTTTTAACAACGAGCCAGTTCCCGGCTCGCCATTTTTGTGCCGACTTTTGAGCTCGATTCAAGTGCGTGCGTCAGGCCCGGGTTTGGAGCGGATTGCGGTGGGAAGAGAGACCGAGTTCGAGATCACCGTGGATGAGCCAGAGACCGGGAAACCTTTGGCCAATCCTCCATTGCCGGCCGTTTCTGTCCTCGATGTTAAAGGCAATCGAATCCCGGTTACTGTCCAAAAAGATCCCCGAACTTCGGAGCCCGGTCGATTCTTGGCTTCATACACTCCGAAGGTGGTCGGCAACCATCAGATTGAGATTTTATACGACGGAGAGCCAATTCCCGGGTCTCCTTTCAGCGTGAAGGCCTTTGATGCGTCTTGCTGCCGGTTGATCCTCGACGAAAAAGCGGTGGTTGGAAAGCCCTGCACCTTCCTGATTGACGCCGCAAAAGCCGGCGCCGGAAACATGGAAATCATTGTCAGCGTCGACAACAAAAATGTCCCCAATTTTGTGCAAGCCGAGGGCCAAGCCCGCTTCAAAGTCTCGTTCACCCCGCAAGAGCTGAAGGATCATATAATTAGTGTGAAATTCAACAGTGAACCCATTCCTGGATCACCTCTGAAGTGTCCCGTTTACAGTGGAGAGAAGACGCTGTCCTACGAGCCAAGTTACTCCGTACCACCACCTCTTCCAAGCTCTCCACCACCAGCTGAACAGGAATTAAAACTGGTGGGGGATTTGCAGACGGCTCAGATTGGACGCCCCAAGGGCTTCAGCATTGATTCACCACATCCTGGCGCCGAATGTAATGTGATTGTGACTGGTGAGTGGCTTCATTTGGTCTCTATGGCCTCCTTTATTTTCTCTGTCTAACGCCGACTTTCCGTTAATCCTGTTTTTGGCTTGGTTTAACGTGCGTGCAGCGCTTATTGGGGTGTTATTGAGGTAGAATAGGTAGTGGAATGTCCTCAAAAAGTGGGAGAAATCAGGTTCTAAGATATCAAAAGATACGGTGGGTTTTGGTTATTATTCATGGGGTCTATGACACTCCAAATTAATGGGTTAAAATAGGTCCAACTGGTCGTCGAATCTCCGTGGAAATGGTCCGAATGGATGAAGGATTTGATGTGGAATTTACACCGAAAGAAGAAGGCAAGTTGACCTTTTCTTTTGTTGAATTTCACCTTGTTTTAGGTGACTATGAGATTGATATTCAACTGAATGGAAAATCGGTGATAGTTACAAAATGCTCAGTCGAATCGCCCAGCCAAATTGCGACAACCTCAGCAATCCCAGACCGAATAACCTGCGGAGAGTTACTGGAATTTGACGTCCATCTAGGCCGATTGCCGCGGAATGATGTTAGAATTGAGGTCAGATCCGAAGAAGGCGCTCTAATTCATTCGAACAGCCAATTGGATCGAGTCCATAATAAGATTCATGTGTCTTGCACAGTCCATAGGCCCGGGAGATACTCGGCAATCGTCTATCAGAACAATCAAATCGTCGAAGAGCACTTTTTCCACGCAACTCCCAGCAACCAGTGCGTCAATTTCTTCGCTTTCAACGACAAAGCCCTGGTGGATCAGAGCGCTCGCTTCGAGCTGGAAGTGGCTGATGGATTGGAGAGTCATTTGCATATCGAAGTCACTGGTAAGAGCTTTTGGAATTTTCGTAACGGAGGATTAAATTTTGGGATTACTTTCAAATTTGATGACTTTAATTTTTAAAATTTTTAGACCCCGATGGCAACTCTGTTCCGGTCTCTATGCATCGAACGGAAGGCAGAACATACGAAGTGGATTGGCTACCGAAAAGAGAGGGTCTTCATGTTGTCTCAGTACTAGTTAAAAACGAACCAGTCGCCGGATCACCACGCCAGGTCAACGTTCTTGATTTATCGACGGTTCAGTTGATCGGACTGGAAAATAATGTGGTCGGAACTCAACAAAAGTTCAACTGTAAGAGATGAAGCTTTGAAAATAGGAAGATTAAGTTCTAATAGTCGTATTTACAAAGATTTTTTGAGATTTTGATTTTTCAAATTTTTGCGTTATACAGTACTTTACCATTTGAATTTTCAGTGGACTGGACAAATTCCGGAGGCTCGACAGCGTCGGTAAAGGTGACTTACAACAACAAGGATATGGTGCCATGCCAAATGAAACGGATCAAGCATGGTCTGCACGCCTGCACATTCACCCCGTCCAATCCAGGCCTATACCTTGTTGATGTCTATGTGGATGATGTACAACTCCCAGAATGCCCGTATGAAGTGATTATCAGCGACTCCAATGCTGTTAGAGCCCGAGGAGACGCCTTGACGCACGCACAACAAGGCAAGACCGCAAGGTTTGAGGTTGTCGTAGGCGAAGGCGCAAGAAGTGATCTGGACGTCCTGATTACTGGTAGGTTAATGCAAGTGTTTGTAGATTGGTGATGGATGAATGCGATGAACACGTTTTGTTATTCAGCACGACCCTTTTTCAGAGCACCACCGGGGATTTGGAGGGAGATTGGGGAGATTTGAGGGGGAATTTGAGATTTTAAGCTTTTTGGGATTTTTTATGACGAAAATTCGGCGGTTTTATCCAGTTTGGCCTAAGAATGGATACACGCACAGCGCCTTTGTTATGTTTGCTTGCTTCTGGCTTTATTTGTAAAACTAATACACTTGTTTTTTGTGTTTTAACCCTACTTTTTCCACTCTCAATTCATCAAATTTTCAAGATCTAAATTACGATTTCCAGATGCCAACAAATCCCCATTGCCCGTCAGATGCTATAAACAGCAAGATCAGAGCTACTGGGTCGAGTTTACCCCGGAAAATATCGGTAAGTTGTCATCAGATGTCACGGATAATATAATTTTAGGAGAACATGTGATTGAAGTTACATTTGCCGATGTCCCAGTCAATGGATCTCCCTTCCATTGTGAGGTGGTTGATCCGAAGAAGGTCAAAATCACCGGACTTGGCGATATTGTCCATCAACGACACATCACCAAGGTTACTGTAGACCGACGAGAAGCCGGAAAAGGACAACTGGATTTCGAAATTACCGATCCGCAAGGTCAGATATTAAAGGTGGACCGCCTTCGAACTGCTCCCGAAATCGATGCGTTCACATTTTTGCCCAGCAAACTCGGCCAGCATAAGGTGAATATCAATTTTGCCGGATTCCCGGTCCAAGGCGCACCTCGCTCCTTCAATGTGGTTGAATATGGACAACCTAAGCTTGAAGGACCGGCCGTGCAGTCAGCCGTGGAAGTCGATAAACCCGCGAAATTGTGGTTGGAATCCAGAAACGGCGGATTGAAGATCGATGTCCGCGATCAGCTTGGAAACAAGGTCCGACATCAACTGGGAAAGGCCGAAAATGGCGCCACTGAAATCAGTTTCGTCCCGGTGAACGTCGGGAAATACAGTGTGGACGTCCACTTGAACAACAAACCCTTGAATGAAAAGCCCTTGGAAATTACAGTGGTCGATCCGAGAAAGGTCGTGGTCAATGACGAGACCGCCAGAGCCGATGGGACTTTTGTATTAGGAACCGGTCAGAAAAACATTATAGATGTGGACGCGACCGCGGCAGGCCCCGGAGATCTGAACGCGGAGGTCCGAGACGCTTCCGGCGAACTTTTGAACAGTCATGAAGCCAGAGCCGAGTCCCAAGGTCGAGGCAAACACCGATTGATCCTTCAGCCCGCCAAGAAAGGCCCTCTGAAGATCTACCTCTACTATTCCGGACTCCCCGTCCCTTCGGCTTACCCAATTATGGCCGTGGCCGATAAAGCCAGTCATCCACATGTCAGCAGACAGTCCACGGAAAGCTCCGAACAGACGGTCCGAGTCCATGGAGATGGACTAAGTCGAGCGATTGTGAAGGAGCCCGCTGAATTCATCATTGACGCCAGTCAAGCCCCCCGAGCAAAAATCTCGGCCCAGCTGATCGGAGAACAAAATGACATCCCTGTGAGACTGCAGGAGAAGAGCAATCATATCTACAAAGCCGTTTACACCCCTCTGGTTGGAGGAGATTACGAGCTGATTGTAAAGGTTGATGGCCGCCCATTGAGAGAGCAGCCCTTCAAGGTCCATGTCCAAACATTCACCACTCCAGCAGGCCAAATCGATGTCGATTCGAGGAACCTGAAGCTGGGCATCATCGGCGAAGACATCAAGACCACGATTGACGCGAGAAAGGCCGGATCCGGACAATTGTCCGCCCAATGTGAGGGCCCCACTCAGCTGGAGTACTGCGAACTCTACGACAACAGAGATGGAACCTATGTGTTGAGAGTGCAGCCCAAGGAACTGGGAAGGCATGTGCTGAGCATTAAATATGCCAATGAGCATGTCCCCGGATCACCATTCGTTTTTAACGTCTCCAATCCACCGGACGCATCGAAGGTCAAGGTCTACGGCCCCGGAGTTGAACATGGCATCTTGGCCACGTAAGAGCTTATTTATTTTATTTTTTATGAGTAATATGGAAGCTGATGGTCGAATTTGCAGATTCAAATCAAATTTTGTCGTTGAAACTAAAGGCGCCGGAGCTGGCCAACTTACGGTACGAGTTAGAGGTCCCAAAGGCGCCTTTAATGTGGAAATGCAACGGGATCGTCAACAGGACCGGACAATTCATTGTAAATATGAACCCAAAGAACCGGGAGACTATCAAGTCGAGGTGAAATGGCATGGACAGCATGTACCAGGTCAGAAATTGGGGTTTATTTTAGTTTGAAGTTGATTTAGACATCATTTGGAGGGATTTTTTTTTCTTTTTGAAAAATAATCAAAATTTACTTACAGGATCCCCCTTCATGGTGATGATTGTGGACACCGAACAAGAACTCCAACGATTCTTGGCCGGCGAAGCGCCCTCCCCACAGCCAGCCACCCCATTCGTCCCTCCCGGCTGGGTTGGTCCACCCCCTCCGGGCATGATTCCACCGCCATTCAGCCCCGCCTTGGCCGCATCGCCGTATGGCCCGGTCCCCGTGGGCATGGTCCCACCACCACACATCCGTGGAGGACGCCGCTCAGGCCCTCCGGCAGTCATGGGACCACCACAGCCCATTTATGGAAGACGCCCATATTAGAGACTAAAATAATATAGAAAACGATGGAAATTATGAAAAATTTTGGAGGATAGACCGTTTCTTTGACCCCCAAGAAGTTACGGATGTATCCTCGTGCTATTGGCTACATATCGCCCGCCCTTTTTTCTCCAGTACAATATCCAAAAATTTGAAACTCATGACATATCCGCACCACTTTCTCCACCCCCACCCATTGCTCAACCCACCCCAAATTTCGTATCGAGGTGCTCAGAAATGCGATAAACTTTCTCGTAAAGCCCAAAAAATATTACCACTGCCTTGTCGATTTTTTCAAATATCATTTTTTGGCATAATAATGTCTACTTAAAAATTTTTTTGCATATCGAATTTTTTATCAATATTTTTTTGTTAGCAGCTTCAGAATATATCACTGTATCCTTAATTACCTAGAGGAGAAGTTTATGACAAAATTTTAGAGATGTTTGGCCATTTTGTCATGTTGTAGTAGACCTCTTACCGATATTTGTGATTTTTTTCCAACTTTTTTTCATTTGTTTTCTCCCCCGTGTCATTAAACGAACGCACCTTTCCATCTAATATTTATAGACTCTCTAGCCATGATTTTATTGTAATTTATATCCGCTTGTAATCAAAAGAATCGAAATTCAGAACCCATTGCCAGCCTCTTTTCTTTCGTTTGCTATCACCGTTTCAACTTGTTTAATATTGTGCCTTAGTCTGGGACTTTCGCTCCCCACATTTCGAAGAGTTTCTATTCTGTAATAAACGTTTATTTGAAAACAGGAGGGATTTTTTGGTGATGATAAATAGTACGGATTACAGCGGGACTTGATCCAGTGGCAAAGAAGGTGCCATTTTGCATCCGGGAAGCATCAAAGATGTGGCCAAATGCTTCCCTCGACAAGTGAAAAACTCCGATTTCGAATTTTTTTCACTTGGAAAGTGAAGCATTTTGCCATATTTTGGATGCTTCCCGGATACAAAATGGTACGTTTTTTGCCACTGGTTCAGGTCCGTCGCTGTAGCAAGAGGGATGTTCTTCTAGCGAGAGAAACAGATCTTGATGAAATTAGTACTTGTTGTAACCCTTTTTCTCAACCGGAATCGTCCAACAACAGCCGTGAATTGAACTTCAACCGTAGGCGGCTCTTTTTGCACTTACACCTTTACTCCCCAATCCATAACCGCTGTCAAAAAGCCGTGGATATTCGATCCGAACTTGCTGTTATCAATCCTCATATCACCTTTCAGGTGGATGCCCTCAAATCCCATGATTTATCATCCTTTCTGTATATCTACCTCGTCCATTACCTTCAGCATCCCACCCACGTCGGCGGCTGAAACGCTTCGTGCAGTGGCGCCGATCTTTAAAGAACGTGTTGAGCTGGGGCGGACGCCCAGAAGGGGCCTCGTCATGTCACCCCTGCGATGATTTGTGACAAACGTCAAAACGGATGGCGTGGCGCCAGCAAAACTTTGTTCGCGGCGCCGCCAGTTGGCCTCCGGGCCTGTTCGAAACCGACGCTTAATGGGACGAGCGGGCCGGCTTCTTCTCGGCCTCGATTAGGCCCGAGATTTTGTGGTTTCTGATGGAGATGGGATGAGGAAGTGGCCGAGGGCACGGGTTGAATGTCCGCCCGAAAGCGGGCCGCCTAATTTGCGGGATTGCGATGCAGAGCGAACGACTTCTCATCTCATTTGCATAAACCGGGCATTTGGGGATTACGTAAGGAGGGTTTCTTGGGGATGAGATTTGAAGATCTTCCACTGGAGCTGGTTCAAATTACATTTGTATTGTACAGTAGCATTGATGCAAAAATGACTTTGAAAGTCAAATAGTTTTAACGGAAAAATTGCCCTTCAAATTTTGCTGATCGGACCTATCTTGGCCTTTGAAATCCCTAATATTTTAGCTCCTGGTTTCCAGACGAAGCCAGAGGCTATAGGAAAACGAGGAATGAGGATCAGTGGAACCCCGCTTTTGAAAACCTCTTAATTTTAAACTTGTGTAGATTCAAATCAATGATGTCAGCATACATGTCAAATACTATATTTTGACCTAAAAATCTAAGTCGTTTTGGAAAGCGCAAACTAAAATTTCATTGTTTCGCTTGAAAGACCATAACATAGTCATCACCTTTACCAACTTTCAAGACTTTAGCTTCGAACAACTTTCGCTGTTAATTTTCATACTATACATTTCATGCTAACCTATTCAAGATAACTCACGTTTTATTATAAGCCAGGCCACACTCTCTGCCAACTTGACTCAGAAACAATTCATCAGTTGTCAGCGCATCGTCCTCATCAGTCATTTCCTTGTCACAAACCCGTTTCAGCCACGGGTTTATAACCTTTGTTTTCCGGAACAGTACAACGCGCGGAAAAATAGGGCTTGGTGATTTTTAAAGATCACGTTGGCTTTGGTTTTCAAAGTTTTTCTTTGGAATTTTTAAGTCATCCGAATGCGCGTACAGTGATTGTTTCCTCAGGACAATGCGATAGAAATATTGTTTATTCAGCACCTCCTGCCACTTGATCTCGATCCAATAGAATTTCAAATCCCATAACTAATAATGTCGTTCTCTCCTCAGGCCATATGTCTGTCCTAACAACTTGCGAATTCACTCGGCCATAACGACCCTTTAATGAGAAAATAACGAGCTGATCCGGTTTTAATGTGGGAGTTTAAAGCTTGAACTAACGTTTGCATCACTATGAGAAATATAGGAGATGTGAAGGTCACACTTTTATAAGCTTATTTTCTACAATGTACGAAATTTTTTTCGACTTTACAAAAAAATTATAATTTTCATCCAGTCACGGCCAAAAACCCCTTTTTTGACTTTCTCTCCTGATTTGCCATGATCCTTTCTCGTCTGCAAAGATCATTGAATATCTTTGCTGAAGTCAAAAAAATTTTGGATAATTAAACCACCGATCAGATCAGGCAACTATGCAAAATCTTAAAGAACTCGCCCATTCCTACATCAATAAATGCCTTTCAAACTTTAACAACATCCCATCTAATTCTAAAATTACCCCTTATTACTTTTCATCTGTCTCTCACTTTATATGTTGCCATTCATAATCAAGCGATCTGTCCTCTTCGATTCCAAAGATCGGCCAGTTGTTCGGCACCTCTGTTTTTTCGTCGTCTGTCATCACATGGACACGCCAAGCCCTCCAGCAAATTTTTATTACAAACGCCGCTTTTTCCCCGTTAGCCTGTTTTTTTCTCGGAGCAATACTAATTAAGTGCAAAGCTCCGAGGATTGGCCGAGTTTTTTATAGATCAGTTTTATGGCCGGGTTGAATCTAATTGGGGTTAAATGAGCGGTAGTAACCCCACCAGAAAGGGGTTACGGTAGTAACCCCACCAGAAAGGGGTTACTACCGTTCCATGGAGATTGCATAGAAGGCAAAATTTTGACTGTAGACGGGGTTTTTCTTGATTATGTCGTGTAGATACCATCCATATAATCATCAAAACGCTTTGTTTAAATTCATTGATGATTTTGTTTGTTTAACTTGCATTTTTAGAATACTGAGGCACAATGGGCTTGAGCTGTGGAGCTCGGGTCCTAAAGTTTTGCTTATTCGTCTTTAACCTTCTGTTTTTGGTAAGTTTCAATCTATAAATCTCCCCAACCTCTACCGCAAGAAAATGTCAAAAGTGCGACGCTCAGATCTTCTTTAAATTTTGAAGGCGCACATATGCCCCCTGTATCAATTACTGAAAGTTTTTGTTCGTGTTTTTCAGGGGCGGCTGAGATCTTCAACGGCCTTTTCCGACGAGAGAGTTCGTCTTGGAGTGGAAAATTTTTATTGTAGAGTAAAAATTTTGCCACCTACGGTACTAGTCGGGACAAAAAGTCCTGATAATTTTGCACCGTGCGGATTTTGCGCGGTTTTTGTCGCACTCTGAAAAAAACGATTTGTCGCTCCGAAAAGTGGGAATCGCGCGCGACGTAAGGCAAAAACAAACAAAAATGCACTGTGCAAATGCACTTTTCGGGTGCAAAACACTTTTTTTCGCGATTTTCGCAGCGACAACCCAAAACGTTCAAATCCGCACGGTGCAAAATTATCAGGACTTTTTGTCCCGACTACTACTAGTCCAGCAAAAAAGTCCGCGGAATGGCTGCACTGTGCTGTTCGCGCATGCACTGTGCATTTTTCGGCGCGCACAGTGCAAATTATAGGGTGCGCGCGACGGAATTGGGGGCACAGTGCGAAAAGACGTTTCAAAGTCATTGCACAGTGCAAAAAGTCCCCTTTTTTTGGGTTTGCACGGTGCGCTCGGTTTTGGCCGGATTTCGGCGACGGCGCACGGTGCGGTTGGCTCCCCGGTTGGACGCACAGTGCGGACTTCAAATTACGCTTAGGAGGTTAATAACTGCAGTAAATTAGGACATTGCTCGACTAAAATGCATGATAATTATAAAATGATGACTGTAGAAAGGATTGTGTATTCAGTGGCGTTTTCTAGGGTTGTTTTACACCAAAAATGTTGTCATACAATAATTTTTGCACTTTCTGAGTGCATTTTTTGCGAAAAAAAGACCATTTTTTGACTCTACAAAGGTGTTGACAACTTTATTGACTCAATAATATATTTTGAGTCTTTCAAGTGTAAATTTACTATCATTAATTCAAGATTACACAGTAAAAAGCTCAATATCCGGAGCGCCGCACAGTGCAAACCGAAGGAAACTTTGGGCTGCACTGTGCGCACATGTGCTTTTTTCCCCCAAAATCATTCCGCACTGTGCAATCAAGTCAAAAAACGAACGATTTCCCAAGCGGCAACCCCAATTTCGGCGACATGTCGCAAGAAATTTCGATTTTCCCTCGAAAATCGCTGCGATTTCCAAGGCGAAACAGAAATCCAACTTGCACTGTGCGAAAAGCCCAGAAATGGCCGCACAGTGCCGATTTTGGCATTTGCACTGTGCAAAATCCAAATGCACAGTGCGAAAAGTCAATCGCGGGGTCTGCACTGTTCTGATTCGGAACTGCACTGTGCGGGGTGCGAAATCCATTCCGCGGACTTTTTTGCTGGACTAGTACTAGTCGCGCCATAAAGTCCTGACACATTTTGCACCGTGCGAAAGTTCGGGGTTTGGACGTCGCGCCCCCAAATTCGGGTTTGTCGCGCGCGAAAGTGCACGTCGCTAGTGCAAAAACGGGAAATCGCGGCGAGAAATGCGAAAAGATGCGCCGTGCGGATGAAAATGAAAGAGAAAGCACGGTGCGAAAGTGCATGTCGCTAGTGCAAAAATGGAAAATCGCGGCGACAAATGCAAAAAGATGCACCGTGCGGATGAAATGAAAGAAGAATGCGCGGTGCGACGTCCAAACCCCGAACTTTCGCACGGTGCAAAATGTGTCAGGACTTTATGTCGCGACTAGTACTAGTCGGGACAAAAAGTCCTGATAATTTTGCACCGTGCGGATTTGAACGTTTTGGGTTGTCGCTGCGAAAATCGCAAAAAAAGTGTTTTGCACGGTGCATTTGACCCGAAAAGTGCACTTGCACAGTGCATTTTTGTTTGTTTTTGCCTTACGTCGCGCGCGATTCCCCATTTTTCGGAGCGACAAATCGTTTTTTCAGAGTGCGACAAAAACCGCGCAAAATCCGCACGGTGCAAAATTATCAGGACTTTTTGTCCCGACTAGTACTGTCCAGCAAAAAAGTCCGCGGAATGGATTTCGCACCCCGCACCGTGCAGTTTCGAATCAGAACAGTGCATTCCCTGCGATTGATTTTTCGCACGGTGCATTTGGATTTTGCACAGTGCAAATGCCAAAATCGGCACTGTGCGGCGATTTTTGGGCTTTTCGCACAGTGCAAGTTGGATTTCCGTTTCGCCTTGGAAATCGCAGCGATTTTTGAAGGAAAATCGAAATTTCTTGCGACATGTCGCCGAAATCGGGGCTGCCGCTTGGGAAATCGTTCGTTTTTTGACCTGATTGCACAGTGCGGAATGATTTTGGGGGGAAAAAAGCACATGTGCGCACAGTGCAGCCCAAAGTTTCCTTCGGTTTGCACTGTGCGGCGCTCCTGAGATTGAGCTTTTTACTGTGTAATCTTGAATTAATGATAGTAAATTTACACTTGAAAGACTCAAAATATATTATTGAGTCAATAAAGTTGTCAACACCTTTGTAGAGACAAAAAATGGACTTTTTTCGCAAAAAATGCACACAGAAAGTGCAAAAATTATTGTATGACAACATTTTTGGTGTAAAACAACCTTAGAAAACGCCACTGAATACACAATCCTTTCTACAGTCATCATTTTATAATTATCATGCATTTTAGTCGAGCAATGTCCGAATTTACTGCAGTTATTGACCCCCTAAGCGTAATTTGAAGTCCGCACTGTGCATCCAACCGGGGAGCCAACCGCACCGTGCGCCGTCGCCGAAATCCGGCCGAAACCGAGCGCACCGTGCAAACCCAAAAAAAGGGGACTTTTTGCACTGTGCAATGACTTTGAAACGTCTTTTCGCACTGTGCCCCCAATTCCGTCGCGCGCACCCTATAATTTGCACTGTGCGCGCCGAAAAATGCACAGTGCATGCGCGAACAGCACAGTGCAGCCATTCCGCGGACTTTTTTGCTGGACTAGTACTAGTCCTTCCGTAAAGTCGCTGGAATGATTTCGGCGACGTGCACTGTGCGAAAAAACTCAGGGTGCGAGCGACAGCTCGAAAAAGCCTATTGCACTGTGCAAACAGCCAAAAATTGCACAGTGCAAAGTGAACTTTCGGTTTCGCGGGGTGCATGTCGCCGAAATCATTCCAGCGACTTTACGAACGGACTAGTACTGTCCAGCAAAAAAGTCCGCGGAATGGCTGCACTGTGCTGTTCGCGCATGCACTGTGCATTTTTCGGCGCGCACAGTGCAAATTATAGGGTGCGCGCGACGGAATTGGGGGCACAGTGCGAAAAGACGTTTCAAAGTCATTGCACAGTGCAAAAAGTCCCCTTTTTTTGGGTTTGCACGGTGCGCTCGGTTTCGGCCGGATTTCGGCGACGGCGCACGGTGCGGTTGGCTCCCCGGTTGGATGCACAGTGCGGACTTCAAATTACGCTTAGGGGGTCAATAACTGCAGTAAATTCGGACATTGCTCGACTAAAATGCATGATAATTATAAAATGATGACTGTAGAAAGGATTGTGTATTCAGTGGCGTTTTCTAAGGTTGTTTTACACCAAAAATGTTGTCATACAATAATTTTTGCACTTTCTGTGTGCATTTTTTGCGAAAAAAGTCCATTTTTTGTCTCTACAAAGGTGTTGACAACTTTATTGACTCAATAATATATTTTGAGACTTTCAAGTGTAAATTTACTATCATTAATTCAAGATTACACAGTAAAAAGCTCAATCTCCGGAGCTCCGCACAGTGCAAACCGAAGGAAACTTTGGGCTGCACTGTGCGCACATGTGCTTTTTCCCCCCAAAATCATTCCGCACTGTGCAATCAGGTCAAAAAAACGAACGATTTCCCAAGCGGCAGCCCCAATTTCGGCGACATGTCGCAAGAAATTTCGATTTTCCCTCGAAAATCGCTGCGATTTCCAAGGCGAAACAGAAATCCAACTTGCACTGTGCGAAAAGCCCAGAAATGGCCGCACAGTGCCGATTTTGGCATTTGCACTGTGCAAAATCCAAATGCACAGTGCGAAAAGTCAATCGCGGGGTCTGCACTGTTCTGATTCGGAACTGCACTGTGCGGGGTGCGAAATCCATTCCGCGGACTTTTTTGCTGGACTAGTATCAGTCTGGCCGAAAAAGAACCGGCCTCCCCGAACCCTTCCGTCGCACTCACTCCAAACCCCAATTTGCATCGCGGTGAAATTTGGAGGGCGTCGCCGAAAGAAAGAGCAAAAACAACGCATCGCCAGCGATAAAAGTGGGTTTTGCACAGTGCAAATGCCCTTTTTCTGCTGTTTCGCACTGTGCAATCAACAAAATTCCCACAAATTCAGCGATCTTTCGATGTCGCGCGCACTTTTGCGATGCATCGCAAAAACATTCAATTTCGAGGTTGCGATTTCGAGGCGCGAGGGGGGCCGGAATCCTTCGATTGCGACCCCGCTCGATTGCGACCTCGCATCGATTGCGACCCCGCATCGATTGCGACCCAAAATGGGGTAAAGCGACCCCGGGATGAAAATTCCTTGATTCTCTTTGGGAAAAACTTGCTTTAGGGGTTTTCGAGGGTGCTGATTTCGAAAATGATGTTCATTTTTCCTCTAGTACTACATAGTACTGTCTGATACTATATAGTACGAAGTCAAAATATCGCTTTTGACGTTAATGGTGTTGTTTTGATGCTTAGTGCTCTTCAAAAACACGTTTTAATCACTTGGTGCTATATAGTACTATCTGATACTATGTAGTACGAGGTGTAAAGTTGGCCTTTAGGCGTTAGTGGTGTTGTTCTGGTGCTTAGTACACTTATTTTTACTTCGTACTATATAGTATCAGACAGTACTATATAGCACCAAGTCTTTGAAACGTGTTTTTGAAGAGTACTAAGCATCAAACCAACACCATTAACGTCAAAAGCGACATTTGGCTTCGTACTATATAGTATCAGACAGTACTATATAGCACCAAGCCTTTAAAACGTGTTTTTGAAGAGTACTAAGCATCAAAACAACAGCATTAACGTCAAAAGCCATATTTTGACTTCGTACTATATAGTATCAGACAGTACTATGTAGTACTAGAGGAAAAATTAACATCATTTTCGAAATCAGCACCCTCGAAAACCCCTAAATCGAGTATTTAACGTCAAAAGCGATATTTTCACTTCGTACTATATAGTATCAGACAGTACTATGTAATACTAGAGGAAAAATTAACATCATTTTCGAAATCAGCACCCTCGAAAACCCCTAAAGCAAGTTTTTCCCGAAGAGAATCAAGGAATTTTCATCCCGGGGTCGCTTTACCCCATTTTGGGTCGCAATCGATGCGGGGTCGTAATCGATGCTGGGTCGCAATCGATGCGGGGTCGCAATCGATGGAATTCAGGGGGGCCGGTTCTTTTTCGGCCAGACTGATACTAGTCGCGCCATAAAGTCCTGACACATTTTGCACCGTGCGAAAGTTCGGGGTTTGGACGTCGCGCCCCAAAATTCGGGTTTGTCGCACGCGAAAGTGTGCAAAAACGGGAAATCGCGGCGACAAATGCGAAAAGATGCACAGTGCGGATGAGATGAAAGAAGATTGCACGGTGCAAAATGTGTCAGGACTTTATGTCGCGACTAGTACTAGTCGCGCCACACGTCAAAGAAAAAGTGAAAAAACAAGGAACCTCGGATCATTGATTTTTTACGAAATGTCGCTGAATTATCGAGTCACAAAGGAAAACTTTCCCAGAGAATTTCGAGAAAAATGTTTTTTCGAAGAGGAAAATAATTTTTCAAGCTCGATAATTCTGTGGCACTTCGCAAAAAATCAATGATCCGAGGTTCCTTGTTTTTTCAATTTTCTGAAAGAATTGTTTTGACGTGCGCCATAAAGTCCTGACACATTTTGCACCGTGCGAAAGTTCGGGGTTTGGACGTCGCGCCCCCAGATTCGGGTTCGTCGCGCGCAAAAGTGCATGTCGCAAGTGAAAAAACCGGGAAATTGCGGCGACAAATGCGAAATGAAAGAAGAATGCACAGTGCGAAAGTTCGGGTTTGGGATGTCGCGCCCGCAAATTCGGGTTTGTCGCGCGCGAAAGTCCACGTCGCAAGTGCAAAAACGGGAAATCGGGGCGACAAATGCGAAAAGATGCACAGTGCGGATGAAATGAAAGAAGAATGCACGGTGCAAAATGTGTCAGGACTTTATGTCGCGACTAGTAGTCGTTCCAGAAAGTGCGTGCACTTTTTGTCGTAGGCCGCACTGTGCACAAAATTCCCCTCTTGCGGGGTGCATTTGACCTTTTGCACCGTGCAAATCCAATATCGCCGCGACACAAGCTTTTCTCAACGGAGGCGGCGCGAACTTTGGGGAAATTGCACAGTGCAAAATGTTTCGAAAAGGATCGCGTCGCGCGGGGAACACGAAAACTTGCACTGTGCGGTGCAAAAAAGGCGGAAAAAAGTGCACGCACTTTCTGGAACGACTAGTAGTACACATAAGGCTAATGCAAGACATTTCATACAGGGTGGCCCAAAATAATGGAAACTTTTTTCCATGGGTCCTGCCGCGAAAACCTTGAGGTGCACCAAATAATTTTTCCACCGTTAAATTCTCCGTATTTTTTAGCCCTAGATGTTTTATTTTCATGCCCATATCGCTTGGTTAACATGTTTTTTATGAATGCCAAACAAAGGGACCTCGATTTCCGGCCTGTTTCGGCAAGAAAAAGGACCGTGTGAGGTTGATAAATTGCTCGGTGTAGCAAAAACGGTCATGCCAAAGGCCACCAAACAACTCAACGGAATAGTCCGCAATGATACGCGTTCGGGAAGTCGAAAAAAGTGCACCTTGAATGCTTCTGCCAACCTTGAGGTCATCAAAAAGCGAGTGAAGAAAAATCTGATGGTGCCCATGAAAAATATTGCGCGAGAGACCGTTATCAACATAACAGCTATCTGCCAAATGGCCTAAAATGTACAACAGCTCAAGCCTTACAGGCTCCAAAAAGTTCAGCGCCCTGCGGAAGACCACAAGTTAGTACGGCTCAAAAGACGTCAAAAACTCAGGCGCCGCGCCGCTGCTCGGCGATGAGAAGAGATCCTGTTCATGGATGAGACGTAGCTCAACATTGAGCAGGTCCACAAACACCAGAATGACAGGAGTTAGACTGTTGAGCGTCATCAAGCACCCGCCATCTTCGAACCCTGTCAAAACCTCTTCCGTCATGGCCTGGGGCAAGATTTTGCGCCAGAGGCAAGATATCCCCGGTTTTCGTGGTTAAAGATGTCAAAACCTACCGAAACGTCAACCATCGGTATTCTGGTGGTAGTGGTGCTTCCGCGGGCTCAGTAGCAATTTGTGGATGGAAAATTAACGTTCTCATAAGATTCAGCCCCGGCCGAGAAAGCAAACAGCGCGCGAGGCCAGGAATCGGCTGATTTTGCTACGTCTGCAAAATTGCCGCCTATTCGCCGGATCTAGATCGTACAAACTAAATTTTTTTTTTCAATTAGAGGCGAACGCCTGTACTATACGCCACAAAAGTTTGGGACCGCTAAATAATCGCTGAGCCAAGAACGGGACCGATTTCCCGAAAAAAAGCTGCGGCGTACCGCCCAAAATTTAAAGTCGCGTTTGGCGCTCTATATCGCCGCCAACGGCAGATATTTTGAAAATGGTCGAACATGTTATTAACAATGTTCCATGTTACTGATATGAATCATTACTTTGGCTAAATTTGGGCAGTTAACTGAAATATGACTATAAATATGAGTTTCCATTTTTTTGGGCCACCCTGTACTAAAAAGTGTCAAATTTTTACCAACTTTTATACAAAAAAGTCGCAAGTTGCATCAACATCTGAGCGTCGCATTTTGCTAACTCCCGTCTTTAAACTTCTCCAATCGTCTCCACTATTTGTAAACATAACCTTAATCCTCCTTCAGTTCTGTGGAATTGCCTGTCTACTGCTGGGAGCATGGCTGATTATGGACAAGTATGCGTTGGAAAGTTTGGCATCAGCAGCGCTTAAAGCGCCGGGAATAAAGGACGACGCGTTGATGGATTTGGCGTCCAAGCCAGCGGCTGTAAGGCAAATCGGTTACGCCTTGCTGGTGGTGGGCTGTGTGGTGCTGATAGTGGCCTTCTTGGGGTGTTGCGGAGCGGCAAAGGAATGGAGACCACTTCTGTGTTGTGTAGGTTATATTAATACCCAGAGATATGGCATTAATTATTTGATGGTTACTTTCTGATTTCAGTACGCCACATTGCTCATGGCTATCCTGGCGATCGAAATCACCGCCGCCATCTATGCCGCAATGCATTCGCATATGGTATGTTATTTCAGCTGGTAATATGAGCTACTTTCATAATTTCAGTTCCAAAAAGATTTCCGACAGTTACTGAAAGCATCGCTCAAAATGTACAATGGGACAGAGACCTTGGCCATAAACGATAAAAGCAATACGGCTCAAAGTGATGACTTATTGGTGAAGTTGGCTTGGGACAAATTTATGATTGAAGTAAGCAACTGAAATTTCTATTTTTAGGCTAATTTGATGGCAAAATTTATATCGTAATTTATATTATACTCATCAATTTTTAGAAAAAATGTTGCGGAGTTGACTCACGGCGCGGGGATTTTGCTCAAAGTGGTTGGTATCAGGTGACCGGCCGATTACACGAATTCCCTCCGGCATGTTGTCCGCCAAGAGCCAATGGCAATCTTATGCCATATTGCCCGACCATTTCCAGATACGGCGAGGTAATTTCTCATCAATTTTCGATGTTGTACTTGGCAAATCAAAACCTTTTACCGCTTTTTATATCGTTCTTGTGGTTGTGTTCGTATCTATCCGTAAAATTTAGGGCTGTTATGGGAAGATGCGAGAGTCGGTGATGGAATTGACGAACAGTTTCAAGATCGTCATGTGGACGGCGGGGATCATCTCCTTGATTCAGATATTCGGGATTTTTGTGGCCTTCTGTTTGTGTAATGCCATTTCCGTGGACGAATATTACTACTGAACGGTTTGCTTAGGGCTGTCTGGAGTTTATGCGATTCGAGGAGCAGCTGCGATTTTCGTTGATTTTGGGAATGGTCGCGTTGATCGGCACTGTGCAGGTGAGATTTTTTATAGGTAAAAAATAAATCCTATGCAAAAAATGTGGCTAAACCAACTAATCCCCAGTTTTCAGTTGATCTGTTTCGCCATGGCAGTCCGTTTATTCATCCATGTAAAGAAGGAGCTGCTCTACCTGTATTAACCGCCCCCACCTCATATTTATTGTCTTTCCGAGGCTTGTGTTCCAATATTACTGTATTTATCAAAGCCTTATCACAAAATAAATTAGTATAAACAGTAGATATACAAATAAATCTTAGCCGTTTCGTTGCCATAAGCGAGTTGAGCGGACGGAGGACGGGTGGTTTCAAGCTCTTTCAGCACCAGCACGAGCCTTCGTCGGTGACGATTTGGCGCGGCTTTATTGGGCCGATATCGACGACTTGACGGGCATCGGCGGGTCGGTCGTTCTCTGTGCCGGGGAGGGCGTTGGCAATTCGCCGGAAAAGCTGAAAAAATGCACACTAAATTCCGGAATCACCTTTTGACCATTAAAACATTGTCTTTTCCGATTCGAACCTAAAAAACCAACAAAAAATATTAAAATCTTACTTGTTTCACGTTATATCCGGCTTTAGATGAGGTTTCAATGAACATGACATTGAGTTCATTAGCTTTTCGTTCTCCTTCCTCAGTAGAGACTTGCCTGAAACATTAAGAATTAAATTTATATTCCAATAAGATCCAGAAGCCCATTTTAAGTTAAAACTCGCCTTTTATCAGATAAATCTGTCTTATTCCCAACCAGCATAATGATAACATCGCTGCCTCTCTCCGTTCTCACATCATCGATCCATTTCGAGGTCTGGTGGAATGAATTTGCATCTGAAATGAGACGACATTACAAACGAGCCAAACCAACGTCCAAACTATAAAAATATACTGAGCAAACAGTAACGTAACAAAAGAATAACAATACAAATAAAACACAAACATGAATAAAACAATTTCAACTTACTCGTAATGTCGTATACGACAACAGCAACGGTTGAATCACGAATATAGGAAGGGATTAGCGATCGGAAACGCTCTTGTCCGGCAGTGTCCCACAGTTGAAGTCTGACCTAAAAGTAAAGGACCATAAAGAAGATATAGGAGAATTACATCGCGATGAAAAGGAGAACTTACAGTCCGATCTTCAAGATACATGGTCTTACTAAGGAAATCGATCCCAATCGTTGCTTGATACGTATTGTCAAAACTGTCATACATAAAACGAGTAATCAACGATGTTTTCCCAACTGAAAACATATTCATCAGCAATAAAATCTCACATTACAAAGAGTCTTTAACTAACGTTAAGTCTCATACACCTTAAGCTTCCGCTAAAACTGCGAATCCTTCTATTGCACCCACACTTATAAATTAGGCTCTGTATGATTTTTACATCTGTTAAAAATAAATTTTCAACAGAACTATGCCAAACCTCAGACCCCTTGGCTTCAAGTCAACATCTAAATCAAGAAACACTAAACAACGTGTCAGCTTACCGCTTTGTTCGCCAAGGAACACCAGCTTGAACTTTTTCATGGGATTGGCAAAGTCGGACGACATCTTTCCTGTCCTTCAAGTCGCCTAAAAACAAAATAAATTAAACCTAAACCGAACTTACTTCAATATGAGACAGAATCTATTTAAAATGCAAGTCTGATACTTCTTGGAGGAGACTTCATCTCCAAACGGCGGACGTTGGAAATGCGTTGGAAAAAAGACGGAAATAAAATTACGATAGAAAAACGTGCGCCCGCAGGCGGATCGTGGCGAGAGACAGGAAAATAAATTTATTTTACCAACTTGAATGTGTTTTCGAGACATAAAACGGTCATAACTGGCGACAAACTGTTACGTTGTTATCAACGAAACATCAAAAAGGTTTTTGATTGCTTTATGATCATCGGGGATGTATTTAATTGCGTTTTCTATAAAGTAATGTTGTACATGGCCCGAATTGTTTGCCGCATAGGTTTCTGAGCGGTTTTTTGTCTTATCTTTGAAATTCTTACAATTGCATGCCATTTTCTGGCACGGCGACTCTGAATTTGAATTGAAAAGATAGAAATTGTAAAGTTAGCTAATTTTGGGTAAAATTGTATTCGGTTTGTTGTAAAGTGATAGGAACGGGCAAGTTTTTTTCTTGTAAGGTGCTAATTGCTTGCCTCCATGATCTTGTTGATCCCTAGAACCTACCCGTTGGTTTCCCTACGAGCAAAAAAAATTTTTTTTTGTTGTACTAGGTTCACACCCAGACAGACAAGTCCAAATTCCATGAACCTTGTTTGACTAATGATTGTGACGCACAAGTCTCGTAGTGTTTTGCAGGCGTTTTCGCCATGCGATCTGCCGATGCCACCCAAAAACAAAAAGTGGCTGTCTAAACCTTCCCCTTTTTTATCAAGACGGCGGGCCCCACAGAATACAAAGTCCATTCGTTCGATCGCCGCTGGTCGAAGAACGACTCGAAAACTTGTGTTTTTCGCGAGAGCGTAAACAAAAAAGCACGTTTTTGGGCGTTCCAATTGTTAAATGTTATATGATTTTGGTCGTTTCAGGTGGTAAAACTCGAGGATGTTCAAGCCGGCGTTGATCCGAAGTACCACCAAGTCCTTTGCCGCGAGATTTAATACTACTTCCCGCTGTCTGAGCTTCGGTAAGGGTGTTTTTGATTAGTTTTTTTTATTTTAGTGTACTTTCGACTTTGGAATTTGCTTTCTCTGTATAAAGCCGAGTTTATTATTGTCTTGATTTTCGGATGGACCATGAAGAGTCGTGACTTTCTAAAGATTATTTGACCTTCTGTTTTATCGACGGTTGGTTTTTTCGCCGGCTCTGACCTTACATTAGGCTTTGGTGTTAATTTACGCATAGAGATTTTTTGTTGCAATCTTTTATGTGGGATTTATAGGGAACAAGGTGTAATCCAAGGCTAATATTGGCTATCTTTAGAACTCAATGATGATCAAAGACAACTCAAACAAGCGGTGGATCAATTTGTTAAGCAAGAGGTCATTCCCGTCGCCGCTGAATATGATCGGAAGATGGAATTTCCATGGGATGTGATCAAGAAAGCTCATGCTAATGGCTTTATGAATCTTGATCTCCCCCAAGAAGTTGGCGGGCTCAAATTGGATCTGGTTTCGAACGCCCTGGTATCTGAGTCAGTGGGATATGGCTGCACTGGAATTGGAACAGTTTTGATGGCCAATGATTTGGCTTCGACTCCTTTAGTTATTGCGGGATCTCCTGAAGTTCAAAAGAAATTCTTGGGAAGACTGATTGAAGAGCCTATTGTTGCTGTAAGTTGAGTTTTCGGATTGAATTGTTGTTGCTTTAGTCGTATTGTGTGACCGAACCAGGAGCTGGCTCAGATGTTGCCGGAGCCAAGACAAAGGCTGAGAAGAAAGGTGAGAGAGAGAGAGATGATATTTTTACAAGTATTGAATTGCGAATGAGCTTTTTTCACGATGTCATGTTTGATTTTCAGGTGATGAATGGGTCATAAATGGATCGAAGATGTGGATTACCAACGGCGGACACGCTTCATGGTTCTTCGTCCTCGCCCGCACTGACCCGGATCCAAAGACTCCGGCCGGAAAAGGCTTCACCGCTTTTGTTGTGGATGGAGATACCCCCGGCTTGACTAGAGGAAAGAAGGAAATCAACATGGGACAGCGATGCTCATCAACGGTCGCCATCAACTTTGAAGATGTCAGAGTCCCGAATTCTCAAGTCCTAGGCGAAGTTGGAAAGGGCTTCCATGTGGCTATGAAAACTTTTGACAAGACCCGTCCCTTGGTGGCGGCGATGGCTGTTGGACTGGCTTCAAGAGCTCTGGATGAAGCCGCTAAATATTCGTTGGAAAGAAAGACCTTTGGAGTACCAATAGCAGCAGTAAGTGGGACTGGTAGAGGTTTGGGGATCCAAAAATTTGTGGTCTTTTCAAGTGTAGTTGGTATTTTTATATCGGTTATAAGGATCGCATTTTCAGCATCAAGGAGTCTCCTTCATGTTGGCTGATGCGGCTGTTGCTGTCGAAAATGCTCGTCTTATGACCTACAGATCCGCCGATTATGTCGATTCTGGCCGCCCAGGATCGTATTATGCCTCCATTGCCAAACTCTACGCCGCTGACATCGCCAATCAAATCGCCTCAAATGCAGTCCAAATTTTCGGTGGAAACGGATTCAACACCGAATATCCAGTGGAGAAATTGATGAGAGACGCGAAGATCTTCCAGATCTATGAAGGAACCTCTCAAATTCAACGGGTTGTCATCGCAAGACAGCTCCTTCAACGTGTTAAGGAGACCGGAACCGCTGTGGAACCTCTATAAAAGTGATAGTAGTTATATACCTAACCTTAAAGCCATGTGAATAAATTTTATGAGATATGTGCGAGGTTGGAAGGGATAATATCAGGTTTTGGCCTGGAGTTTACCTTATACTTGGTGTCTGTAGAAGTTTTTGATTATTTCTTTGACATTTAATGTGTAGATGCTCCGTTCATCCTCCATTCGTGTCCTCAGCCAAGCGCAGAAAGCCGTGGTCAGCTCGGAACGGGCGCTTTCGTTCCGTTTGAATGACCAACAACGGGAATTCCAAAAGGTGGCGCTACAGTTTGCCAAGGAAGAAATTGCTCCCAAGGCCGCAGAATACGATAAAACTGGAGAATTCCCATGGGATCTGATCAAGAAGGCCCATTCGATCGGATTGATGAACCCAAGTGTTCCGGAAGCCTATGGTAAGTAAAGATTTTCGGAGTTTATATTATCCATTGTACTTTTGATTCATTATTTTTAAAATTTGCTGTTGATTTGCAGGAGGTCCCGGCTGCACCAACATTGAAACCGCCCTTATTATCGAAGCTTTATCGTATGGCTGCACTGGAGTTCAACTGGCCATTATGGGCCCTAGTTTGGCATTGGCCCCTCTTCTTCTGGCCGGAAACGAAGCACAGAAGAAGAAATACGCTGGAATGCTGACTGATGAGCCTTTGATTGCGGTAAGTGATACCATAATGATCTTTATTATATCATTTTAGTCATATTGCGTAACCGAACCCGGAGCTGGATCTGATGTGAACGGAGTGAAGACAAAGGCTGAGAAAAAAGGTAGACGCTTTTGTGGAATTTATTGAAGTTTTAGACGGGATATAGGAATATGGTTAGCATTTTGCAATAAGTTATTTTATTAAGTAATGATTGATAGCGAAAAGACGTTAGATTTGGGACTAAATGGTCTTTCACTTTGGTAAACTCCTTCCGCTAGAATCCTCCGACTCGCTTTGTCGGTAGATCAAGTTGTCATAAGTCATTCCGTACGCACTCAATTGTCGCACCTTTTGATCAATGTAGGGAATATCGCTTAATGCCTCAGGCTGGAATGCACTCCATTGACCCCCACTTCCACCCTTTGTCAGTGCAGAGAATATGGCCAACGCGTCGATTCCTCTTCCCCAAGCATGCATCTTTTGGATCGCCGAAGATCCGCACATGTCCACAGTCATGGTTGAGAGAATAAGACCGGCGAAGATGAAGAAAATCCATCCGAAGTAATGTTCGGGCGGATTATAGGCCAAAGCCGGGTCAAGATCTCCAAATCCGATGGTTGTCTGAAATTAGTGGGGTTTGGGATATTGTAGTAGACTTGATGAATATTTTTGGATGTAAGGATTGTTTTTGTCGCAAAAAACAGGTTTCGTACCATTGTAATGAGACAGTAGTAGTAACTGTCCACAAAATTCCATGTCTCAACAAAGTAGGAACACGTAACAGCTGATACGAACATATAAGCTAGGAGAAGAAATAACACAAAGGCCTTGGATAGGGGACCCGGCTCGCAGAGTAGATCCTCCTCGTCTTCTTCGCCATTCTCATGAACGGTCTCTTCAATTGCATGTTTGATTTGGCCATCTCCTCTGCCTTCTGTCGACTTCATCAAACGTTTTCGGTATCGGTTTTCGGTCTGAGCCAACACGTCGGTAAAGAATTTGGCAACATCTGCGATTGTGATCAGGGTCAGAGGAATCCTGAAAGGAGATTATTGCTAGGTGGAAGGTGAGAAATTTGGAAAATCTGGGACGTGGTAAATGTACAGTGAGGGACCTGATCCAGTGGCAAAAAACGTACCATTTTGAATCTGGGAAGTGTCAACAATATGGCAAAATGCTTCCCTCTCCAAGTGAAAAAACTCCGATTTCAAAAGCGCGCCTGCTCTTTATATGAGGGAAAGTTTTTCACTCGCAGAGGGAAGCATTTTTCCACATTTTTGATGGTTGCCGGATACAAAATGGTACGTTTTTTGACACTGGATCAGGTCCCTCACTGTAGTGTCGTTTTGTCAATCGAAATGATGAACGCGTTATATGAAATTAAGATTGGTAAAAACTTGCCCTAATGCTCCATAGACAATGCAACAGATCCGGCCGATTGGCGAAATAGGCACCAAATTTCCGTAACCTGAAAGTCATATGAAGTGTTTAGGTGGTGTATTGTTGTGTAATACACGTTTTTGATTGAAGGTAAAACCCCATAAGTAGTCTAAGTCTCGGTTCTTACCTACGGAGGTCAAAACAGTAATTGAGAAATACAGCGCGGAGTGAAATGACCACTTTGATCCTCGTTTTCGTTCCACCGAATTGTGGGAAATCTCCTCTGCCGAAATCCCCTCACTGTATGCCTCCATGGCAGTTTGGATAATCTTGTCAATAGTGTCTTCAATAAGTTCATCCGTTGCATTCTTGTCCTCTAACCTTAGACCGGCTAGGCTAGGGATCTCCAGATTTAAGAGAGCATTCTGAAATGGATTTAAAAACAAGTTGAAATATGTGTTTCCCTCGGGGGAATTGAGTGTACAACGTGTGTGTCACATCCTTGTCAATTGTTATTTGTTATAGTCAATCGAAAGCCCTCAGGGGATGTAATCAAAAAAGATTTTAAATGTGTTAGTCAAAGTGTTGTGAGGTAAAGACACAATGTTTTGTTCTAAATTTGGGACGATCATTACCTGAGCCATCCGGGCATTCTGTGCATATCGCGACATGTGTCCTTGCCCATGATTCTGCTCGGTATATTGAAAACACAGGGCTCCCAAGATACTGTAAAGTATTGTAGTACAGAGCAGGAGAACATGAGGTAGAATCAATCGGATCCTCTGAACTATACTCGATGTCATAACTTCTGGAACGGCGAAACCTCTCCTCCGACCTCTCGGATCGCGTTTCTCATCCAAGTGAAGCCGAGTCAAGGTCGCTTCGGCCGCCGCGGCCGCGTTCGATCTGACCCATTGGGCCTTCAGATGCAAGGCTCTCATCCTTCCGGTAACTTGATACACTTGAAGCAGAGAGCAATGTTATAGAGGGGCTAGAGTATTAATCGCCTTCCGGTGAGAGTTACGCGGAAAAAACAGAAGATTCTCTTTGTTGGAATATGTAGTGTAAGGTAAAAATAAGGCTTGATGACGGTCGGGTTTGAATAAATTGTATTTCTAAAAATAGTTGCTTATTAGGAGTAGAATTGAAAGTAATGGGTGATAAGTATGTAATACGGTATTAGGACTTCAAAGGAAAATAGGAATTTGATGATAACTGTGGGTAAAATAAATGGTGTTGCCCTCGGAAAATGGTGTTCTCTGTCCGAGAATGGTGTTTTCACCTCATTTGAAGCACTTTTCATCCTGTGGCAAAGTTATTGCAGTATCCCGCAGGGCGATTAAAGTGTAACCGCCCGGAAAATTTCCCGTCCTTTTTTGGCCGCTCCTCTGCCTCGCAGGATGATTTTTTGGCCTTTGGCCGTCATCTCCGCGAATTGGAATTTGGGGATTTGGAAAGCGGAAATGGGCGGATTTTGACAGATTTTGATGGTTTTATTTGAATTAGGTTTTAATTTGAGGGCATAGAAGTAATTTTAATCAAATTGCTCAATTATGTTGAATTTGTTTGTTGTGAACTGCGTTTGATGATAAAAATTTTGCTTTCAGGAAATGACTGGGTCATCAATGGTTCGAAGATGTGGATCACCGGCGGTGGCCACGCCAAATGGTTCTTCGTCCTCGCCCGCACAGACCCCGACCCGAAAGCTCCGGCCGGAAAAGCCTTTACCGCCTTTGTTGTTGATGGAGACTCCAAAGGAGTAGTCCGAGGAAAGAAGGAAATCAACATGGGACAGCGATGCGCGGACACCAGAGCCATCACATTCGAAGACGTGGTTGTACCAAGTGAGAATGTTCTTGGAGCCCCGGGTGCTGGATTCAAGGTTGCTATGGGAGCCTTCGACACAACTCGACCTGGAGTCGCCGCCGGCGCAGTTGGACTGGCTTGGAGGGCATTGGATGAAGCCGCAAAATATTCGTTGGAAAGGAAAACTTTCGGAGTTCCAATTGCGGCGGTAAGTGGCGAGGAGGGTTTTAAATTTCAAAAAATTTGTCTTCCGCTTCAAAAACACTCTAATTTCAGCATCAAGGGGTCTCGTTCATGCTCGCCGACATTGCCGTCAACCTCGAACTCTCCCGTCTGATGACTTACAAAGCCGCCGCCGAAGTTGACCGTGGAACCCGCTCATCCTACTATGCATCCATCGCTAAACTCTTTGCCGCTGATGCCGCCAATCAAGCCGCCTCGAATGCGGTCCAAGTGTTCGGTGGAAACGGATTCAACACCGAATATCCGGTGGAGAAATTGATGAGAGACGCCAAGATCTACCAGATTTATGAAGGTACCTCTCAAATCCAGCGTGTTGTTATCGCCCGTGAACTCCTTCAACGTGTCGGACAAACCGGAAGCGCATCTCTTGTCGGATAATCAAACAAGTAGTATACATGATCTTGTCAATGTATGGAGTTGATTACAGAATTACTTTCAGCGATAAATATAATTATAAATAACGGTCGGTGTTATTGGTTGTTCGACTTGAGAGTATATTGCAGTTGGACCATTCGTTTTCGTAATTTTGACTTATGATCATCCTAAATTTGAATTGACTGTCCGAAATTCCTGTCACTGCACAGAAAAACTTTTGTTGGAAGGTGCATGCACTTTTAGTACGGTTTTTACGAACACCTTTTGAGTTCCGGTTCATTTAAACCGCTGATCTTCTTGACCGGTGACTCGATGAAACTCATCTTGCTCGTCCTCCTCTTTCTTCTTGTCGGTGTTGCTCACGCTGGGGTTACAGAATGGATAAATAAGAAGATTATTAACCCTATTAAGAGACCTTTCGGTAAGTGAAAACTTTGATACTTTATAATTTAATCTTTCAGTGAACAATGGCAAAGGAAGAACCAGGTATCAGCGCAGAGCCCATCGAGCCGTCCACAGGGTAACTGGATAAATGCCATATTATCAGGCAATAAGTTACACAATAAACAGTTAGTTTATATCATAATGAACCATATATTTATTGATATTCTACAGTATGAGGTATAAGGTACTGCTTACAAGGTGAGGTATTCTAAGAAGCACAGGTGTGAGTAGTAAAAAATGAAAATGCTATGAAATAAGAAAGCTATAATACAGATATATCAACAATCTAGCCTCTGGAAGGGAGGAAATAGAAGTTGTCGTAGCCCTTGTTGCGACGAGGCCGTGAAAGTGCCATGTATTGCGGAGCAGTGCCGATCTGATCTTCATATGAATCACCAGAGCCCTCGTTGTCCTTGTCTAATCCACTTTCTTCGCTCTCATTGACCGCAACCAAAACCGGCTCCTCTTCGCCACTGGCTCCACTGCCATCAGCATTGTAGGGATCACTGGAAAAGCCGCCATTTGCACGGCTCGCACTGCGGAGGGAATCGATCACTTCGTTCAGAGCGTACTGAAAAGATACAGATCAACAAAGCGCCACTTTCAGATTTATCCAGTTTTCGTCATGGATAACATAATTGTCAAACTTCACGCAACAGTTCCGTAACGCAAGAAAAATGACAAAACTGTCTTCTTGATACCAAGAGACCCCAATGCACAGCGGTTTCAAGCGAAAAAAGGGCATATTACGACATTGAACATGCCAAAAATAGACAGAATTGAAATCAATCGAATTTGCCTCATTCTTATCGGAGTTTCGACTCATTACTGTTTCAGACACCCCAGTTGGGCTTTTATGAAAGTGTTTACACCAAAAACACGTCTTGCAAAACCCGACGCAAGTCGAAAAACGGCGTAGTATGGCAATTTCATCCCCAAGAAGCGAAACATGTTGCAAACGCAAAACCGACTCCAAATTCATAAATCTAAGGAGAAAGACAACGAAAAGAAAAATAAAATACCCTTTTCTCGTCGTCCAAGGTGTTGACTTCGTCCATCGACGTTCCAACGGAGGCGTAGACCAACCCAGCCAACACGATCATGATGAAGATGGCAGAGTTCGACATTGTGAATGTGTAAGAGTGAGCCCGGTTACGGTGAGCGAAGAGACCAGCCTCCGACGACAAAGTGAGAACCACAACTGATTTTGGATGGGGCAAATTCTTAGGGAAACGATGAGAACTGGAAGTGGACGAAGTGACACAAAACCTATTGGAATTTAGCGAGATGCCACAATTGATTGGGGATTCATGTCGGCATCACACGCGATGATGCCGAAGACTGAAAAAGACCGTCTGATCCCGTTCCATTTTTGTGAAAGACCAGGCGGCGAACAAAAGTCGCAGCGACAAATGGGAGTTTCGGCGACAAACGACATGCAAAATGGGCGGAAATTTGCGCATCGTTTGGAATTTGTCGCTGAAATTCTTGGCGAACTCGGAATCGCGGATGCGACGAGCTGTCGCATTGTGTCGCATTTTTGACTTCATCTTGGTCTTTTTGAGAATCCGCACAGTGCTGTTGAATTTCCGGCCCTTTTTCAAATTTGCACTGTGCAGCGAAAAAGACAAATGCGCTTTTTGACGCAAAATGGAGTTGAAATTTGCCTCGAAGAGGTCGATAAAAATTTTTCATTTCCCATGAAATGCAAATTTCACAAATTTACAAAAGAAAATTATCATAATTTGGGTGTTTCGTCAAAGTTCAAAAAACAGGAATTTCCCCTCATTCACTCTGTGTCCTCCTGGGCGATTGGTGACCCAATGAAGCTTTTTGTGGCTGTTCTCCCTCTTCTCGTCGCTGCAGCTTTGGCTGAACACGATCTGGAGAATCTGGAGAGTTTCCTGAGACGTTTGGACCGTAGCGTTAAAGTCAACCTGAACCTCAACTTGCACTCCGGGCTGCCCTCTTTGCCTGATATTCTGGGTCTTCGCGAAGGCGTTCCGAATATTCCTAGGCCGTTCGTAAAGTCGCTGGAATGTTTTCGGCGACATGCACTCCGCGTTTTCTTGCACAGTGCACGTCGCTGAAAACATTCCAACGACTTTACGAACGGACTGATACTTATGAGAGGAAATTAGGCAATCTATACCAGTCCCGCGTCTGGTGCATGCTGATCCGAGTTTGGACGAAGACGATGACATTGAGGATTTGAATAATCTGAGTAAGTCTGATCTCTGGGGTTTTATGTTGAAATAGTTTTTTTTTCGTTTCCAAAGTATTTTTGAATCGCCTTCTAAACTTTGTATAAACCAAATCACCAGTTCCTCATATTTTCAGACCTCGGAAACCCTTTGTCTCGCCCAAGAAGGAACAAAGGCTACGACAACTTCTATTTCCTTCCGTCCCGCGGATGAGCAGCTTGCTTTGCCGATTATTGTATTTCATTATCCATAAATAAACATTTATCATTCTAACTTTGGATTACGGTCACGATTTATGTCCCACCACCGGCTGGACAAAGGTCACAGCTGGTTCAGGAAAAGGTACCAGGTCCAAGAAACCCGATCAAGCCACGACAGTCTGTCCTAAGACATAGTAAATATAATTTATTTTCATACTTCGACAGGGTTAGTAAGATGCAATTATTATCAAAAAAAAAATAACGAAATGAAATTCACCATGAATAAGTATACAAGTTATATTTCTGGGTTATGTAATCGACATACATACGGTTAGTAATGCTTTTAAGCCTAGTCAATGTTGATTGTTGAGAGGATAGGTCTTTTCAGTGTGGGGATTGGCTTTGAAGCCGGAATCGTAGGTCTGAGGCCATTCACGGACGATCCCGACGGTCCTGGGCGATTTTCTTTGTTTGGTGCGGGGACAGCTGGCGCTGTGTTGATAGCGCGGCCTTTATTGTCCAGATCGAACAAGTATTTGAGATCGTTCATCGTAAGTTTGGTGAGGTTCTTTTGGGCGACGCTGAAATGCCAAAAATAAATTTTTAAAAACCGTGTTATGCAGAAATTGCAGAAATTCCATAACTAAATTCTCAAAATAATAATTTTCATACATGAACAAGCCATTTACAATTCCAAAAACTTCTTAAAACATACCCATCCAGCACCGACTTGGCCAAATTTAACTTCTTTTCCTGTAACTCCAATACTCTTTGCTCGATGGTTCCTTTACAAATAAACTTTTTCACAAACACCTCCTTCTTCTGTCCCATTCTGTAAATTCGATCAAATGCCTGCTGTTCCATGGCTGGGTTCCAATGCAGATCGATCATGAACAAATGATTTCCTCCTGTCAAGTTTAGGCCAACTCCTCCGGCCGTCAACGACAATAACAAGATCTGAGGTCGGACAGAGCTGGAATTGAAGTCGTTCATCACTTGCTGACGATCCAGTGGCTTCATCTGTCCGGTGATTGACATATAATCCAGATCATTTCTATCCAAGTGTTGCTTGATTATGTCCAAAACTCCGGTCCATTGGCTGACAATTACAACCTTGTCTTTCCTATCGATGACTCCTTTGAGATGGTCAAGGACCGCCCTCACTTTGGTGCTCATAAAGTCTGGGATGAAGAGTTTTTCCACATCCACCACATCCTCGCCGAGTTCCTCGTCTTGTTCGAGGGTGATGGCGGAAAAAGTTCGCTCCAATTCTTCAAGATCTTCGGCGTCTGGAACGGCAATGTCTTCGTCTTTGAAGCATTCAATATCAACTGCCTGAAACAACAAAACCATTCTATTTACTGCCAAATCCCTTCTTCAAAACTACAAAATTAACTTACACCCTTAGTTAGAGAAAGATGAACACAAGCTTGTCGCAGTCTCAATAGCAAAGCCAACAAACAACTCATGACTTGGAAATGATCATCTGCATCTACTTGACGATTTCCTCCTAAAACAACACCATTACGTCTTTTTCAATCCCTCCAATTTTCTATACACTGTTTCGGAATGACAGACATGCCTATAAAATCTACAGTGCGGTGTGCGGGTTTAGTTGACGAATACGAAACCTTTACAGATTGAAAGAGAAGGTCTGAAAACCTACACCAAAAAATAAATTTTTCTTATTGCACCGTAACTGCACTTCACGCAACAATTTTTCCAAGTTTCGGATGTTTCAAAATGATAGACAAAGCTGCTATTTTTTCTTTGAATTTTAGGTCCGATAAAGTCCAGACTTTTGTAATACAGTCATATATTAATATAATTTCAGACAATATTTTGGCCAATATCCTCAAGATTTTAGCAAAAAAATAGCAGTCGTGTCTATCGTTTCAAAACAGTGTATTATCCAAGACCTACCAATGAATGGATTGACAATCTTCGTTTTATCCTTCTTCCTTCTTCTGAATTCGTTCTCGTTATTGTTTTGGATCATCTCTTTGACCTTCTGACGAGATGCTTCAAACATGAGCTGATAGCATCTTCCCTCAGCTCCCTTCATCTCCAATTCGATGACTTCAAAGGTTCTCTTGGGCAAAGTTAAGATGGGTTTATTGTTGAAAGCCATCGTCTGATCCTTAGTGCGTCTTAGCAAGAGACCTTTGATCAATGTGTTGAGACGTTCGTTGTTTTCTATAACAACATAAAAATTGCTTATAGAGTCTAAATAAAAGAGCACAAAATTTTGAATTTCTTACTGTTTCCACTCATAATGTACAATTTCCAGTGACCTTCTTCATGGAATGGATGGATCTTCATGAATCGAATCAAAGAGAACAGATCCCAGAGTTCATTTTGGATGGGAGTACCAGTCAAACACCATCGATGAATGGCGCTCAATTGGCACGCGATCCTTGAAACCATAGACTTTCTGTTTTTGATTTTGTGAGCCTCATCCAAAATAATCCGATCCCAGGCAATCTTGGCCAACACCGAGTTCGAATTGTTGTCAAGGGCGACATCGGAGGTCAGAGTGCCATATGTGGTGATGACAATATCGTAGCCAGCTAACCTGTAACATTAAAAAATCTAAATTGTAATCAAATTCAAGGCGATTGCATGTCATAACAGGGGAATACAAAATTTAAAACGCCAACTTACAATGCGGCAGAGCTTTTTCTTTTGTTCCCATGATACACATGGACATTCAATTTCCCCATCGCGAGTCGATCCTCAACTTCTTTTTGCCATTGATGGATCAACGAAGCAGGCGCGACGACCAACGTGGATGTGGAAAAAACAAGGTTCTTTTGACGACAAACATCTCTTCTTTGGCTAATGTTCCTTTGATAATCTGGATCAGCCAATCGTCTATTCTTCTGTTCCAGGATCAAGGCAATCATAGACAGGGTTTTTCCAAGCCCCATGTCGTCGGCGAGGATCCCACTGCCGGGCTTTTGACCCTCTCGCCATAAAAGCCAGGCCAGACCTTGCTTTTGATGCTGCATCAGCTCGATCTTCAAACCTTGGGGATTCGGAGCGAAGACTTTTTCATCTGGAGCGGTGGAGAGAGCTCTAAAATAAGAAATGCGCAAAAAATCGAAGAAACTTACTCGTGCATGCTTTTGATCAAATTGTTGGTCTGATCTCTGATGTCCTCAAATCGACCCATGGTCATTTTGCCGGCGAAATTTCTCTTGACGTGATCATTGGAGATAAGCTTCTGATACTCTTCGGGTTCGATACTTGGGGCCGGAATAATCGTTGGTCCTAGGGGTTTGGAGATAGAAGAAGTTGGTTTGGAGATAGAAGAAGCTGGCTTCGAGACATTGGAAGTTGGTCTGGAGACGAGAGAAGTTGTTTTGGAGATGGAAGACGTTGGTTTGGGCACACTCGGTCGGAAAGAACTCGGGCCTGGTCGATCAAAACTCAAAGCCGTTCTGGACAAAGCATGACCGGGTCTCGCCAATTTCCGCGGAGGCTCTGGCATTGGACTGGAAATGGAAACAACCTCTACTTCATCGCTCGAATTGGAAGCCTCATTCGAACTGGCACTCGAATTCCAGCCGTGTTTGGATTGACGTTTGACTTCCGATGGTTCGATAATTTCCAGAAAAGAGCTATCATTCAATGGAGAAAGTGATCGTTCTTCCACAGACTGTTCCGCACCTGATGAATCCATCCTCTGAAATTACACTTGTCAACGTGCCTAGTGTAACATAGACAACCGAAACGAGTATGAAAATGTAAAAAAATGACCGGGAAATTGTCCCTTTCCTGTTTTTTCGGAAGAAAGACAAAATTTCGTCGAAAAATTCGTTCAAACAAAAAATTTCCGCGATCCTTGTCTTCGTTGTGGGACTCAAAAAGGCGGGCGAAGAGGCGGGAAATTGGTTTTCGAAACCGAATTTTGACCATTTTGTCTGTTTTGCCAGTGGGTAAGGACGGATTTTTGCTATCCGTGTAGTGGACAGCTTCTGCTTGTCTCTTATTCGGATTTATTCTGGTTTAGGTGATGTTCGATTGTTTTTTCGCATCTTTCTCATAATAATTTATGTACTTCCAATGTTTGATTTTGGACAAAACCTTTTTTTGTGTCTTGTTTGCGCGATTTTACAAAATTTTTTAGTTTACTTTATGCTTTCAGGATGTCCGATTCTGACTCCGACTTTGATGCTATGCCGACCTCTTCGAAGGCGGCGGCGAAGAAAACCACCGCCTCGGCGAAGGCAGCTCCGAAGAAGAAGCCTGCTGGGAATTCAGGTGGTGCGAACAACACTGTGACCGAAGAGGAGCTTCAGAATGTGTTCACTGACATCGACAAGGCCGAGAACAAGGGGAAGGGGATGTCGATCGAGGAGATGTACCAGAAGAAGTCTCAGCTGGAGCACATCATGCTGAGACCTGACACCTACATTGGATCTGTTGAATTCTGTGATCGAACTGTGGGTTTTTTATTTTTTTCTTTTGTCTTTAGGTTCCATGAGCTTCTTAGTACTTGAAAATTTTCGTGAGAGGATGTCACATTGTCTTACAATAGTGATTTTGCATTTCATCTAAACCAATGTTTCTGACGGGTTTTTCTCGTTTCAGCCCATGTGGATTTACGATGGCGAGGCTGATAAGATTGTGAACCGCGAAATCAGTTATGTCCCAGGTCTCTACAAGATCTTCGATGAAATTGTTGTCAACGCTGCGGACAATAAACAAAGGGATCCGAAAATGAATATGATCAAAATCAGTATCAACAAGTATGCTTTATTTCTTTATTTTTTTTTGTTCTTTAGATTGAGGGGTAATGTGGAGTGGGAATGATGATTAATTTGATTTTTTCAGAGAAAAGAACGAGATTTCCGTCACCAATAATGGACGTGGTATCCCGGTCGTGATGCACAAGGTAGAAAAGTTGTATGTTCCCGAGATGATCTTTGGAACTCTTCTCACTTCGTCCAACTACAACGATGATGAGAAAAAAGTGACCGGTGGCCGGAACGGTTATGGTGCGAAGCTTTGCAACATCTTCTCAACGAAATTTACCTTGGAGACAGCTAGTAGAGAACATAAGAAGAAGTTCAAGCAGACGTGGGTCAACAATATGACCAAGGAAAAGGAGCCAGAAATCGAAAGTTTCAATGGCGAGGATTACACGAAAGTGACCTTCTCGCCAGACTTGGCCAAGTTTAAAATGACTGAACTCGATGATGACATCGTTGGATTGATGTCCAGGCGTGCGTATGATATTGCCGGAACAACAAAGGGGGTCAAAGTGTACCTGAATGGGAAGCTTATCCCGGTACGAATTTAGTTGTGTTGCCTGAAAGATTAGTTTGAATATATTGATTTATAGGGGTCTAGTACAATATAAATTTTTGAAATTTTAGTGCCAAGGATTCAAACAATACGTTGAGCAGTACACCAGAGGCGTCGAATACGACGGAGAGCCAGTCAAAGTGGCCTACGAAGCGAATGGAACCCGCTGGGACATTGCCATGACCGTATCAGAACGGGGTTTCCAACAAGTGTCGTTTGTGAATTCCATTGCCACCACCAAAGGCGGCCGGCACGTGGATTATGTGGCTGATCAAATCATCAGCAAATTGATTGACACCATCAAGAAGAAGAGCGGGAAAAGTGGAATCAATGTGAAGCCGTTTCAAGTGAAGAATCATCTTTGGGTCTTTGTCAATTGCTTGATTGAGAATCCAACCTTCGATTCTCAGACCAAAGAAACGATGACTTTGCAGGTAAAATGATTTTTAATTGATTTTTTGGATGTTGTTTAAAGTGGTTGATGATTTGTGGTTAATTTTTATATTATTTTATGTTTTAGGCAAAGAATTTTGGCTCCAAGTGCGAGCCGACCGAAAAGTTCGTCAAAGATGCGCTAAAGTGTGGGGTTGTGGAGGCAGTGATGAGCTGGGTGAAGTTCAAGCAACAGGAACAGCAGGACAAGAAGTGCTCCACCAAGAAGACCTCTAAACTGAAGGGAATCCCCAAACTGGAAGATGCCAACGACGCGGGAACCAAGAACTCCCATCTTTGCACATTGATCCTGACCGAAGGAGATTCGGCCAAATCTTTGGCTGTGGCCGGATTGGGTGTGATCGGAAGAGATCGTTATGGGGTCTTCCCGTTGAGAGGTAAAATGCTCAATGTGAGAGACGGGAGTCACAAACAGATCATGGAGAATGCCGAGATCAACGCCATGTTGAAGATTGTCGGGTTGCAGTACAAGTTGAAGTACGCGACGGACGAGGAAAGGAAAACCCTTCGCTATGGAAAGATCATGATCATGACTGATCAGGTAGGATTTGGGGAAATTTGGAAGCAATTTCAGAACTGGCATATTTGAAAAGTGAAGATTTTTTGGTCATTATATTATACATGATGACTAAAATTTTTTTTTTTTTTGTGTATGAAACTTCTGAGATGATTGTAAATTATTTTTTACACTTTCAGGATCAAGATGGTTCTCACATCAAAGGTCTTTTGATCAACTTCATCCACGCCAACTGGCCGAATCTCATCAAAGCCAACTTCTTGGAGGAATTTATCACCCCAATTGTCAAGGCGACCAAAGGAAAAGAAGAACGATCCTTTTATTCCCTCCCTGAATATATGGAATGGAGGCTGAACAATGATAATTGGAAGTCTTACAAGATCAAATATTACAAGGGTAAGGGATTTTGGGAAGGCTTTTGTTTTATAATTAGACTTGTCATGAATAATGTTTTTTTGGGGGATTTTGAAAGAATGTTTGATTAATTTGGACGTTTTTAGGATTGGGTACCTCCTCAGCGAAGGAGGCGAAGGAATACTTTTCGGACATGGCCCGCCACCGAATCAAGTTCAGATACGAAGGCCCGAATGACGATAGTGCGGTGGAAATGGCGTTCTCCAAGAAGAAGATTGAAGACCGAAAGGGATGGCTGACTGGATGGATGCAGACTCGAAGAGAGCGAAGAGAAGCCGGCGAAATTGAAGATTACCTGTACGACAAGGACACCCGAGATGTGTCGTACGCGGATTTCGTCAACAAGGAGCTGATCTTGTTCTCCAACATGGACAATGAACGTTCCATCCCTTCGTTGGTGGATGGGTTCAAGCCCGGGCAGAGAAAGGTGGGTCGATTGGTTTATGGAGAATGTATTTGATGTTTTAGGTCATGTTCACCTGTTTCAAACGTGCTGACAAGAAAGAAGTGAAGGTCGCTCAGCTGGCTGGTGCGGTCGGAGAGATGTCCGCTTATCATCATGGTGAAGTAAGTCGATTACGATTTAAATTTAAGTGTTTAGATGGATTCTTTGGCTATTTTTTAATGAGTAATATAATGATGTCAAGAATAATATAATTTTTTGATTTTTTCAGCAATCTCTCATGATGACCATTATCAATTTGGCCCAAGACTACGTGGGCAGCAACAACATCAACTTGCTGATGCCCAATGGTCAATTCGGTACAAGGCTTCTTGGTGGAAAAGACTCGGCTTCGCCTCGTTATATCTTCACTCAACTGTCGCCGGTAGCAAAGACCCTCTTCCCGCCGGCGGACGAGCATGTCTTACGATTCTTGTTCGAGGAGAACCAGAAGATTGAGCCCGAATGGTACTGCCCGATCATCCCGATGGTTCTGGTGAACGGAGCCGAAGGCATTGGGACTGGTTGGTCCACGAAGATTCCCAATTACAACCCGAGGGACATTGTGAAGAATATCCGAAGGCTCATCCAAGGAGAAGAGTTGGTGAAGATGCAGCCATGGTACAAGAAGTTCAATGGAACCATCAGCCAGATTGACAGCCAAAGGTTCGCCTGTTCTGGGGAGATTGCGATTGTCAATGATGATACGGTGGAGATCACGGAACTCCCAGTCAAGACTTGGACGCAAAATTACAAGGAGAATGTGCTGGAACCCATGATGGATGGAACCCCGGATAAACCGGCGTTGATCAATGATTTCAAGGAATATCATACGGAAGAGACGGTCAAGTTCCTCGTGAAGTTCGCTCCGGGAAAACTGAGGGAAGCCGAAAGGCAGGGACTCCATAATGTCTTCAAATTGACAACCGTCATCAACACCACATCCATGGTCCTCTTCGACGCAGCTGGTGTCCTCAGGACCTTTTCGAGCCCCGAACAGATCTGCATGGAATTCTTTGACACAAGAAAAGTAAAGTATATCGAGAGAAAGGCGTTCTTGGAAGGAATGCTCCAAGCCCAGAGCGATAGACTCTCGGAACAGGCCAGGTTCATCTTGATGAAGATTAAGAACGAGATCCACATCGAGAACAAGAAGAAGCAAGCCATCATTGAACAGCTTATCAAGCACGACTTCAAGCCGGATCCAGTGAAGCAATGGAAGGACGTGCAGAGGAGAAAGGAGCTCGAAATGTGCGGAGAGGTCGATATGGAGGATGAGGAAGAAAATGAGGAGAATGAAAATGTAGGTGGGGATTTGGGAGGAATTTTTTATATTGTAGTAGATATCATAGGGATTTTTTTTAATTTTGAGAATTTTGTATTTTTTTTTGGTCTTTAAATAGGATAATTTTAAGATAACATAAAAATCTTTATTTCGTAAAATAATAATTGGACAAAAAGATATATAAAAATCGGATTTTTTTGGTTCACCCTAATAGATTTGTTTTTAGGATCAGCTCTCCAGAAAGGTCTCGGATTATGATTATTTGGTCGGTATGGCCATTTGGAAGTTGTCCATGGAAGACAAGGACAAATTGTTAGCCGAGAGCGAAGCAAAGAAGGATGAATTGAAGGTCCTTCAATCAAAATCATGGGATGTCCTTTGGGAAGAAGACCTTAAAGTCTTTGAAGAAGCTCTGGAGAAACAGGTAAGGGAGATTTTAGATTATTTATGAGAACAAAAAAAAGTTTTATTAGTTTTATTTTTTTATTTATTTTTTTGAAGCTGTTTGATGATGACTTTGTTTTTAGGAGAAGAAGGAAAAAGCCGACTTGGACGATTGTCTCAAGAAAGCCGTCGCCAAACTTGGAAAGGACAAGTCGGATGCGGGAAAAAGAGCGGGCAAAAAGCTGGCTGCAGGCATGGCTGATGTCAAACCGAATCCGGATGCCATCAAGGTGGAGGTCAACTTGGATGTGGTGAAAGGAAAATACGAAACCAAGGCCAAGAAACCGAAGGAACCCAAAGAACCCAAGGCCCCAAGAGCCACCAAGAAGGCCAAGGATCTGGCCAACAACACTTCCATGGACAGTTTTGTCACCAAGAAGGTCAAAGAGGAGGACGATTCGGACATTGAAGAAGTGGACAAGGAGAATGAAGATAAGTCCAAGAAGGCCAAGAAACCAGCTGCAAAGAGGGCCAAGTCCACTCCGAAGAAGAGAAAGGCGGCATCATCGGATGATGATGATGAAGTTGTGCTCTCCGACGAGGAAGAAGCTATGGACGTTGGAACCCCACCACCGAAGAGAGAAACGGCCCCAAGAAGAGCGGCTGCCGCCAAGAAACCCATTGTTTTGGATGAGGATTCGGACGAGGAAGTTCTCCCAGTCAAGAAACAACGCAGAATCGTCGACTCCGATGATGACTTTGAATAATCTCATGTATTGATAAACCAGATGTAATCTCAGTAAATCTCACATTCGATGTTTGTTACTAACTTATGGTAAATTTTTGTTGCGAAAGTAAATGTTTTTGAGCTTGAAATATTTAGAGTGGTACTCTCTCGGTGGCAAAGATTGTTGAATATCATGGATTTGCCTACTTAGCGCGAGTTGAAACTTGCAGAATTTATACTGGGCTAGTTTAGAAGGTGCGAAATTTGACTTAATTACCATGTTTTACATCCTTTTCGGCCGTTTTGATGTCATTTTCACCTAAAATAATGTTAATCCAGGGGTTAAAAGTAAGCCCAGTCGGCGAACCCTATTTTTCCGTCTAATCCACGAGAAAGTCTACTCATTAGTTTTGTTTTGTTTGCCCCCGAATTATAATGACCATATTAGGGCCATTGTGCGGGTATAAGCATAACATTGGCCAGTTTCCAGAACGGGGAATGCGAAATTATGCGATTATGACGTTCAAAGGGAATTTTGGAGAACCCATATGATATTAGCAGGCAGTAGATTATTTATGATTAAGAGGGTCAGGAGGGAGTTACGGTAGACTTATTGGCAAGTGTAATATAAAAAAGGTGTCTGAATCTTTGAGAATTTAAATGTTTTTATTATCTTATTAACAAAATTATTTCCTTTTGTATTAAAAAAAAGTTTGTTTTTCCATTTTTTTCAAAATTTTTTTATATTATAGTAGATGTTCGTATTGATGGAATTTTTGGCCTTCTGACCTTTTATTCTACAAACGAACAAACTGAGAAGCCGTTTACTTGGATGTCCTTGTCATCGTGACATGTTGACGTTGTTGAGATGGAGGTCTCTGGGCCCTTAATTTTTAGTTTCTTCCTGGTTTCAACCCGGATTAATGGAATTGTCTGCAGTTTTGTTACCATTTGGTTCGCTCTTTCGAAATTTTTTGGATATGAAGTCCAAGCTTTCTGTAGCCAAAATGCCTCAATTTCTTCGATGAATTTGAAATTACGAGGGATATCCCAACCATTGAGGCATCCCATAAGCGTTCAAGAACTGTTGCGGCTGTTTTTTTTCATATAAAGCTTCGCAAATCACACTCGGGCACTTCGCTTGCTTGACAGATCTCTATAGTGAAGACATCGGACAGTACCTTGCCAGTACTCAAAGATTGAGAAATGCTACAGTGACGGACCTGAAAAACTTCGTTTTGAAGGGCGCGCCCTTTTCGTCACAGAAAGAGCGGGTGTGCTTTTGAAAACGGAGTTTTTTTTCACTTGGAGGGGAAAGCATTTTGCCACATTTTTGATGCTTCCCGGATGCAAAATGATACGTTTTTTGCCACTGGATCAGGTCCGCCACTGTATGAAAAACACATCAGTGCGCTCTAATTTGGTGTCAAAAAGTATCACCGAGAGAAAAAAAGATGATTTTGAAAATTTTGGAGGGTTGGGATGCTTCTTTACAACTTTTCTTGCTTTTCTGTTCAAAACCGGTAAGGTTGATGAGTGTCGATAAGATATGTAAGAGGTTTTTCAAACTAACAATAAAAAGTATTTTTTCGTCATTTTGATATCAAATTCGGGCTCGCTTTGTCCTCTCTGTGGCCTTTTTTACTGTACTAAGAATTTGTTAGTTTCCGGGCAAAAAACAATTCTTTTGTGTAATTATTTCTGTTTCAATTTTGGATATTCACCATGTTTATGTCTTCATTTCCCGCAATGCATTCCGAAAATAAATAAAATTACATTTTTTTCGCTACATCTTTCCAAACTTGTGATCTCCCAAAAAAATCCTCTTCCAAGTGCAACAAAGTTGAATGGTTTAATTTCGTCCACTTGCCCTTTCATTTGGAGCGTTCCTATTTCATCTTGACATTCTTCCATTGTTTGAATATTAATTTCATAGCATTTACCATCAAGAAGAAGCTCAGGTTTCTCTAAAATTTTGCATCTGGGCTCTGAACTACTATAACTAGCTAAATGTCAAACTCTGAAGTCGTAATAATCCGTAAAATAACCTAAAATAACCTATTGTTTCCAACTCTTGACTTGTTTTCCGTCATGGACAATATCAAACGTTGTTTTTGAACCCCACGAGCTCTTCAGACAAAAGGAAAAAGAATTTGATGACGTTTCCTGCGCCAATTCAAGTCATTTTTGGTATCAACATGTCATCGGTGGCATAAATAAGCCCTAAATGTCACGTAAATACAATATCATGTAGTATCTTATACATATATAGATGACATGTTTGATGTTCTTTGGTCAGCCCACCCTGCTGCTCGATAGACAGGCGAATTATTGAGTAATGACAGAATTTTAGAGCGCTCTAATTATAAGTTGTATTACGAACCGCTAAAAAAGCTGACTGTTGGCATTAGAGAGGCTCGAAATAGAAAAAATGGTTTAGATTGCGTAGATTTTTACGTAGAAATTGAAGAAAGTGAAATACGGATTGTTGAGTTTAGTATTTAGAATTGGAAATGACGTGGCATTTGATGGGGAAGTTCTGTATTTATTGTAAAACGAAATGTGGAATAAAAAGTTTGTTTAGCTCACAAAAAAGCTTTGAAAATTTTAGCCAACGCTATACAGGCGCAGCAGGAACATGCAGCGTGTTTTGCTGACAAGGAAAATAAGGAGAGAACGTCAGACGATCGATCGCCAAAACATGAAATTATCACACATTTCAAGTACACAAGGTTCTTGGCTTGGTCTTGGCGTAAGATACCGTTTTTTATGCCACCAATTTTGTCTTACATTTGACACTTCGTTGCGAGGTTCTTGAAAAAGAAACTATTAAGGAAAAATATTGTCTCTTTTTCTCTTCAATTGAGCACCCCGTTTTCCACAAATATCTCGTCTGAAATGACCGTTGAATAGCTCGGCTACGCTTTCAATGTGTGGACAATGATTTGCAAGACTGAGTTTTCAGCCTATAAGGGCGATTTTAAGATGGATTTTTATAAATCATAAGCTCACTAGTCGCAAAAATTTTACAAATGACATGTTTATTACTTTCTGCCATCATTCGCTTTTCCCAAATTTTTTGACGTTATTTTACAACTCGTTACAATTTTCTACAATTAGATTACTGTTTTTTTTATCATAGCATCATCCCTCATATGTTGGACCATCTTTTGATCTCATTTCCTCCGAAAAATTGTAGATTCTACACTCTCAAGTGTCATCATCGCGAGTTCCTAGTATAACTCATCTTGTGTTTTACACATACACGTTCATCTATGGCCATTATTACTATATCTCTTCCAAATATCTTTACAATTTTATACGGCCGAAATTACACACAAACAGAGCAGAATTCGCTTTGACTTTGTACTCTCTGACTGATATACATAACAGAAATGTAAATTAAAATACTCAGTGTAATGACACGATTTGAGATGCAAATCAAGTCAATTGGACTTTCCTTTGCATCTGCGCGGCTTCTTGTTATACATAATGGGGAATTATGTTGTAGATGAGGCCAAGTGCTTGGAACCAATTTACATTTTATGGGGGGAATTTGAACCTGGGTTCAATTTGAGGTCAGAATCTCAGGGAAAGCGTTCGAAACCCCGAAAGCTGAGGTTCTATTGACTTTGCAAAACTTGGCCCACATTAATTAAGAGCCTTTTTTTATACGACATATTCGAGGTCACTGGCTTACTTTCGGCTAAAAAACTATGATGTTTTTTTTTCTGATGTAGCCTTTTTTTGAATGGGCAGCATTTCTAAACAAAAAAAATCATTTTTTTTTGGTGCAAACTTGTTGCCGCTTTTTATTTGCTCACTCTCCGCATTTCGGGTAGTCTCTTGATGATAGCATAAGAAAAATATACGCAAACATTAGGCCATTTCTAAATCTCTTACTGTATTATTGCGGCTTCATGGCACATCACTTATAACGAAATGCATAGACAAAGCGGATGACGGTGCAAATTGCGGAGAAAGGCTTCTTTCTTAACGCCAATATAATATATATTGTCCAAATAATGTTACTGATCAAAAAGCAAGTCGTAAGTGAGGAGCATTAGAGATTAGAAAAACTTGCTTGCACTTAGTGCGTTTCATTTTTAGAGCCCCAAGTGCGTAACTATATGTATTACATATGTAATATTATTATAGATATATGTAATATAGTTGTTTTTTTTTCTGTCTGCGGAGTTGAATATATATTTTTGGGTGATGAACGAGACGAACTTTTTCCAGACACATTTTGATCCTAATATACCTAGATTGGTATATTAAAAATAAATATCAAACAATGACTTCCCTTTCATCTCTTTGCTTTATTGAATAAGTACACTGATATTCTTTTCAAAATTTCAAGACTAGCTCACTTGTCCTCCTTGAATTATAGGATTACCCTAAGGGTATTATCACTGTATGACCTTCAAACACCACGTGTCATACATTCGAGGGCCTTCTATGGCTGACATTGTTTTCATATTTACGGAAAGAAAATTGGGAAATAAAATTTTAAATATGCAAAAAGAATGGTGTTTTGTTTTTGCTTTCAAAATAACTGTTGTTACACTTGCGGTTCATTTAGTTTTGTTTTGTTTCCAAATTTGTGGTTTTGTGCTGTGTTAAAACAATGGAGATCCTGGGCACATCACAGATCAAACCACTTGTTACAGTTGTCGTTTCAGGAACAGACGATTATTGGATTAGGAAGCCAACCGAGAAATGGTGTTTGAGAGAGGGAGTATTAGTAAACGCGTATGGTTTTTGCAAGTTAATTACAACAGAATTGCAACCAAGCAAAAGCTGATGCGATTATTAGGTAGAAAACGATTTCAAGTTCCAGTAGATGTAACATGGAAAATTTAAAACTGAGCCTTGAAGGTATTGTTAGTCTGTCGGGAAAATAGTGTGGGTTCGTCGCACCTCGAAATTGCCAATTGTCGCAAGGCGACTGCAAGCCAGGGCTGAAGATTGCGATGCGAAAAACCCACATTATTTTCCCGACAGACTGCTGTCAATACAGTAATCTTAAATAGGATG